TCCATCTTTTATTAATAAAATTATGAAGTACCAATACTTCTAACAAGTAGTTGTTTTCCTGTGACTGCAAAAAAACTATGAACGGTGAACAACAGAAACCAAAAAAGTCAATAATATCAATTAAGTCATGATAATTCTCTCAAATCCCAAATCTTCATTCGAGCAGGAAAGAAAAAAGCCTTGAAACCTTGCCAATATATTTCAGATCTGCATTTTAGGTCTCAAACTTATTTTTCAAAGGGACAAATTGACTACAAGGGAGCAGTGCTCAAATATATCGATACGGAGGTCCCTCGTTACTGTCGGCACGGTAAGTAATACCTTGAAACTCTGATTCTGGTAGAAAGATCGACAGACAAGCATGACAGAATAAAAAAGTGTTTCAGTTTATTCAAAATAAAACATCACAAAATGTAGGCAGAATATCGAACTTTAAAAAATTAAATTAGGCCTAATAGGTTTGTTTCTAGCAGCTTCAAACATCTTTGAGCACTGAAAATTTGAAATTGATTGTATCAAGAAAAATATCAACAGCAAAAATTTAGTAAAACGATTCATGTACAATTCGTTTCCAATGATAATTGAGTTATCACAGGCAGAACATCTCGGTTTGCATTGAATTTCCTCTGGATAATTTATCTTGTAACGAAGAATACAAAATTTTTTACATTTTATTATAATATGACACAAAACATGAATAAATAATTCAGTACAGAAACATAGAACTATGCTCCGCGGGGTTAGGAAAAGAAGTTATTGTGAGGATTTTTCATTGTTATATATATATAGGCTTACCATACGTCCCGCTTTAGGCAGGACAGTCCCGCTTTTTAGCGTCTTGTCCCGCCAAGTCAGCCAAAAGTCCCGCTTTGGCCTTTCAGTCATCCAGCATAATACACGAACATGTTCTCGTTACTGTTGTTGCTGTGTAGCGCAACGCTAGCCTGCTTACTGAAGGTGAATGCGTTATTTTGTTGTTTCGTTCTCGCTAACATTGTTAGCGAACGTATCACATGTAAAATCATTTCTAATTGGTCCTGTTCGGACGTTCACGTGAATGTAACAATGAACAACGTCCTTTTGAAGGTGTTATCTACAGAAAAGCATGCTTGGGCGAATAAGTAAATTCTCAATGCTTGAAACGACAGACTATTTCATCGTCATTATTTTCGCTGCACATAAACAAATCTAAATTCGGATCATTTGTATCGTTAGCGTCTATTCCTTTTTATTTTTCGAACTGAACCCGATATGCAGACAGAGAATGTGTGCATGAACTCCCGATGACAATATGATCAATGAAGACAGTCGGGATGCTGTTAAATATGGGCCTATGTATTAAAAACGGAAACTGTAAAGTTACAGGATCATAGCTAAGGGGTCGTGTCTTTGGAGGTGTCCCGCTTTGAAGTCAAAAAATATGGTAACCCTATATATATATATCACAAAACAAAAATAAAATTGAAACCATTCGACTAACGACGAATATACAGATGAGATTTTACAATTATGATGTATTTATGTAGCAAATTTACAACTTGTACTTTCATGTTTGTACAACTATATGGCTAGTCTCGTGCATGAAAATAAGTAAGTAGTTAACAATTTAAGACGTAAAATTTATTAGTAAATATATATATATACTGGCAGAAATATGAAATAATGCAGTATAATATTTATTACACACCACCGTGAAAAGGGAGACTGGAAAAACGTGTTTAAGTTGGAATCGCTTCCAACAGATTATCACCCCTAGAGGTTTCACGTGGAAGATGCGGTTCCCGTACATTCGAACCCACGTACATTTGAACCCACGACAATTGCTACCTGCATACTATTGCACCTATGGGAATTTTTTTGTTTTGCGGATATTTTAACTTATACTAACCCTAACCCATGGGTTCTTGGACCCACATATAGATTGAACCCTCGGATATACACATGGGTTCAAATGTACGGTCACCGGAAGACGCAGAAAATCTAAGAGAAACTAATTATCGAAAAACGAAACGTGGTACTATGTTCGAATATAAATGCTGTATTCTAAAATGAAATGCTTGAAAACAAATTGCATTAAAATTATGTTTAATACGGTAGCAGGTCAGCATTCGCAATGACCTGACCTAGTGCACTGAGATGACATAGCATTCGCACTGAGATGACATAGAGTTTAGGGCGTGGGACCTACTCATGTTGGTGTCTTCTTACATATCTGCTTGTCTAAGGCCTTGATTGAATATGTATATCATTGAAACAGATTCAGAAAATAGTTAAATGTTGTTGTTTTACAGTATTTTGAATTAATATGTTACCCAACTAGCTTTGTTCCCGACCGTCTGGACTATTTCTTTCAATGTCGGCAGCCCCGTCCATTAATCTGACGGTTTCCGTTAAAAATCTTTGAAGTTTGGGATTTATGCTACATGCCATGATGCATGGTATTAGGGCCAAGGACGAATTTAAAATAAAAAAATAAAGAGGACCATATTTCGAATATACCAGTCTAACTACAGGTGGTATAATAAAAGTGAATACGCTCATACCGATCGCAAGCCATATTCCTTGAGTCGATTCGCTGACTTTTAAATGAACTGTTTGTTTTAAGATTTCAGCAACAAAAGCTGTTATAGAACCGATGAAAGCCCCATAGAAAAAATAAGCAAAATACATTACAATTTGAAGTTTAAAATAGAAGCATAAAATCATTAAAATACTTGACAAAAATAAAGCCACACCTATAAACCTCGCCATTGGGTTGTATTGTTTAAATTTGTCGACAGCTATGCCCGTCGCGACTGCCGCCACGAGACCTCCGACAGAAAACGAAATAAGTATTCGTAGCTTCATGGATGCCAATGTTGCTATACTTTCATCTCCGTCTGTTGAGATGATCGGCGTCATCATGTACTGGACACTAAATAATGCTTGAGCAATGGCAAAAATGAGTGAGAGAATCATATTATTCACTTCAGTAATGAGTACTTTTAGTTCTATGATGAAATCACGAATTGCCTTTTTCATTGTCAACTCATGAATTGATGAGCTAATGGCTTGTACTCGCATTGCCTCGACGCGCGAAGGTGGAATTGCCGGCATATTTGGTATTAATACACACAGACCTAAGAGACTGCTAAAAGAAAACACACAAATAAAAACAAATACATACACCACTCTGTGAATATCGTGGGCCACTTCGTCTGGAGAAGACAAGTGCAGTAGTAATGTTGGCAACACCGTCGCCAATAAGCCTCCAGCTGATACAGCAAACCATCCGATTCCATAAATTGTTCCTTGTTCTCTTTCGCCAAACCAGACCGTGCCAACAAGTGGTATCAGTACGAAGTAAACAGTGTTCGCAACACCAGTAAGTAGTCCAGAAATCATCAGAAGTGGAAATCCTTTTCCGGTATGAAGAACAACAGCACTCCTAGCGATGAAACCACGATATTGCAGTAAGGCGCTTTTGAAAAATATTTTTGTGTGTAGTGGCTTCGCAATACACAATAATCCAATAGGTAGAGCCATAAGCAACCCACCTAAAGCTTGACAGAGCATAATCCAGTCAACAACTTGGAAGACTAACTTGAAGTAATCCGCAATCAATTGATTTACAGCAGCCATGAAGATCCATTGAAATATATTTGCACATCCTGTGACGCTTCAAAATGACCGGTGAACCAGCCACCTTATTGGAATATAGTTTTGTCTCCAAAAGGCATCGTCATTCAACCATAGCAAAGTAAGTAGCGAAAGTTTCGAAATCGTAGTATTAAGCGACTATACTGTTGCAACAAAACACCTCGGACTAGGACTGCTATGAGTTCAGATAGCTATGAACAAAATAAACACATTTAACTTCTACTCTTTTGAACACCGAAGTTGTCTTAACTTATTTCAGAATGGGAGCAAGGCTGAATTCTTTTTTTATTAAGGGTCGTGCTATGAAGCAAGGTCGCTAGCCTTCAACTAATGTGTTCCGTAGAGAAATATTAGAGAACTACAGCAGTTTAAGCAATTGAGGCTAATATGTGTACATGCTGCATGGCCGCTAGGGAATACACAACGTAACGTGTTCTCGCTTATTTTGACGAATGTCATCGCATAAAATTGTTCACGGTTTTCATGTCTTGTGGTGACAAGGTTGATAACAAACGATAAAAAAATCAGATTCTGTTCTAGTCTTTCATACATTCTAAATTTGGGGTCGTACAAAGCTAATATAAAATTGTTCCTATTTTGACTTCGGTCCTCGACGGAAGATTGATTCCCGGCAGATAAATTTTAAAACATTTGAATAGATAAATCAATACATTTAAATCAATTAACTTGAATTGAATCGGAACTCGAAATACAGGCGACGCAAATCAAATGTTATGTGGTAAATTAATTGAGACAAGTATGCTAAGCCAGCCATGCAAAAATCAACTACAACATGTGTTTCCGATACAAACTGAAACTAGCCTCGGCATTACTCGTCGTGTTCAACCGAAAATCTCTTTAATACTCTAAATATTGGATCAATTCCGGTGAAACATTAGATATATCTAGCTTACCTTTATTATGGGTAAATTTGATCGTATCCTCATACTATCACCTACAATTAGAATAATCAGTACAGCCAGGTTATATTTATAACAAGCTTATTTTTTCAGGCTGTGTGCACACGACGCGGAAAGTTTCGTACCAATCGGAGTAACAAACAAGCGGATTTCCTAAAGCACGGAAGCAAACAGCCGAAAAATCAGTCCGAATACCTGCTTCAATTACCGTACGTGGCAATTGAATATTCAGATTAAGGGCCAATTATCCCTAGATTATTAGGTCTCACATGTAATTTTCTAAGCTGTAAGATTTTACAATAATTACCATCATTATGATTTAACAACCAATATATATAACAGCCGATTGCATTAATCCTCTCGATGACTTGCGACATAAAGATTCAATTTTTTTAGTACCAAAGCTATACTGGCTCGCTCAAACCAAAATCACATATATATATATACATTGATGTTTAAACGTATAAACCTATGTGAGAAGAGAATAAGTTGAATTTGACTCCAAATTTGAATCAAGGGGTACTGGCCTGATATTTTACACGTTGCCCTAAATATTTTGTAAAAGAAAGTCGGTCAGAGCCCTGGTAATGTTAAACGTTACCGTATGCTCCTGTCAAAGACAAGTTAAAACTATGGCTGAACTGACTCTGATCAACTTATGTTGTGACCCAGTAACACACTTCTGAAAACACACTATTTGCCTCAAATGTTTGAACCCTTTACCTCAGGAAAAATGCACAGGCAATAGGTTGTAGAAACTATTCTAAGCTAATGGTTTAGCTCTGTCACATCTAACGAGTATTTCATATACTAATTAAATATATATAAGTGATTACTAAATTATTGTATGCAACACTGACACTGACTGACACTACTGAAGTACAATTATCCTCCTGAAAGTGTCTGCATAACGTCTACCGCCTGCGGCAGTATGTTATAATCTGATGATAGCGTAGCGTTTGTTGGCTGCTGATGAGTAAAACAGGAAATTACATGATATTCATGTCATGGCTTGCACGACGGTGCGTTAGAGTGTAATTTAAATGTTTGCCTGGTATTAAATCGCAACCCGACTACCTGAAGCGCATATTCATAGGAGTATATTGGTAAAAAGAGAACAATTTTCCATCTTACACCTATTCACGCAATGACATTCTGAACTGTACTTTTATTGAATCAAATCGCATGTTTCCGATTTTTAGATCTGTTACTATTAAAAAATATTATATAGGCATACCAGTACTGAGGGCCGCAGTTGTTGTTAGCGCCATCGTAATCCACAGGAAATATTATGCGAAGTGGTGATTGTGACGTGGCGATCGATCACTCATTAATCATTCATTTAATAAAGACGGTTCATTTATTTTATATATATATATATATATACACATATTTCCGTTTTAATAATCAAATGTATGTACTGCCAAACATGAAATAATTTTGGAGCCGATACTTTTCATTTTGGTGGATACACTTTCTCGTACTTACCGCCTAATGATTTACCGTAAAAGTTATTCATTATTATATATATATCATATTATTATATAAGTGCCCCCAGTTTGAAAAGTCAGATTAACTTTTACTCGCAAACATATCCACTGACAAACATGAATACATTTCAGTGCAAAGTGCGTAACCGGCAGAACTTATCGTTACCCACCCCACAAGCAATGTTCCCTCTAATTTTTGTAGTATGTGTGCGCAGAAATTTGGGTGTGTGCGCACTTTTTGGAAATGACTAATATTTGTGCAAAAACCAAGGAAGAAATTTTGGCGTTCTAACCGGGTAATAAGTGGGCCAACAACAAACTTTCTCAACCTGCTAACCGAGCACATTGTTACATTACATCGAAATACGTCTGTGCGCAGTAAATCTATGCGTGTGCGCAGCCTCTGAAAGCTGTGTGCGCGCGCACACGCGCACACCTTAGAGGGAACACTGCCCACAAGTTTCCAGACGACATGAAACGAGCACGTGGTAAAGGGAATATGCGTCCGAATCACGCAATTCCCCTCGAAAGGCAAGGTTCTTATCAAGATGGGAAACCATTTTAAAAGGCCAATTAATTGTACGTCTAACATACGTTGGAGTTTTCGAAATTTGAGATTCGTTAAACTGCAGGATTTCCTTCAGAATCGAAACTGATGCTCAGTATCAGTGTAACGAAAGACTAGCAAGACTTTTAGCGCCCGATTTGAGAGTAGGCTACATCGCCGTATACCACAAGCTTAAAGCCCGATTGGAGCTCTTCACATATATTTCTGTGCCGATTCCCCAAGAATACAAGATTAACCTAACACAGAGCTCCTTACTCCAACACAGACAAAACGTAAGTGACCAGTACCAGACTAAATAGGTGCAGTAATTATAGATGTGGATAAAGTAATCATTGATGTAGAATTGTAAACAAACTGATCTAAAGTAATTAACGTAATATTACCACCATACCCCTTCCACAAAATGTCTTTTACTACTTCCCCTTCCCCCTTCACAAAATAAACATTTTGAAAAACGATTAGCAAAAGATGACGATGTTGAGTATTATAAAATGAGAAACCTGAAACAATTTTAGAAATCTGCGATTTCTCCAGGTTTTTCTCTCGTTTTCGAATTCAAGTAAATAGTTTCGAAATTTCCCCCTTGTCCAGTACTTTGGCATTATTTTGCCATATACCGGATTTAGGCTTTGGGATCCGTACATTATTTCCAATGTTCAAAGTTTGCAAACGTTCCTTTTTGTTCTTTATTCAACTTCGACTTTCAGGTTGGCTTTTTCCCCTCTTCTCAGTGCATTTTCAACCTCTTTACCACGGTCAAATATATCAGCGTATTTGCTCATCGTCGGAATTTTCGTTTCGCCTCCTGTAATCTGTGTATTCACACCTGCCATTGAGTCATATTTTAGAGTATTAAATGGAAATTCTCAATCGACCAAATGCAAATTTATGCACGCATCATTTGATCGATATGCTGACTGTCCAAGCTGTCGGCAGAAGTAGACTAGTTGTTTGGATGTTCTGTCGTTCCAACTGACAACTAAAACTCTTTACAACCTTCACACAGGAGTGCCACGCCAGTGACACATTGGTGTTGGTGGCTTCAACAAATTATTCGTATAAATTGCTTTCCACCTTGCTTCTTCTTCTACTGTAGCTGCGGCACCGGTATCGGGAACAATTTGCAGATCAAATTCAAGACCTTTCACGCCCACGAGTGTGGACTGCACTCCACCACTAACTTCTTTATTGTTGCAAATAAATTCAGTACCCATTGAATCGATCTTTTCATCCACCGGTACAGAAACTCCACTATCATTTTGGCTTCTGCTTGAACACATTATTGCGAAATGGCCCATCGTACCACACTATAAGCATCTTCTGTTCCCGCTGGGACAAGCGATACTGCTACATCCATGCCCAAAACGTCCTCATGTATTGCATCTGGGCCCCTTGAATCGGATTGCTCTGCTTCTAGTCTGCTCATTCATAGTCTGTGTCATATTAGGGGGTTGAAGTAGTTTGTGTTTTGGCAATGGCTTGTGCAAGCATTTCGGCGAACGCATGTGGAACTTCTACCGTACCAGGTCTGACTTCATGTTCTGTTCTATTGTCAACCTCTGCTTTCAGTGTGAATGCCAACATACCTTTACCATCAGACTTTTGTGCTAAAATATATACGAAGTTTCCAGGGCTTGTATAAGCTCATCAACTTGAAGAGCAGCAATATTTATTTCTGCTAGTCTAACAACATAATCCAGTTTAGATAAATCCATTTTACCAAGCCGACAACGCCATGTACTGATTCCCAAGAATACAGATGAACATTAACTTAACACAGAGTTTATTAGCTCCTTACTCTAACACAGACAAAACGTAAGTGACCAACGAACAGTACCAGACTAAATTTATATATAGGTGCAGTAATTATAGGTGCAGAAAAAGTAATCATGTAAACAAACTGATCTAAAGTAATTAACGTAATATTACCACAATCTCAAGGCAAGATTGCCCATTTTCAATGTCTCATATTTTAAACCCCATTTTAAAATTTTGGCAACTCTCGTGATTTTCCACCCTATGTGTATTGTAATTATTATTCTGCACGGTGTCTGATGGTCTAATACCACTCAACACTCAACGGGGTTTTTACCAACAAATTCCCGGTACTCCTGGAGTATGCGCACCAAGATGTTGCATAACCTGAACCCTAACCTGGTTCACAACCTGAGTTCAGGTTGTGCGCCATCTTAGTGCGCATACTTCAGGAGGTCTAAATTCCTTTTATTCCGGCTATATTTAGATACAATTTTTACTCAGAAATTATTTTCCTATTGCTCATTATCGGTGACCGTACATTTGAACCCATACATTTGCGCCCATATATTCGCGGGTTCAATCTATATGAGGGTGCTAAAATCCATGGGTAAGGGTTAGTATGAATTCTGAATCCATAAAAAAAAATCCATAGGTCCAATAGTATGCAGGTGCAATTGTCGTGGGTTCAAATTACGGTTTCAAATGTAATGGAACTTCATTATCTGCTCGTAAATAAATATCTGCACCTTAGTCCTAAGAAAATATAGTATCCGGAACGCACACCCTCGAGAGTCTGTACCCGACTGACATTACAACAAAATAATAATGTACCAGAGTCCATTTCAAAAGTAAAAAGATGACTTCACACACGCCTATATTGAAATAAAGTTCGAAATTTTTTTCCATCACGTAATAAACATTTCGAAATATACTTCGATGATATATAAGATTGTGCCAACAAAAACATGCTTGATGCAAAACAAAAGCTGACACGTAAAGGTATGTGCGACCTCGCGTGTCAGGGTCTGAATATGGCTGTTATATAATATAAGTAATATAAATTAGTTTAAATAAATCGTTTTAATGAAGTTTGACACCACCCCTTGAAATTCAAAGAATATCATTGAACGGTTCCAGTCAATAAAGCATACGATATATATATATATATATTATAAAGATGTGCAACACAAATAGGCCATAAAATGTAATAATTAAGACAGGAGTGTGCAACCTGCGGCCCGTGGGTCAAATGCGGCCCGCAAGCGAAAATGTGCGGCCCGCGGAGAAGTGTCAAATTTGAATGGTGTGCGGCCCGCGAGACAAGTTTTTACTTTAGTATAATCTGGTACTTTTGAGTAAGCCCAATTTCCATGCGTTGCAAAGCCAATGTCTGAGTCCAATTTATGCACATGACGTTACAATGCCCGAACAGCTAGCTTGTGCGAAGTGAACAGCACATGTCATAAGATCAATACCCAAAATTATATGCGTGCAACTACTAGAAAGCCTATGTTAAAAGGTGCGGTCCGCGGTTTCACCCAGTTACTTGAATCTGGCCTTCTTGTATTAAAGGTTGCACAACCCTGATTTAAAGAATGCATGGTGTGTTTTATGGCGGATTCGACTACAATACATAGTCCGCATGCTTTCAGTAATACAGTTTCAATAATGCTCGTCAAACTCATCGTTTATAAAGTCATTTGAGTTTTCATTTGAGCAAGTAGGTACTTCATGATCCCATTGCGTGATTTTTTCCATGACTTCAATTATACAATTAAAATAAAAAACTGGCCATTTGCATATATATAGTTTTGTTTTTAAAGCTGCAGTATCCATCTTGGGTCTTCCGTGTTCGATACTTGTGCTAACGTCACGATTCTTTGTTTTGCAATAACGAACAGATCTGTGTTGAACTCTGGCTTCAATACGTATCCGTTTATTTTACGATCATATTCATACCGGAAAAATCTAAGATCGGTTGCCATATTATTATGACTAACAGAAAGCGGATGCGTTTCATTCGTTCTTATAAATAGTTCGCCAGGACCTGCGTGATAAGCGCTTACGTAATATAATTTCGATCCTGGCGTTTTAAAAGCAAATACATATCGGTCATAGATCTTCCACATTACAGTGGTATGCTTTCCACCGCCATATGAAACCTTTACAGGTTCGTGGTCGTCCAAGCTGCGTACGTTCCACATCATATGATCTTGCTGCCCTAAAATAGATACTTCTGTTCCAAACATAGACTCCAGTAAACAACATCTTTTTCTGGTGATGGGGAGTTCGTTAGAATATGAGCATTCTAAACCCGACCAAGGCGTTTCATATTTTGTAAACTTAATCCATTTATTTCTTATGTCTAACTTCTTCGGAACAATGATATCTTTGCAACTGTCCTGTTCTTCATTGCAGATATCTTTTTCATCTGAAAGCTTGCGTTTTAGCTTTGTCGATTTACATGAAGAATCTGCCAGTGGTTTCCATGTATCTAAATATTTAATTTCATTATAAATTAAACACAAAAGGAATTCCAGGCCACCATATGCGAAAAAAAACTTTTGAAAAAACCGTCTAATCAAATCAAGTAGGTCTACATTTATTGTATTCTTCAAACTGCATAATAATCACTCATTACCAAATATAAGTGAAAATTTCCCGGAACGAAAACTGTCCGTAAGAAGTGTTATTATATAGAGAAATCACTGTTGTTAATGCTCGGGAAATCAACCGCAAGCATGGCTGTTGCATATACTCGAGCCGCATTGGCTGGGTTTCATCTTGCAAAAGGGGTTAATATGATAACATTTGACCCCCAAAAAAAACAGAACCACAAATTTCCTAATTACTTCTACGAACATGAAGAAAATTTATTAAACACTCTGACTTTTGTTGATGTATGATTGTACTCAAAAGTCACAGTAATCTAGGACGTTTTGCTCTCTATAGAACAGTGGTTCTCAACCTTTTATCTTTCGTGGCCTATTTTCGTTGCACAAAAATTCTGTGCCCATCAACTTTTTCATGTGAGGAAAAGCATGTCCGAAAAAATAGACACTTTCACTTTAATAATTAAAATGAAAAACCCCTCAGTAGCAAAAAAACAGTATTATCATTCATTGCCAACTACAATCAAAAATTACCTATAGTGACACAAATAAAAATGAATTTATTAAGACCTCTTGCAGTTTTCTACGGGTTTGTGGCCCACTTGAAAGTGTTGCTGTGGCCCAGCAGCGGGCCATGACCCACTGGTTGAGAACCAGTGCTCTAGATTGAATATGTTCCAAATGATCTAGGTTATGTTTTTGGAGAGTCACCCTGGAAATAATTACGAACTTACGTGTATCCAACTCTCTTTCATATTTATAACTCTTGCTTTTTATGCTTTTGCAAATGCCGCTGAAAATGGACACATCAAATTCAGTTAAGAGGCACTTTGATTTGACTTCTTGTGAACGTCCTAGAAGTTTGGTTTCTTCGACTCGAACCAAACAACCGGTAGAAGTATCTTCATTTATGAGAGGGGGAGTCTTTTTTTGGTAGCTCATCAGAATTTTAGCGTTAGCAGAAACAAGATACGTATTTGCTTTGCCTGACACAAACTTCAACTGGTGGAGGTTATATCGTGTGATGGAATGTCATTCGCTTGGATTAGTCGTGAGATTACTATTGTGTTTCGATCTCCAACGTAAAAGAAAAGACGACAAACACAAAATTACAACGCATTTCACGACAGTGTCGATAAAGCATAATGTTCACAAGCGGCAATGGCGTGACAAATTAATGCACGTTTTCCATTTTATTTGACCAGATTTTTCATAATGTTTTGCCCCGCTATATAGGTTATTCGTTTCCACTATTCAAAATTCAAATGGTTATTTTCCAATTGTTCGCATGGTGACATTCCAATGGTCAAATATGGCCATTTTTTTTTATCTGTATAACGAACCCGCTCGGTGAATTCACCGAATGATTCGTATTGGATTCATGACGTCATTCATTATATTTAATTGCTGTTGACCAGCAAGGCTGTCTATACATATATATGACAACTACAGTCAACTTCACAAAAACATATATACCACATTTATTTTTAAAACTAGACACTGCGCAAGAGGCGTAGTTGAAATTTGCAAAAGCCATCAAGTATTCATAATAACTCATTAACAACATTCTGGGAAATCTAAATTACTTTAATAAAGGTGCTCTGATACCCAAGTGGCAATAGAATGACGTCAGATAATATGCAATTTAGTGTTTTCAGAGTATTATTTAAAGACATTTTGAAAGTTGGGATTCCAGTAGACCTCGCAACATCGGGGGTGATTTCATATGCTAAAAGTTCGGTACCAAAATGAATTTGTAAGCGTTAAATTGATGATTACTGCACCGTAAATCAGATTAAGGATAATGGATGTTTTTGCTAACTTGGTGTTGTTTCTACTTTTACTACCAAAATCCATATTTAGGCCTACAGTGTTTGTTTCAAAGTTGGGGAAAGATATTCTGTCCGATACAAATGGTTGGGGGTATCCATATAAAGAGTTGTTGGGCGATGCAAAAAAAATATCAATGACAAACAATGTACGTAAATGGATAATTGTCAGGCTGCTACTATTTATCTCAGTCCGACATGAATTTGAATTAAGGGATTTTCAGCGATCGAATGTAGATAATGCATTCAAATAACATGGTGTGAGTCAGTACGCATATATGCATGTTTATGCTGTATAAAGTACAATACAATTCAATTTATCCAGGCATTCTGAAAACTCAACACTCAATGAAACTATAGGGAGAAAGAGATGCGGGTCTTAGGGATAAAGACTGTTCACCCTAATATTCAAAGTTCGATTCCCACGTTATTAATTAACACGTGTTATGGAATGTGACTCCAATCTGAATTCCCTCAGACGATAATATGCACACGATGTTGAGTGTCGAATTGTTGTATATTATTGAAAAAATGCACGATCCAAATTCCAAATACAGATAAAATTGTACACATCTAATTCTTAATGCAGCAAGATTACGGTCAGATCACAAGTGAAACAAAAAGCACAATATTATAGAGCAATCTCGGCAAACCGGAAATGATACGTCATCAAATTGGTCGAAACGAGAAAGGCAATACGTGGAGCGAATGCACTATCGCTGTTGCGACACATAATGTGGCCTATTTTGTGGTATGTTACATGCTATTAATATGAAAGGGTTAAATACATTATAATCCATAGTTACACAATGCACATTCGCTACACAATTCCCCCTCGACAGTAAAAAATTAACTTGGTAATTTTTTTAATTTTGTAGTCCGGTCGCCGAGAGATGAAAGTCTAAAAACAAAAAAAATTGAATTAATAAAAGATATTGGTACGATATGATGAATAATAGCTAAGGTATACGAGAGAATATACGTCGTTTACGAGAGCAAGAAAATACGAGAGAGAAAAAAAAATCAAAAATACAAGAAAAAAAATTTCAAAGGGTCTCCGTGGTGCTTTGAAATGCTTAACATTCGAAAATAAAATTGTAACGATACATTGAAACAAAATGGCGACGACATACCGGAAGGAACACCCTATAATGTAAAACGGCTTTGATGTTTAATAAAGAGGCTGAGAATGAACAAATGGCGGGTTTAGTACTAAAAATTGCATTAAAATTGGTTTGATGTTTGAAGTCGTAAAATTGATGTTAGAGGTAACTTGAACAAAATAATAAGTAAGAAAAATCCTGAAAATTGAATAATGAGTGATTTCAAGAATTATTGAATCCTTGTGATTGAACCTGAATCAAATTCTGTATGAAGCAAAAGAACTCATATCTAAAAACAATACATTGATTAGTAACAAGTAGATACAAGTAAATACACAAAAAAGAAAACTGACAATACACAATTTTTTATTTTATTTTTATTTTTTTGATGGTTTTGTAATATTTAAATTTTTATAGTAAGGTGTTTTTATGTTTATGATGGATAATAACAAGAGAAAAAAATAATAAAATACAAGACGATTAAAGTGATAAAAATGAAGATAATTAATAACGAAGCGATACATTGCGAGTTACACACCATATACCAACGGTTCCCAAACATGGGTCGCGACCCACTAGTGGGTCGCAAAAGGAATCTTAGTGGGTCGTGAAAAGATGTAGGGAGCTTTGGTTAAATATACTGGTTATTAGGATCGGTGGCAACTCGAATACGTAAATCTTCAAAAAAACAAAATAAATAAAATTGAATTTAAATTATAATCTGTGAAAGTTTCCTCTTTACGATCTTCTCAAAAGAACAAAAATTTGCTACACAAAGAATGACCATGTGGCCTTTTTACGCATAAAAGTTTTGTACACTGTACAGCACTTCTTACCGTGTTTCCCCGAAATTTAGACAGGATTTAGATATATTTTCTTTTGAAGAATCATACTATGTTTTTTTTTGGAAGAGATCTTTTGTATTCATTTATCAAAAATAAAATTACATTGTAGAAAATCACAAGATTTTTACTAAACATTAAATAAAAACGACATCCATTGTTTTTATTTGTATTTCCTATATAAAAATCAAGTGACAAATATCGTATTTGTGATATCACACAATCTTGAACAGTGGTGTGATCTTCACCTTATCTCAGGCCAATGACCTTTTCCCCCACACATATTAAATTTATTTCAAGGGTGGGGTTTAATTAAAATCATTTTGAAAATTCAAATTATTATCTTATTTTCAGGCCAGGTCTTCATTTCGAGGAAACACGGTAGTTTTGCGATGATTAGCAATTGCTGTGTTCTGTGTTGTGTCATAAAAAAAAAAAAAAATTAAAATAAAGTTAAGTGGGTCCCCATAATCTGTGGTAATAAATAGTGGGTCCCAACTCTAAAAAGTTTGGGAACCACTGCCATATACAATTCGCAAAGTGCGTCGAAATCGAGTTGCCTTAATAGGGTGTGGATAAATCGAAAGGTATGTTACAGTCAAACTTTTGATTCCATTTGAGCTTGGGTGCTCGCATCTGAGAAGTTGCTAGCATTTTCTATATCTTCCTCGTCACTTTCGACATCGGATATCTGGTGTATTTCTTGTTGTTCGTTGAATTGTACTACGGGTTGTCGTTGAATGTTGAGAAGTCGTTGTATTGGCTGGAACAATCCATTTGTTAATGCATCGCGAATGGTAATTCGGCAGTTTGGCAAACTTTGATAAATGAAATATCCTATGTACAGGAAAGAAAGAATGGGTATAACGAATAATGCGTAAATAAGGCAAAATCCTACGTAGGCTAATTCCAAGCTGGGCTCTTAACTCGAAGGAGTCAGGCAAATATATTGCATTTGACGGCCTTTTGAATTCCGTCTTCCAGTGTAGTGATATCAATAGTTTCTGCAGAGGTTCGTCCTCCTTTGTAATCGTCATTCAGTTTGTTGAGTTCCGAAATTGTAACTAAAAGGTCGTCCATGCTTGTAGCTAAAATTTCCTCAAGGAATGAGCTGTAATCTTTTGTAGATGGGTCATCAAAAGTTGTATACAGTGAGGGGTATACTTCTTTGACATTTTCGTTCCTGGATACTAGTGAATAGTTGTAATACTTGTGGTAGCTGCCATTGATTTTGAAAATTTTCGTTTGTCCAAATCGTGGTGATTCAGTCAGTAATATTTGATTGAAAACGACGTTGCTGGCGTGGATTTGTCCAAGTTCTGTAGATCTGTTTGGCAAGGTATATGCAACAATCGGACGTGTTGAATACGAGTTGTTGAAGAAAAGTGTTGGGAGAACTGTAAAATTGGCGGAAAAACAATGAAGTTCGACAAGAACATCTCCGTGAGCAATTGCATGAACTTCACGTCTTAAAATTGCAGATAATATTTGAGAGGGGTACAGCTGTGCTAGTGGTTTCAGTAGATGGGAGATCATTGATTCGACACGACATAAAAGACTCGACGAACAGCAGTTATACAGGCTCGTCGGGCGTTCCATGTAGGCCACGAGACGAGGCCGTTTATCTTTCAGTTTCGTAGCGCACATAAGGGAACTACCCGAAAATGCTCTTTAGAAATTTAGTAACAAATAATATTTCGTTCCCATTTCCAAAAGTTGCACGTTTTACGAAAAAAACGCTTTTACTACGAGAAATATGTGTTACTATCTGTCCTATATTTTCTGCTTTCCCGGTAACAGTGGCCAGTGAACGCAGACTTCTGCATGACGTAAAGATTTGAATTTGATCAGCTGTAGGTGGATTATCGTGGTCAGGTAAATCTCAGATGTAGCCTACTGCTCGTTTTTGCGTTGAGTTGAGTAGCCTTTCCATCGTCTTTTTCAGTTACTATTATTTAAGTTATTCTAAGATGGTGTTAAAAAGCTGAACCAAAAGCTTCATTGCATAAAAAATAAATTCGTTTGATAACTTCTGTAAAATAAATGCAACTTCTTATGCTGTTCTTTGTTTTCAACTGCTTGTCTGAAAAAGCCCGATTTTGGTCAGACGAAACGTTTCCGAAATACATTTGTGTTAGTGCGCAGCAGGGCTCTTGAATTGCATAGTTCTTATGCTGTGTTGTTGTGAACCTATGGATATTGATTTTCTGGTAATTCTCTTATATGCGATTTTGCATCAGGATTTTTGAAGCGTGCTTTACAGAAAATGTGCAACTTTTGTTAGGATTTTAATTTGTGACCTAATCGCATAAAATTGATGCGTTTGATAGCAACTTTTTATGCTGTGTCGTTGTAAACTTATGATTAATAATTTTCGGGGAATCCCATAATATCCCATTTTTTGCATAAGGATTTTTGAAGCATGTTTTACAGAAAATGTGCAACTTTCGTTAGTGGGAATAAGCTGTAATGCGTTCAGTATGTTCATTTTTATACAAAACTGAAGAATTGATATAGTTCCCAGATGTGCGCTACGAAATTCACATTCTAGGCGTTTTGCAGGGTCTCGTCTCACGGCCTAATGTGAAAGAAAGGTGAGTCACAAACCAGTCAACAAAAAACTCATCCCAAGTCTCTTGTGTTTTGAGTCGATTATCCGAAACTTGGACTATGGCGCTCATAAAAATTCAATGGCATACTCGAAAATGAATGCTCAAAATTGAATTACTCGCCTAATTAAATTGAAAACTGAATTAATTTATCCGTAACACGACCTAAATCAGCTTATAACACTGAACTGGAAATACATGGAACGATCTTCTCTCTCGTTTTGCGTTGTCGCAGCGCGGGATAATTTGATCGCCGCCATCTTGGCATTTATGCTTCCAAAGTTTCTTCGTGTTGCATCTGGTTTTGGCCAGTTTCTGGTCTATTTTAGTACCCAGTGCGCCCCATATGGATGTATATGCGACTTTTTGTGGGTATTCAAATACAATTATACTCGAGTTGGGATTTTATAGCCTGATGTGGATCTCGTTCTTGAAAAAATTTGGTGTTCAGGCGATTATACAATAGATATAAGTGCAAACAATTGTTATTGCCTTATATCATAAAAATGCAATAACTTCCACGGGGAAGATTTCACATTAAGTCTTCGGTAGAGGGCGAAGCGCAGTTTAGTTGGTACTCTCGTAGTCTGTGTACCAGATTGGGGTTGGGTCATAACTTTTCCTATTCTAGTTCTATTACGAGTTCGGGGATTGTGTATGTGTTAGCTAAGTAAATATATTTTGTGCCCATGGGTTTCTGTCCATTTAGCAACTTAGTGTAGGGTAGGCAAACAATATTAGATACCTCCATGATGGTACACGCACTTATGGAGCCCTCTTCAGTTCTATTTATGTGTACAGCTCGGTCACTACGGAACCAGGCCACGCAATGATATTGAGATCGCTACGCAAAATACTTAAGGCGATAAAACTAGAATTCGGTTGGAAACCGAAGACTTATCGATCGGAGGTTAGGGGATCCCCCAAAACAGTGGTCTTACTCCATAGTGACACCGTGTGTCCCATCACTAATTAATTAATAACTCGCTAATTATACGACATAATCCATCCAAAATCGATAGACTCCTGTTACGAACTATCATGAATGCACATGCAAAATTTGGAGCAGATTCAACCTCGCTTTCGTGAGATATCGCGTGTATCTAACAGACAAACAAACAAACAGACAAATACCTATCAACATACTTACCGATCTTAAGATCGATAAGTAATAAGGCCAAATACAGGTAAATGGGGAAGCGATTCCGATAAGCCATCTTGGATAATGTTTTGTGGTCGTTCATGTTCGCTTTTGACTGATACGTTGGCCATTTAACCACGAGTCCACGACTTTCGCAAATTTATAAAACTGCCTAAATTAGCACCGTATGGTGGGCTGGGATATACTAGCGTTTGATACATAATGAGAAACGAATCAAGATCAGGCGAATAGGCGAGAAAAATCGACGCAAATGATTGATTTCTATCAAATCCCATAATAAATGCAAACGCGCTTCGAAAAAGTTGGAAATCTATCGTCAAAACGAGAGAGCCTTCATATGGTCCCGCGGAAACGAGAGAGAAGTGCACGACATGGCTGAATTATATCCTGATTATATGGTTGAATGGATGGTTGTCATAGTGAAGAAAAAGACGTTATGCTCCAGTGGGCTCATGTTGTTTTCATTTTTCTCGGTTGAAATCAAAAATTTGCCAGATTAGGACTAAGCTGCAAAGGCAATAAAAGATATAATTGTGAGTTATTGGTTACTATTTTAATTTGCTCAAATCACTGAGCAAGATTTTTTATTGGAAATTTAGAATAGCTCATGGCGCAATTAGAAATATCACGGTAACTTAACTTGTGGCAGAGCTTGGCAATATATTTTTATTACGGTAAATGTTTTTCTTTAAAATGGTAATTTCATGTGTACCGTACCTAATGTTCACTTCGGTTAGAAAATCGATCGATGTGGCAGTGGCAACTATTATAAAATTTTTAATATGGTGTGGCAGGTAATTTTTGTTTGTATATTTTTTATTATTATTTTTATTTACTATGTAATTTATCCTAAGTTTATGGCGTTTTTCCTACTTCGGTACTTTATAATATCTCTGTGGTCGAGTGTGAGCGTGTGTGAATTAATTTAATAATTTTAGATGAGTGAATACGTACGGTACTTCTTCTTGGCAAAACCTTCAATTCTATATTCTGTACGTTTCTGCGTTTTAAACCTTATCTAAGGTTTTGTTTGCTCTCCTGATTTTGTAATCAGTTTTTATTTGTTTTTCTCAATCATTTCATTGCCTGTTATGCTGATTATGGAGTCAAAATAAACCTATACTCATTAGGATAGGATTTACACGTTTATCCTGATGAGAAGACGATAAAATGGCTTAATCATACCAAGCTTAATGAATTAATCATATAGCCTCTCGTCTGCTTACTAGTCCATGTCAGTTATGGAATTAGTTAGTCAATTATTTGTTTCAGATGCATGGAGTTGAATAGATTAACAAAACCTGAAAACCATGGGCATGGAATGTATCTGGCTGGAAAGTCAGAAATTTCAAACCAGCAGCCTGGATGGCTGAATCATTCCTATATTTTTCTGTTTATCACCCGCGATGGGAAATCAGAATGCTTACACCTAAAGGCATAATTACCAGATTTATGTGTTCATTAAATCATTGTAAAACTGTAAAATGGCTGATGTTGCACAAAACTGAAATTAAAAATATGAATTTCATATAGATATTATAGCAATATAAAAACATGAAATATACTGGAATTCTGGAATTTGAATAAATACAGATAAAATTAAACGATCATCAACATGAGTGATTCACCAGTTCCATCGGGAGCAAAGAAGGGAAGTGCAAAAGGAGCAAAAAAGGGTTAGTAACCTGTATACTGATGTCATACTGATCTTGTTTGCCTAAGACACAGTTGTGCTACATGTTATGTACTTCTCTCAACCATAATAGCAGCCTGGTTTTGTAGTTGTAGTAAAACAGTAATAGCACAATCAGGCAATACATTTGAAATAACAAGTATGTTTCTAGATAAAAAATCTACGAAGATGTAACAAGAAATGTTATTTCGAATAGCCATCTCAACTCATTTGCTTCTATTATTATAAATCTATAGACATTCGGACGTTTTCAGTTACCCCCCCCCCCCCCCCCCCCCACTCATATATGAATACTCACACTCACTAATAAAAGTATTTCCTTTAATGCTCCAGATTGGTTTTATTTGACTTTTTTAAATTTATTTTAGTCATACCTCTTTACAATATTATATAATGTAATTGAATGTGTTAATTTGTTTCTTAGATGCAAAGAAACCTAAAGAAGAAGTGGTTTCACCCCCTCCAAAGGAGTCCGGTAAGTCCAGTTCTAGAACATCAGGTGTCGCTGCTCGATAACCAGCTTTGGTTCTACGCGACTGCCCTTCCCCAGTAAAACTGTGTAAATTATCATTTTCTCGTAATTTGTACTCGTGTTGAAAAAAGGGAATTGACTCGACTTGACTACCTTGGCCTTACTATGATCTGAGCTCAAGACAAGTAGTCATCCGAAATGGCTACTATTTTTGGAATGACTAGAAGCTTTCCGGTTGATGTGTACCCAATTTATTACACCATGAGATTAGGTGATGGCATGGAGGTTGAAACCGAAATCTTAATCGACAATGCCAACATAGAAATTTCCGACCATTTATCATTAAAGCATCATAAATATATGGCTCAATCATTGGTGCATAATTTGAACATTCATAACATGCATGCCATCGCACATCCTATTACCATGCGCAGATTCACAGATTTGAATGCTGTTTAGAGAGAAATGTTTGCGAAGATTTTTGAACTCCTTCTACCCATTTTTATATTTTCTAAATAAATAACCTTTTTATCACACAAACTTGTGAAATACGGTATCTGAAAAATTTAAAAATTTTCTAATAATCACTATTGAAAATATCTTCATTTCGTCATGCAAAAAAATCATGAATAATTCAAACACAATTATTATACATCAGGAAACCAGATTCCATTGCAATTTACAGGAAGTCACAAAGGACCAGAACTGGTCATCATGAGTCTGCGACACCTAGAGTCAAAAATACAGAAAAAAAGCAATGGACATAAAGATAATATTGTTTTTTTTTTCTTTTTATAATCAAGGTCCACCAGAAGGTGTCATGCCACTGTTTCTTGCAACAAAATCTCAACAAATTTTTTCATGCATATGTGATGAACATGTTACTGATGATAATCCTTACAAGTTGATCAAGAAAGAAGACATAATTGAGGATATGAAAATGAGAGCAGCTATATCTGATTTCCATCCAGCTAAACAAATTGTCTTGGTATGAAATAGTATTACAATGACTAACTTTTATCATTACTTCACTGTTTTAAACATACTTCAATGGGCGCTCCATAAGCGTGTCTGCCAATATGGAGGTAACTAATTTTGTAACTGCAGCCTATGGGCAGGGGGTATATTTACTTGGCTAACACAGACAGTCCCCGAACTCGTAATAGTACTGGAATAAGGGAAATTGGAATAAAATTATGGCCTAACCATAACCTGGTACAAACACTGCGGGAGTACCCTTCAATGACTATATTGAAAGCGAGGAATCTGTTTTATTGCATTAGTTCCATTGTTCGTCTAATAAGACTCAAGAAGGTTTCAATTGTATACCGTAGTTTCATAGATTACCTTTAGATCAGAATTTTTTTTGAGCCGTTCTGTGTGACACACTGGATAGGATTTACATATTTATCCGGAGGAGAGGAAAGCTGATTATATGGCTTAATCATATGGCGAACCACGGCCTTTGTCCGGTTATCAGTCCATGTCGGGTATGTGATTAGGTAGGTAATCTGTTGTTCGTTTTCGGATGCATGGACTTGATGATGGAGGAAGGCGTAACTGACCAGCGGTTACGTGGACCACCCTACAGTTACAGGGAGTCCAGCGATTCTCTTGCACATAATTACCCCCTCCAGGATTCGAACCTGGAAACCCACACATAGCAAATAGAGGTTCGATGGCGATGCGCCACATTGCCAAGCCTGCTACACTGCTATTGCTCGTCTCTGTTTTGTTCTTAATTTTTTGGTTTTTCACTGTAGCTTTGTGAAATCAACACAAGTATAAATCTTTCGGGGTCGTCTTTGACTTGGCTCTTTACCTCTCAGTGACTTTGCATGACCTTGTACTGAGTAAATTTTCATCTTTCTTAGGATTATCCTGGAGAAGAATTGTTGGTTGTTTATGATCCTGATTTCCAATATGGACAAAACTTTTATCTGTGTACTACAGAGGATGCAAAAAATAAGCTGTTAAGACCTGCGTCGGGGAAAGGACCAGGTACAGACTTTTTTCTAGCATAGTTCTAATATCAGAGGGGAATGTTAAAAGAATTTAAATTGAAAAGAATTCTTTGTGGCAAGGTTAAATTTGGATTAAGCAATTGTTACATTGTTACTTGTAAATAGGATTGTGGGGGCGAGAAAATTTGCATCTGACTTGGGCTCTAATTTATGAGCTATTCACAAACTTTTTCTTGACTCCCAACTCCCAATTGGCAAAATTTACATGTCTCCACCTTGAGCAAACCAAATTCTCTGCTGAGAATGCTTAATTAAATTAATGCTTTCTGAGTTTTTGTTGAGAATTTTAACTTCAGTTATGAGTCTTATGACAATTAGAAGCTTCAAATTCAAACTCTGACTCTGGTAAAAACACTCCAAATTTCAACTCCAGACACCAACTCACCAGCCCTCCTGATTGTGGCATTTATGCTTTAAGCTGAGAGTTGCAGCCTTTTTTTATTTAAAACTTGTATAAAAGATTTACGGTTGTCAAAAGTATCAGATTTAAGCTACCACAAAATTTTTTATTTTTTGTAAAAGTTGTAAGTTGTTTAAGGTTATACAGAAAGAAAATTATGTACTCTGATTTTGCACTTTTATGATTTCATCAATTTGGACACATACCTCTAAAACTATCGAATTCCAAATTCAGTATAACCCAAAATGTTACGTTATTCCAAATTCCTTAAGAAACTTATGACTAAATTACAATTTCATCAGGATTTACAGGTACATACAGCTTTTTTGTGAAAATGATTCCATTATGAATTTGAACAACAGAACCTTTTACACATTCTTTTATATAATATACCGGTGTAGGTAACAGATAAATTTGATAGAATGTCAAACAAAAATGTATTAACCAACCAAAATTTTGATTTGTCAATAATGATCATTTGTCATATGGATCATGTCTGTTCTTTCATTGATTCTTAATGAAAATAATTTAATGTTTACATTTTATTAAAAATAAATTTTCATTTTATTTCCAGTTGGTGTAGCTGGTGAAGAAGCAGAACCAGAGGAAGAAGAAGAAATTGTTTATACCTACAAACCTCCTGAAGCTAAGGAATGGATTTCACTTGGAAGTCAGGTTGAAGTTGAATGTGAAATTGTACAAGATACTCGACCTAAGGTGAATATCCTGGTATTTGCCAGTTGCTATCCACAAGGATTGGTATTAATTTCATGAATGTGGGACGAAAGTTTAATATCTATGGATGAATTCCTACTAGCATCCTGTTTGAATTTGGTCATTGTGCAATTAATCATGTAGCTTTTGATTTTTAAATTATCATTTCCAATTAAATTTGTCACTCATTTTTACCCTACTCATAAATCATCTTGGCAGATGAATTCTTGTTTCATTTGTAGCCTGTCACTCTATGATAAGGCTTATATTGCGCGAAAGTGTTAGCAATTTTTATCTTGTTGGTCAAGTATGTGGGAGAAGATGTCTGGACACTTTACTATTCCAGATTGGTTTATATAACTGTTGGTCGGTTATGGCTTCTTTCATGAGCTCCATCCCCATAATACCCATTAACAAAAAGAAGCTGATGCAGGGTCAAACCCACTGCAAACACTATTTTTGCGACTATTCTTTGCCCGCTGTCGAAAACCACTGCATGTTGGTGAGATATGGTGGCATACCTCACTTTATACTATAACCCATATGATTTTCCACATTTGCTTTCTTGTATTCCAGTTGAAATTCATTGCATCAAGAGTAAGAAGAGAGTTTGGTGCTTTCTGTGAATTTCAAGATCGTGATGTTGATCCTGCGACAGCATTAGAACAAGGTCTTTCAGCATCATACATGGGAATAGCATCTTATGAAGACAAAAATTTTTCATCAAAAAGACTTGAGCAAGATTCATCTGTGCAAGCTGTGCCTGAACGTGTGGAGGGATCATCACAAACTGTCTGGTATGTTTGCTCAGCTTTTAGTGTAAATGAAAGGGCACTCCAGGAGTGTGTGTACCAATATGGAGGTAACTAATTATGTTCGCCTTCTTTACATCAAGTTGTGTAAAGGGACTGAAGCATATGAGCAAAGGGTATATTCACTTGGCTAACATAGACAGTCCCCGAACTCGTAATAGAACTAAAATAAGGAAAATTGGAAAAAAATTATGCCCTAACCCTAACCTGGTACACACACTACGGGAGTACCAATTAGAGTCTGGTGGCATAGTGTATGGTTTCTGAAACTGGGCCCTATTCCCTAAGTGGGCTATGGAACAAATCTTTGCGGGGCCACAAACAAGGGCCTTCACTAGGTACCATTCGCAATAACTGTGGTATATTAACATAATGAAAATTGACTGTAATTTGTTTAATTTTTTGACTGTGATGCATCAGGAAGCATCCATGCACTGCCGCAGTACAATACGAACCAAGATCCTTATCAAAAGAAGAATGTACAACAATAGAAAACTCAGAAGAATACCAAACTTTTATTGAAAGTACTGTTCCAAGGTTTGTATTCAATTTATATTTTACTTTTATTGTATTTATTGAATTTATCCCTTTTTTCATATTTATATTATGGCGTGTCAGATCCTAGATATTAAATGTTGGTTAGTCCTGTAATCACAATATTCATGGTTCATACCCTATTCATGGTTGAAAAAATTGGACTATGCTGCGCCAAAAAGATTCCATTCATTCTAATGTTAGTAATTTCCTATTTGTCATTGGCCGCTTGCTCTGAACCTTGTTTCGAGAGAAAATTTTAAACAATTTGTATTTCATTTTCATATTATATCAGATATTATCTGGCCAGTTGGTATTCAGTATATACAACAGATATAATATGAAATTGTTAATATCTAACAGTTTATGTCTGAAGTTTATTTATTATGTCTAGCTAGGATAATTACATTCTTGCTACTTTACGCAGATTTGAACTCGCGTTACAACAAAATGACATAATGGATGTATTTTTTGATGATTGGTCAGTGCTTGGAGATGAAGATACTAATTTTGGAAGCAAATCAGACAACCATTTGAAGGTAGAATTATATTTTCACCTGTAGTTTTATTTCCGATTGAAGTATGTTCTACTCCCACCCCTTCCCCGACCTTTTTCAACACTCACTTCAGCAAAGCACCTGAGATGTGTAATCTGCTATGCCAACACAGTTGAGTCTTAAACTTCTTGGCCATCACGCCATCAGTCAGAAATTGATTTTCAGTGTAAAAAACATTATGATGTTATTAGCTTTTGTGTCACACACACCCACTGATCTCTGACAAAATTTACCGGTGACTATTAAAATGCTAAGAGCTCCTGGAAGCTTGACAGTATGGCGCATCGTGCTGACTGCTGAGTGTCAGGAATATGCTCGCCAACGCACCTCTGATTACCCTGCATGGTTTCGCAGGTTGGAATCCCATAGTAATGTGCGAGAGGATTGCTGGACTCCTCGCCACCGTAGGGTGGTTAACATTTCCTCCATCACCAAGACCATGCTTCAGAAAACAAATAACTGGCTAACTAATCCCCTACCCGACATTGACTGGTATCTGGACGAGAGGCCAAGGTTTATCATATGATTATGTCGTCTTTCGTCTTTCCTCTTCCCCAGGATAAATATGTAAATCCTATCCTAAACTATATTACCGGTATATTTAATCATGGTGGTGCATTATGTTATCAAAATATTAGGTTGTATGCAGTGATGGGATTCAGCACGTTCGCACCGGTTCTATAGAACTGTCTCATGGAATTTTATGAGTTCAGCCAACCGTTTTGCATTACTGGTTATTGTCCATGACTTTTTGTAGGTGAAAAATATGACTTTTGTGATGAAACCGGCTGACAAAAAAATTGAATCCCACCACTGGTTGTATGTGAATACTAGTATTTATCTCTTACAGGAATACCAGTCTTTCACTGATCTACAATACAGTAAGGACAGGACAATAACATGCATTGATTGGCATCCAACTATTAAAGGAGTTATGGCAGTATCTTGTGCAGAACGCCTCAGTTTCCAAGAGAGAGTAGATCAAGCTACTCAACTACTTATGACTCCCTCACTCATTCTCATCTGGAGTTTTTCTGATCCGATTCATCCTCAGGTAATTAAATGATAATTTTGAGGAAGTTTTTCCAACGAGGCTTTCAAGACAAAAATGCAAATGTTTAATTTAAAAAAAAAAAAAAAATGTATTAAATCTGTATTAAAGCTGTCAAGCGTTTTCTGAAATTTGACTTGTTATAACTACCGGTATTCTAAAATCTAATATTTCTTATCCTTAATACAACTGTCAGATTGTAAAGTATTTTGATTAGAATAAAATATTCTATTTGATATTATAGTCATGAATCTCAATCGCCAACTTTTTGTCAGATGAGCTTATTTCTATGTCCCATATGAATATTTTTTCACCAGAATATCAGATATGATTTTAAATAGTACATTGATTCACATAGTATTTTTTATTTATTTGATTTCTGATGGACTAGATTTGTCACATCTATTATAATTTTAGATACTTCTCGAAGCTCCAGATGACATATTTTGCTTTAAATTTTGTCCTTCTGATCCAAATATTGTGGCCGGTGGTTGTATTAATGGACAGCTAGTCTTGTGGGATATCTCAGAACATGCAGATAGACTACAAAGCAGTAGAACTGGTGGAGGAAATACTAAAATTGACAAAAAGCAACAGGTATGTGTGTTATTTAGTATAGTAGTGACTTTCGATTTAACTAGGACTCAGGAGTCGAGAAAAATTTACAATTCCATTTGAAAATAAATCATAAAATTATGGTGGTAACTCCATTTTGAAGTAACTTTTAACCCAACCGAAAGAACGAAATTTTTACCAAAAAAACTTTTTCAAATGCATACCTTCCCTATAATTTTTTGTTTTAGCTTAGTTGGTGCAGTGCTTTTTTAGTTTTTGAATGAAATTTTTAATTTGTTCACCGCTGTTCACCAATTCTGAATCTTGACTACAAGGAATTCAAAATTTCGATTCAAAATACGACTCGGTTATCATAGGTTAAGAATTATGATTGCAAATGTAAATAGTTGATTGTTTTTCAACAGGCAATGTTTTTGTAATAGGTGATATTTGAGATTGTTATTTGACTAATTAAATTTTCAACATTTCCAGCCCTTATTTGGTGAAGAAGTTGGGCCAGAGACACCTACCATCAGATATTGTGCTGTTTCTGCTATTGAAAACAGCCATAAAAATGTTATTACATCATTGGAATGGATTCCAGATCATTTTGAGGTAATATTTATTTTTTTGATATAACATATTATTTGAATTTCATTTGTAATTTAGAAATATGTATGCACAGTCTTATTTGGAATGAAGGAGTGAAAATTACATAAAAATAAAACTTGGGAAATAAAATTTGCTCAATAAATAAAAATATGCCCAATGCAGGGTTATGTCAGTAATTCTGAACGGCATCATATAAAGAGCTGTGTAGCAGTGCTAAAGCCTTATTGCTCCTCTTTTCGTCTATTATCATTATTATCAGATCGACCTCAAAAAGTCTGATAGTTGATAGAGTAAAATTGCGACTTTTCTTTATATGACGTTTGAAAATATCAGTTTCTCACTCTGATAACAGCTAATATGACAGTTCTTATTTTCGTGTCACCGTATAGTGTCCAAAAGTTGAATAAAATTTCCTAGAATCTGAATCATCTACTTTCAGCTCAACAGATATGGAATTCCAGTTGAAAACAAAACTTCCGAATGCATTCAAATAATGACATGTAGTCCTGATGAAAGTATATTGGTGTGGGATACAAGACCTCCGAAAACAACAACAGGTCCTACTAGAGAACAGGTCACTCTATTTTTCAATATAATTCATTATGATTAAAGATAGGAATATGTTCTAACATTAACCAAAAGTTACCACTAATTAAAGCGTTTTAATAAAATTTTCTCAAAGTATGGTAGCACATACTTTGGGAGGAAAGTTACGAGTGTCCACAGGAATGTCAAACGATAATGAAATTATATAAAATTTTAGTGGCTTCACCAATGCTTAAGGTATCGCTTTCAGAAAAAAACAGTGTATTTCATTAAGAGAAATATAGAAAATACTTGGTGGCCAATAAAATTTCTAACTACTACCTAAACAGTCTTTCCTGTCCCCTGGGATAAATATGTAAATTATATCCTATCATATTTAGTTTAGCAGCATATGAAACCCCTATTTTATGTATATTAAAATTTAGTGAGTGGTGAATAATTCAACCACACACATGAATTTCTATTAATCTTTGTTTTATAGCAAGCTATTGATAAAAAAATATCAGAGACAGGTCCACAAACATTCAAGCATTTGGATTTGACTTGGAAACCTTTGCTGAAAATGGTTTTTCAAAAAATTGATGGCAGTGGAGAATACAGTCCATTGGTTTTTAGTCTCAAGGAAAGACAGGGAGTCAGAGATCATGGTAAGGAGAAATATATAACAAGAATTTAATAGTTTTAAATAAAATTATATGTATTTTACATTCAGTCCATTCACATGAAACGAATACCTGATTAGCTATTCATTTTTCATAGAGCGGTTCTGATATTTCTAATTGCAAAGTTAGGCCGTAACAGCTAGCGGGTCTTCGAAAAATTTTATAATACAGAAAAACTATAGTAGCTCCTTACCTAGCAGTGGCAGCTTGTGCACAGCTTTGCGTAGAGCAAAATGAATGAAAATCTCTACTCAACCAACCTTGTAAATTTCTAAAATAGTCAGGTTTATAAATATATTTACAATATAATGTGATTTGAGAGTGTTGCTGCACCCTAACATAAATGTATTTCTGTAACATTTCGACTAGCCCAGACCCAGTATAGTCATCTTTATTCCTGCTACAGCAGCATCCTTGCATTATACCAATGAGGCCATTAGCGCATCGGCATAGGGAAAATACAAGATTGATAGTAATTTATTGAATACTGGGATGTTTATTATCGTTGTTTCAAGCAAGGGAGCATTACCAAGTTATGTGCAATTTCAGTTTTATTTTTTTTAATCTATGTAGTTGCTGAGGTGATTAATTATTGTGCCTTCATTAATTTCTGCATTTTTTCATTAATTTCTGCTTTTTTTCATTAATTTCTGCTTCTTTTCATTAATTTCTGCTTTTACTTCTCCAGTTCCGGCTCCTGATTTATCTACCCGAAGAGAAAGTCTTGTTGGCATGGGCCGAGGAAATTCAGCAAAAAATCAAAAACCACTGGATGGTGTATCGACGAAATATTTTATCGCAACTGAGGATGGTGAAGTAGTTTATGCAACATTTAAAATGGAGAAAGATTCAGAAACTGGAAAATCCAATGGTAAATTCATAATGGAAGAATTAAATGTGGTTCCACTTTCCAGCCGCGATTTAGAATTTGTCAAGAATTTGTCCCTCCATTTTTAGAATTTGTCAAGTCTTGTGCCTCATCTCAAAATAACAGATGTTTTATTAAAAAACTCGTTGAATACTCGTAAATATCCGAAATAAAAAAATATAAATATCACAAAATAAAGCGGGCAAGATCAAATCTGACAAATATTTTTATTTTTAATTAGCTGTGAAGCTAAGCCCCTCAAAAAATAGTGAATATGTTGATTTATATTCAAACAATTCATGAATTGTATAAAGCGAATTCATCACTTCTAGGTTCTAATTTTATAGTGCAAGTTTAAAACTATTAAAAGCAGTTAAGGTCTGAGGTATTATTTTGTTTAGTGGGCGTGGTGGTCTAGTGGTTAAAGCAGGGGTGGGCAAGGTTTTTGGATCAGGGGCCAAAAATTTTGCCCACCTAGACTGTAGTTTGCCCATGTCAGGTTTAGAGCGTTGGTCTTATCTATGCTGGCATGACAGGTTGAAATCTAAGGTTAATATCCCATGCCTTCCACCTAGCACAGGGTGTAATAAATTGTACAGGAAATGCTGAACCAGAAAGATTCTGATTCGTCCAAACTATAATAGCTCCTTGTTTAGCAGTGTCCACTTGCATAAATATATAAATATGTATTATATAAAAATGATCTTGCCTGCAACGTTAATTTACATTGCGACATTGTAATAGTATATCAGATAATTCACACTCATAAAATAAAACTGTTAACCCTTTTCCATGCGATTTTTATTTTTTATTAAATAATCGTATTTGCTACGCCGATTTTATGCATTTGTACCCCCACAACTAATGATCTTCTGCTGCCCACTGACGGCTCATTGGAAAGCTTATATAAAGATCTTGCAATTGGCGATTAAAAAAAAAAGTTTTTTTAAAAGTGGTGGTCTGAGTCACAAACCGGATAGAAAAAAGGCATTTTTTTTTCTTGGGTGTTGAAACTTCAAACCGTGATAAAAAATAGAAATATTCGCTAAATCCTTTACTGTTACCGCTTCGTGGTTGGCAAACAATAGCATAATATTGCTGTAGCAATTTCGTGATCCAACCCAAAATACTTTGGTAGATGGAAGGGATAATATGTCTTCTATTACCACCCAAAAAAAACCGAAATTTGCATAAATTTCAAAAACACTCCCTCGTTCCGCCGCAAATAAAATTCCCGTCGTAAACGAAAGCAAGATTTACCGTCGGTTATGTTAATCTCGAAGAAGACTTCTTATCAATAAACTAAAACCCGGAAAAACTAGACCAACAGTTTGCGACCGACTGCTAAATAAAACAGTGGAGTACATCAACGTACCCGCCGCAATCTAGCGACTTTTGTCGTGGGTACGTATACGTGCCCACCGCACGGAAAGGGTTTAAACTGTCCCATAGAGTTATTACAATTTTAGCTTGTGAATTTTGTCTTTAAAATTTATAAAATATAATTATTATTGGAAAAAAAATTATTTGTTATATATCTACAGTCCCGAGACCTACCTGGGCAGTATCTCCTCATGATGGTCCAGTACATACCCTACAAAGATCACCATTCTTTAGTGATATTCTGCTGAGCGTTGGTGGATGGACATTTGCTTTGTGGAAAGAGGGTGTCACAGTATGTATTATTTAATGAGACCTAAAATAATAATGACAAATAACAAACACCTGACCAACCATACCAGACATGGACTGGTAATCGGACACCATATGATTAAGATGTCGGGTCGAATTTCCTCTCCTCGGAATAAATATGTTCTATCCTATCTTATATATTCCATAGTAGGTATAGAAAGATAGGCTGAATCGCCGAATAACTACACAAATCGAACAAGTTTATAAATCATGATATTATTCTCATTTTAGTTGTCTTGACAAAATTATACATGTTTTAGAATGATGCGATACTACAGTCTGCATGTGCTACAAAACTATATACCGCTGGTCACTGGAGCACAACACGACCTGCCGTGTTATTTCTTGGAACAAAGGATGGAAATGTTGAAGTTTGGGACTTGCTTGATCGAACCCATGAACCATCTTTAGTTCAAAATGTTACAGCAGCTCAGGTAAGATGGCACTCTGGGATATACTTAAATTTGGTACTCCCGTAGTATGTGTACCAGGTTCCGATTATTAGGAGAGCCTTGTTTAGAGCAAAGGACATATAAATGTATGCTGTATAAAAATCCAGTCGAAGTCATCAAATCTAGAGATTCGTCGTATGTTAACAAATGTAAATTGTCACCATCTATGTTTTTATCATAGAAAAATATCATGTTCATATATCTGATTCCTATTAAATTTCCTATTCAAACAGATTACCACTATCATTCCTTGGGTCGTTTCAAAGAAGCAACATCTAATTGCTGTATCAGATAATATCGGAACACTTCACATATTGGAAATACCTTGGAATTTGAGACATGCTGCTGCAAATGAGGTAATTTTCTACTTCACAAATGTGAGTCTTGTATGGTCAAATGGTTACCCTATATCAGGGGTGGGCAGGGCAACCTTTTCCGGCTCGCGTGCCAAAATCGACTAAATTTAATGACAAAATTCTTCCAGGTGCCGACCAAATATGTCGAGAGCTCACTCAGTTGTGACGTCATAATATATTTCTTTGAAGCCCTATGTCATGAATGGACAAAAAGAATTTAAATAAATAACGGATTGTTAACAAACAATTTTGATTAAACGGACGCAGAGTTTCAACAGATAATTCCGAGTATTGAAACTTTTTATCTGAAGAAAAATGATTTCGTTTCTAAAGCCTCGCTCGCGTGCCGAGTAAATGGGCGGCACGCGTGCCAGGGGTTGCCCACCCCTGCCCTATATCCTCAGGACAAAGCTGAGAAGGCACATGCCTTCTATAGTAGTCAGAATAGAGTAATATAGTGTAAAAAGAGCGAAATCAAGCCAATCAATGTCGTTTTAAGAGTTTTTTCCACAATTTTAATAGGTTCACAGCGTTCAAAATTACTTTGATCGTGAAACAAAAAGAATTGAATATTTCTCCGACAAGGCAGTTATTAGAGAAGCAGAGAAGAATCAAGCTGGCAAAAAGAAGAAAGACGTAAGCAGACTGATTTTTCATTACCATTTTTACTTTTTATTATTGGTTCCATTTTGCAACAGTGAAGTAGCCCTAAATTTAATTTATGGATTCTGAGGAAGTAATTTTAATGTTATTTATTTTGTATTGTGGTCAACCTTAGTCTGTAGCAGTGGTGACCAACATGCGATCTTTTAGTGTGAATTTTCCGCTTGCAAATTTGACATAATTTTCAAGTTTTTGTATGAATAGCCTTGACAAAATTCAAACTAAAATTCGGTTGGAAACCGAAGACCAATCGATCGAAGGTTAGGGGATCCCCCAAAACAGTGGGCTTACTCCATAGTGACACCGTGTGTCCTATCACTAATTAATTAATAACTCGCTAATTATACAACATAATCCATCCAAAATCAATAGGCTGCTGATCCGAGCTAAGATGAATGCACATGCAAAATTTGGAGCAGATTGAACCTCGCTTTTGTGAGATATCGCGTGAATCTAACACACAGACATACATACATACAAATACCTCAACATACTTACCGATCAAGATCGATCAGATTAAGCTGAAAGTAACTATTTTCATTCAGAGGTGCAGGTGTACTTTAGTACCACTCATACTCACCTACTTTAAATTGATGTGCAAGAACTAATATTGGGATTTTTTAATCTTATCACAAGACCTTTTGGGGCTCTTTCCGGGAAAAAGGATTCAGGGTTTGACTATGAACTTGTCATAGCAAGAGTGTTAGTCTTCCAGACAATGCTTTTGTCTTTTTGCACAAGAGATCAAATTTTGGCTCTATTTCGGTGATGGTGGGTCTCTGTACTGGTTCCAAATTTGATCGATATTTCATTATAACATGGGGAAAAAATATTTTACCGAGACCCCAATTGAACCGGGATTATTCGGGACCCACAGGGGTGGTCAGGACCACCAGTTTGAAGAGCCTGGATATACTGTGCCATACTCGTTTAAACTTTATTAATATTCGATCTCTTCAATAAATAAACAGGACAAACCTGCAGAAGATAAATCAGAAGAACAACTTCTACAAGAATACGAAAAACAATATCAACAATATCTTGAACTTGAGAAAAAATTATTGAAAGAACTTGGAATTGCGGTTGAAGAAGATGAACCAGAGATGTAAATTTTTTACCAGATCTTGCTTGATCAAGTATAAGATTTTAAAGCATGCTCCTTCCATGTTACAATTTTCACTGGGCCATATATATTTCAAACTGTAAATACTGTAACTTTGAAATTGGTATTTTTATATTTTCTTCCAAGAGTATATAATTAAATATTGTGATACAAAAAGATTGAATTAATTGCTCCACCAAGGATAGTAAAGTTTTCTCATACAGAACAAGGCTATGCGTCTGAGCAGGAACACAGCCTAAGGAATTCGCTGGAAACAAAACGCAGTAGATGGACAATGGACTTCTTCTCGCTTAAATAGATTAATATTGTGCGATGGTTAATAGCCAAAAACATCGAATAAATTCCTACGTTGTGCATTGCTTGTCTCTCTTTGCCTGATGTCCCTCAGGGAATATTTTGCACATCCCATTTCAGACAATCACTGATTGCCGACCATCATCCGTTGTAACTCCATTACATTGTTCACTCTTCATTGTCTTATATTCAAACTATTATGTATTTGCCATAGAGACACTTCATAATATGCCAAAAAATGATTCAGTTTAGTTCAAATTCAGGATGTTTATCAGCATACAAACAGCAGTTATTAGAGGCTGCTAGATACTGACATGATAGTCTGATAATAAGTACTCGCGTATCTCTATTCAAAATTTTAGTCTTTGCTTTCAAGCATACATAGTTTTGAATGAGAAGTAGAATACCACAAAAACTCATCTGATGACATATGTGGGAATCATTTGCCAGCTTCTTTCTCACATCTCAAGATGTTATTATAAGAGGACTAAAATCTCAATGCCATTCAAATACCAGAACTTTTAGTAAAATGGAAAGAATGGCCTTAATTTTTTGCTTTGAACATGCTCTTAAAGTCTGATCAACAATGCAATGCATACCTGTAGATAGGATTCAAAATTATAAGAGCAGGATATCTTCCGTATCAAACTCACTAGAAATTCGTTTCCTCAATTCAAAAAATATATGTACAGGATTCATCAACATGACATGCTTCACATAAATTCAACACAAAACTTTTTTTAAGTGCCAAATATAGTCATCAGCTGTGGTGCATGTAACCCATTTGGTGCGTCATCCTACTTCTAAAACAAGTATGGGTTCGAGCGAACCCCCTGGATCTCAAAACTGGGTTCATGTTTTCAAATAACCTCACATGCTTTCCTTAGTATAGTAACCAAACACCAGTAATTGTGCATAATGAATATAATAGCAACAATGAAACTGTGAGCAAAGAAAAAAAGTAAGATAAAATACGCATACACAGGACATATTCAAGGCAGATCTTCAAACACTGAAAATCACTTAACATAAAATTGCTCCATAAGACATTTGTAATAAATCATAAAATTAAAAGGCCTGATAGATGGTTTTACAAGCAAGTTAGATAGTTAACAATAAAACTGTAGTTTCTGAAGTAATTTCAGCTGTTTCATTCAGAAGGGGATGATATATTAAGTATGGATTCTCACGGAAAACATATCTTACGTCTTATGATTCCATCTATAATAGGGTCCCGCTGTGGAAAACTGCGCTAATATAAAAACTTGAACCAGGCATTGTGCTGAAAAAAAAATTAAAAACTAAATTACACATTCGAAACAAGAGAAGATGATATGTGTTGCCACTTTTCATGGTAAATCAACGCTTCATTGCTCATTGTTGAAATCTAGTTATATTGTCGGTTAAGTCAGGTTTTTGTCAGAGCTGGGGTGGTTGTTTAATACATTCTTTGCCTAGTTGGGCCTCTAACTCCATATACATTGAGGTTTTTTGGTATGACCACTACCATAAGCATCAGCTCATATACAGTTTTGTGGTAGCTGGACTCAAAACTGTTAAGGTTTCCAATTTTGAAATATATTGATATATTAAAAAAAATATTAGGAACATAAGAACTCCTTTAAAATAAGATAATAGGATTTAGCCATCCATAGAAAAAATAATAAATTTTCTGTTTAGCATGCACCGTGGAAACGAAAGAAAAGGAATATCACAGGAATGCTAGAACTATTTCAGAACATAGAAACTGGTATAATACACTATATCATGAATGCAAAAAAGAATAACCTAGTCTCTTACCATGAAATAGCAAGTTATTTGTGAGTTTTCATCAGAATATAGTCCAACTTAGAATTCATTGTTTGATAAAGTTATATCTTGTTTTGTCAAACATATTCGCTATTTGCTGTGAACAAACAATGCCGGGAAAATAACAATATGATATAATTAGGTAATCAAGTATTTTAATAGAGGTTAAGGTTGAATTTTGTCAGGATGGAAATTTCCTAATACCGCATCGACATCCATTTTCCATCCAGATCGAACAAAGAATATATTATGGTGATAAATCCGCAAGTTTTAAAGCGAGATCTAAATTAATAAGTTTTTCCGCTAACATTTTATCAGCGTCAATGTTTTGTAGATTTTTCTTTCTCTTGTTGGTCTTTACTTTGTTTTTCTAAAAAAAATATATAATGTGTATGTATAGAGTTGACATAGGGATAATGTATATATATATATCAAAACAGCTCACTCAATTTGAAATATCTATTTCAGTGACATATGAAAATCTTTACTATTATCAGATTTATTGTATACAAGATAGCAATTGAATATATCGCACATTGCTACCGGTAATCGATAACCTGGTTTGCTGAGATTGACGGAATATTATGTTTCGATAATTAAAAGAAAACAGGAAAACTTTTGTTAACTATTGCTTCCCATAGGATTCAGGGGAAATTTGTAAAGAAATAAAGGTAATAGCCTACTAGCGACTTTATTCAGGTTCATGTATTGCAAATTTGAAAATTACGGGGTCATTAATTGGGGGGAAAAGTGATTTTTACTAACAAAAAAAGGCCCCAACAACAGCCAAACCATAGATATGTACTAATAAAAAAACGAAATTTTTATTAAAATTAGTACATTTTATTAGCAGCAATTTATTTAAAATTAACGTAAAAACAAATATGAACCAAAAATAGTTTCATGACATCCTACAAATATTTAGTAACCGTGACCAGATAATTGAAATTGGAAGATCCAAACCTTTCTTGATAATACTAAAGTGATACAGACCTTCCAATTCTTCTTCCTTAGACTCGGATCAGTCGTGAAATAACAAAGCCTTCTCTTTTTCCTTTTTTCATAATTACTGTAAAAGATAGCAAGAATATGACCAAATTTAATCATGTAACTGGAGATTCAGAGTATTATGGATATGTAACAAACTATCCAAATTCGACAATAGAGTCACATTTAGAGTTCAGATGCAAAATTTTATTTTTTGTAATATATGCAAAATTCAAAAATACCCCTGAGCGGTATATGTCACGCACACTTTTCAAACCTTTATTTGTACTTTCCTGAACTCATATCAGTCCAATTATACCTTATAGTGCCATCTTTATTTTTCTTTGGATATTCAAAAATAGTCTCCCATTTTTTCTCAGTTGGCGTTTTAAAATTTTTGTTTAAATATATTTCTTCTATTGAAAACTTTTCTTTCTTTTCTCGTAATGGCTTCGGTAAACCCATTGGTGTGTGCCGTACCTTTATAATAAAGTGAAATAAGACAATATGTTATAAAAATTTGTATTGTTTATAAGTTTTTGGTACATTTAACAGATACAACAAGTATATCAAAAAGGGTAGCCTACATCATAGGTCAGGGGTGGGCAAACTTTTTCGGCTCCGGTGCCAAAGTCGGCTAAATTCAATGATAAAATTCTCCCGCGTGCCGACCAAAATTAAGAACAATGCTCTGCCACTTTCAAAGCAAAAATACACAATAATAAACCTTTTAAATAGGAACAGACATATTCGCTATTCGGAAAAATATCAGTTCGAAATAGATTCGATTACGTTGCTTATTCTATATCAGTGAGACTTCTGCTGCTGCATTACCGCTGATAGAGATTTTTTTACATTGGGTTTATATTTTGTAACCTTTAAAGGAATACACAAACTACTGGTTTCATCTTTCATGCTACTCCTATCATGAGACTTAATAAAGTTTGAGTACTGAGAACAGACGAGCATATGTAGATGAAAACATGAAGAGTAACGCAGTTGCAAAGAATAGAGCACACGAAAATTTTTTGGAAATGGCACCCCAATCACGCAATAGTTTGTTTTCTGCACTTCTCTCTTGTATTCCCTTCTCCAATCGCTTATATTTCTTTCGAAATGAATTCATAACAGTAAGTTAGCAAGTAACTCTAACCAACATGAGCTGTACAACTTAATAAATCAAGCGGAAATGAAGAAAAAGGGTGTCACAGACGAACTCTATCACGTAAGAAAGTAGCCAAATGAATGCTGCGTTGTTCTCGACAAAATTTCTCGAGAGCTCACTCATTTGTTACGTCATAATATATTTTTTGTAGCCATATGTCATGAAAGGACAATATGAGTTTAAATAAAGAACGGATTGTTAACAAACGATACACAATGAATAAACGAACACCTAGTTTCATCAGTTAATTCAGAGTCTCGAACTTTTTATCTAAAGGAGCACGATCTCGTTTCTGAGGCCTCGCTCGTTTTTATCTAAAGGAGAATGATCTCGTTTCAAGACGGTTATTCGAATATGATATTATCTATAAGTTCGAACATTTCTGTGGCAGATACCGAGGAATTAGAAACCCAATACAATGCAAATAGCTATGACTCAATATAAATAGTGTTTATTTGTGTAAATATGGAAAAAATGACATAATGAAATTTCAGCTAAACATTGATGTAAGCTGTATCCTGTATGTGTAACAGGAACAAAGAAAAAGAGCGGTAAACCCTGACATGAATTTCACACTTAGGAATAGAATATGATTTTCATATTTATGCTGGGAGAGAGGAAATACAATGAGACGTCTTAACCACAGACTCTTGTGGTAATAATATGTTCGCCTTAAATTTTAAGTTTTGTTGTCGGAAGCAACATTAAAATTGCTAACTAACCTGCAACTTTGGTAAATTATTTATGATTCTTTTTTTCGATCTTGTTTTTCTTGTAACGGTTGGCATTTCAAAATCATCACTGGAAAGAGGAAATACATCAGATCAGATATATATATATATAAAATAATATATCTAATCCGATAAACAGGAAAGCTATGTCATGGGGTGAACTATTGGGCACTATAGGATAAAAAAAAATAGCCTTAGACTTCTAGCGCCGTCTTCCATCTTTCAGTACTAAAAATTTGAAATCTATTGGTACATTTGTTGCAGAGAAAAATGATCGATAATAACAATGAGAATTCATTGAAACGGTCCATAGTTCCCATTTGCGTGTCCTAGAATATGATTTTTTTACACATATCAATTCGAACACTACCATGTATAAGCATCCCCTGATATCTAATGACATGCACGAAGCTATTGGGGATTGCATACCTAACATGGGTGATGATTAAGATTGGTAGAAAATCTTTACTGTATTTGTTAATAATAGGGAGTGAATAAAAAATTGTCAACATTTTTCTCCGATAATAATAAAATCAAATTTTACGAACCCGTCTTGTCGCTTGGGAGTGGTCGCTTCTTCTTCTATTGATTCTGGAGATTCAACCTTATCAGTCCTGATTTTATCGTTATCTCTATTATTATCACCACTGATAAAAATAGTTTCATATTCCGAATATTCTTGCGCAATATCCAGATCATCATTCTCAAATTCAGTGTCCGATCTCATATCTAATTTAGTGAAAAACATACTGCATATGCGAGGTTGGCTTGTAACAGTGGAAGAATGGTAATTGCTCTCAGATGCTGGGATGTTGTTATTAGGGCAATCATTTTCCACCTTTTCCATGTTCAAGACTTTAGTATGAAAATGGACTTGGAATTCTTTTCCGATTTCATCAGAAGGATGAAAAATTGTTTCATTTTCTATTGATGAAATTTGAACAATCTCTTTTCGGTTTTCACTTAATGTACATTCCACATGATCTTCTGTGCTACATTCATCCATTTTGCTATTTTGCTTTTCGATTGTTTCTGGTGGGAACGAAACGGATAAATCTGATGCTATTTTATCATTAAACAGGTTTTGTGATAGCTTCTTGGTTTCAAAATCACAATTTTGTTGTAATTCCAAATTGGATGAAAACTTTTGTTTGCTATCTTTCCGTGATAAAATATAGCCTGAAAATTGAAAAAGAATAATTTTTAATAATGACAAAGATATGTATTTGTAGGCTAGCTTCTATAAAACTAATGAATATGAAATGAGCTGAAACACTCACCATTTGAACAAGTTTCATTTAATTCAAGTGAATCTGGTACTATATCTTTTTCAGTATGTTCCTATGAAGAAGAATAAATTGGATCATGAGTAAATGGCACTGTAAATTCACCTTTACATCTACCTCTTTGAAAACAAATTATTTCCATCTCTTTCTAGTAATTTACTTATAATTCCAATATTTCATTCAAAATGACAAATGGGTATTCATTCCAAAGAATGTCAGTCAAACTTTGATTGTGATCACAACTATTTATATGCAAGAGGATTGTTTATTATTATTTTCAGAAGGTGCATGGCCCGAAACGTTTTCTCTAAATTCTATATGGTGACCAGTGACCACCAAATAAAAGGAATATCTTAGGAAATAATTTCATGCCGTCACCATCTCACTAATTCTATCAGAGTCTGTGGCAGAGTATGGATATTGCAAAGTTTACAAGCCCAATAGTTTTGTTTTGACTTACTTAGCAATAATTTCAAATCAAATTCTCAATTATCACTCAATTTAATGTGATACAATGAAAATTACCTTAAAAAAAGATTGAAGAAAAATTACCTCAAATGTGTTGTCAAGTTGAATATTACTTGTAGATATAGGTTTGCATTTATCAGTACAAGTTACAGCCGAACTCTTCTTTTTATATCTTTTTGGATTTAAATCAACTTTATTATAAAAAATATCAGTCTGATTATTTCCTTCAGTATAAAATAATGATCCGTTGATAGATTCAGAATCATTTATATGATTGGGAATATCGTCACAGAATGCAGGCTTGTTGCTGATACCTGAAATTAATTTATCTGTGCTGTCTTTTGGTTTTATAGGTCCAGTAAAAATATTGTTACTGTCATCTGTTGTAGATCCGTCTTTCGATGATATAAAAGCGTTGCCAATTTTTTGTTTCAGTACGTCTTCGTTATTATATCCATTTGGAATGACCACACTTCTACTGTGATTAACTTTTGTGAGCTTGATTTGACATCTCTGTGAAGAGTTACGACTTGATATTTTAATGTTATTTTGCAGCTTTTTCTTGAATTTATCTTCCGACGTTAATTTCAAGGCTTTCTTTGTTGAAATAGGTGCGGTCGTTTTGTTGCTGTGTTCTAAACCATTTTGAAACAAAGAAGATGATTTTGAAACTGGTATTTTTGATTCCTTCAAATTATCTTGTTTATTGTGACCGTTTAAAAGTTGTCGTTTATTGGAATTCCAAGGTGGTTGAATAAAAGGTATATTTTTTGGTTTTGGAACGTTTCCGCTACTTCTTGGCGGTAACATCAATGAACGTCGCTTTCTTTTAATTTTCCTTTGAATAAATTTGTCAGCAACTAGTGGAGATTCGGTAAAGAGATTCATTGGATCAAAATTGCTTGAATGTAACGATTGAATTGGCATAGACAGCCGTCTCCTTTTGTGTGCCTGTGTTGATTCCGCATGCTCTTTTTCATTTGGTCGCATAATGAGTTTCGGGCTGCACTATATTAAAAAAATATCTATAATCAGTTCAGAAGCCTTTGGTACAATATGGTCAAACTAGTAAAATAATATTCATTTGCACTCAACAATTCTATGTGTCTAGATATAAAAAGCCTTAATCATGAGTATGCACTTTACAAAACTTCAGATAAAAACAGGCTATGGCTGATTGGAATATTGATTTTACAAACTTGACAAGTAAAATTTTGACAGGTACCCTGTGTTGAATATTGCTCAATTTTTTGAGCTCCAGAAGACTATTGAAAAATACAGAATTCGATTCACGCTTCAATATTTTCATGTTTATTATCTCCATGAAACAAATACAGACTATTTAACTCTTTTGATCGGATCAAAGCTGCAATATAAAAACTATATTCAAAGAGACGATGGTCTAAGGCGGCAGTCCCCAAACTTTTTGTTCCTGAGGTGCCTAGTTATCAGGAAAAAAACTCATGGCGCACTTACACAAAAAAGACACTAACAGAAAGTAAACGACATAGAAAGGTAATATGAATTTATTGAGTCCTATAAACAGCATTTAAAATAAGAAACAATAAAACATTTATAAAAAATTAGTGTAAATATTCAATTATATATTAGTTATGTTTAACACAATTGTGTTAATTTTCGGGGCGCATTTGGCAAATCATTCCTTTGGGAACTGCTGTTCTAAGGGTCAAAGCGCTAGGCCTAACTATGATGACATTGCATTTTAAATTTTTATCATTTCTCATGAGCATCACCTCAATCAGAGTGTAAGAAAATTTGGTAGGCAATGCAGAACCGAAAATATTCCGATCATTCCATTTATAGTAGCTCTACACCAAGCACGTTAGCTTGGGCAGAGCTTTGTTTTGAGCAAGAGTCATATAGTAAAATCTTCAATATCAAATCATTATCACAGTATTACAGCTATAGAGCCAAATACCTTCCATTATAAACACATTCTTCACTAATCCTGTTCCTACCTCATTTCCAGCTTTAACGCAACTAACCAAATCTTCTATTTCAGGATCTGGTGTGAATAGCTTTAGAGGAGTTGACAATGTATCAGGTTGGTTACTAGGTACAGATACATAATTTGAAACTCTTCTTTTCCTTTTTCGTACAGTTACGTTATAGTCAACATCATCGTGCGACGCATCCATATCTATGAACAGATAAAAAAAAAAAAAAAATTGAAATTTATAAATGTTGCATATGTAGAGAAAAAAAAATTTGCATGGCTTGATGTCAGAAATATACATCTTCAAGTAAACTATTTTAGAATTAAACTATTTTTTGTATTTTGAATAATTTTGATTTTGAACAATCTCATTGATTTTCTACCTACAGACCTAACCTTAGATATCTAATTAATAGATTTCATAAGCTCGCAAGTCTGCAAGTCTTGATTCAAATAAGTACATGCTGACATGTAAGTTTAATGGTAAAAATACAACAACAAAAAAGGAATTTCAGGATTTTTTGAACCATACAAAATCATCTTTTTTGTATAACACTAATTCCAGAATTAAGTAATTACTGAATTTTTTAGGTTTTGAGGTCAAAATACAGAACTGAATAGTATGCAGGTACAGGGAATTACAGCGATACTGTAGAGTTTAAAATGTACTATTGCCTGATTGAGTTTACATACTGAAGGTTATAGGTAACATACAAACCTAATTTCATTGATTGGAGCAAGCTGCTGAACTCTGATTTCCTGGATTTTGGAGTTTTGGCAACCATGGAGTTTTCACCGCTGGTACTTGTTACATCAGTTTTGCGTGCATCGTCACTAGTTTCGAACTCCTCCATCTTTGTCAACATAGCATTAGCTACGGTAACCAAAAATATTACAAACTCTCGCAAGTCTTAACTTTTGTAGTGTAATGCGAAGATACAAACGTATCATCCTACGAAAAAATTCACACAACAACAAGCACAAGTGGGCGACAAAGTTTTATTTCATCAAAACGCGGGAACTAAATCAAAATACCGGACGACCAAACTAACGAAAAAGAGTCAACACTAAAATGGCGAAACACTCACAAATATATACATATTCATTATAAGTTATATATACAAAAACTAAGCTTCAAAATCACATGTAAAAGATCAAACTCATTCATTAACAAAAAGCCAACTAGAACGTGCTGCCCCCGACCCTTTTCTAGGAACGCCCCTGACGTATTATATATACGCTTTGGCCCTTAATTGCGTGGATCCTCACCGTCGAATAGTGGTTCACGTAAGCCATGGTCTGTGACGGCTTTCGTAGCCATCAAGTTCATGCATCTGACTATATAATTCCATATCCGGCATGCACTAATAACCGGGCGAGAGGCCGTGGTGGGCCATAATTTTTAGCTTTCCTCTACCCCGGGATAAAATGAAAATCCTAATCCTAATCTGGGCCAATCTTCAATCACTTCAATGTGTTGTTTGCTGTTCGGGGTAAGTGGGCACGTGCATCAGCACATCTTAAACCTTTTTTTAGATTTTGCGCGCTTTTCTGATTTTCCGTATATTTGTTTGTTTTGCCATGTATTGCATCATTGTTTTTTTGTAACGAAAAATTAGGATAAACTTACTAAACGAACTTTATATGTGACATGATGTTCTAGTCGAAAACAATAACTTCACTTTCTCTCTATTTGGCACAGGAAATCAGAAATGAGGCCATGGCGAATATATTTGTATACCCCGATATATTAAAAATCACTAAGTGTTATAAGGTCATGTAATTTAGAAAATTTTAACTGATTAGAACATAAAGAATCAATTATTGATTTTTTTTAATATATATTAGGACTTGTCGAATAACATGACACATTAGTATGTGTTGTATGTTTGCTTCATTTGCTAGAAGTTGACAAGTTAACCCTCGAAGATTCAGATGTTACTGTGAATCAGTATTGATTATTTAAATATAATAATTATAATTCATATTTGAAGTCCAATCCACTGTCCTTCATGTTTTCTTCATACAAATTATCAAAAGCTTCATTTTCGTTCAAAGTAAAATGATTTTTCCAATCTCCTACTTTTCCCTTGCGCATAAACTTTGCATTTTTGAATCCAGAACCTCTATCAGTCAAGTGCGAATAGTTGGTGCTTTTGTTTTTACTCATGCTTTCAAACGTACAATGTTCAGCTATGACGTCGATTTGCTTGTCAGTTAAGTTCTTTCCCAGAAATTTTGAGATTGCAATAATTTGTCCTTTGAGATCTTTTGTTAAGTCTTCATAGGTTGTGAAATAAATCCAGCTCTTGTTTTCTTGAAATTTCTGAAACATGTGCTTGAAATTAAATTGTGGCTAAGTAGCATAGAAAAACGGACAAAAGAGCTTTCTGATAGACTGGATTGAATTAAATTGTTATTATAGATGAAGTGAGGCGGTTGACATTACCACGGCTTGTTATATTGCTTGGTTTTAGACGTAGCATTTTCAACTCCCTAAATAAACACATATTCTTAGTTATATTTGTACTTTCCAATATTCCTTCACGTGTGAAAACCAGCTTCCATAAATTATTTCTCCGGAACAATATGAGGCTAAAAATGTGCTCCAATTTCCAGGATGAGGGACAGCTGCGTTTATTATACCAAAATAATACAGCGAAACACAAACATCTTTGGGATTCCTTGCAACATAAATGACTTTACATTTTCCCGTTTGAAATGCTTCTGGCAACGTTTCAAATGGCAAATGCGTCTTGATTAGTCTGAAAATTTAAGAAAGAAAGAGCATTGTTCATCAACGTTTACTGCTTAGATGTATAAAAAGATGTATACCACAGGGATGCCGAACCACTGGCCCGTGGGCAGGAGAGTTGCAACTATTTCTGCCGCCCGGAGCGCGTTCCTGATAATGATGCCTCTTTATACCTAACTTTTAAAATAATTCGGTGGATAAACAAATTATAGATGTTGTTATACATTAGAATGAATAAATTAACGACCAATTAGGAGTGAAATATTTGTATTATTAACAAGAGAGCGATGCTCAAATAGATGAGCACGAAATCCAAAACGTCTCGCAAACTTCACTGGAGAAGCATTAGTTTAGTTGCAATATTCAAAAATTAGTCCCGGAAAATCGACGATAAACTAGACTAAAAAATGCTATCAGTATGTGTAAGCGGCATGTGGTTGAATACAGTTATGAAAAATGATGATTTTGAAAAGGTAAACCAGTAAAGCTAAGCGCCAACTCCCCAAAACGCTCTTAAAAAGGGTCAAACATTTTGCAATAGTAAAGTATAGGAAGAATTTGCAGGTGTCAAGGGTCAGGGCAACATTTATTTACTTTACGTATACGAGTTACAACCATAGAGATATACTCAGTTCAGTGGTTACAACCAACATTGCGGTTTTAATCGTTTATGACATAACAATGCAATTGGATTTGGAAATATAATAGAAACGCATAATGATTAGGATAGGATAGGCCATACCTTTGCTTATTTTTTGGCCACTTCTTCAACACTTGTATCCCGAGAGCACTGTTGTTCCTTAGCGATGCCATCTCCAAAAATGGAGAACGATTTAGAAGTGAGCATTTCTGTGCATCCACAGTATCTGCGTTGTTGCAAATCAGCCAAGTAATTTCTTGAATCCATGTTGTACCTAAAACATTCAGATTAATTTTGACGGCAGGCGGTCAGATCATTACAACATAGACTACCCTTCGTTCGAATAAACTACTTTTTGCCCGTAATAAATATGGTAGGGTAACGCGCGAATTCTAAATTTATCTATTGATATACTGCCGTTTAATTGTTTGCACAGCATGGTCCGTGGTGGTCGTCGAATTTGAAGGGGAAAATAGATCTCAAACAAAAACAGGTCGTACAAATGCTCTTTATCTGCGGATCATTATTACGACAAAAATATATGTTCTGTGATTACCAGATTTTGGAAACGACGAAACAATGATATCGTCATTCTTGTAGTCAAGAGTCAAAGCTTCTTTTGCAGCAACGGCCCATTCTCGACTGGGAAGCAGCAATTCAAACCCATTGTCATAGATCATCCTGTAAACTTTCTTTGGCCGTATGATATCACTTTTATTAAAATTGCTCAGCAATTGAACAATTGACGGTCTGAGATAAAGTTTGGCTTCTGAAATAAATACCGGAAAAACTTAGATATATTAGGTATTAGGCTATTCTTATGATTGCTAATATATTTACATTATAAATTTTTTCTTTGTACTAGAAATTGATGAATATTCGACCAAAAGGGGTGATAATTTCTACGCTGTTAAACTACTCTATATTGTGTGGTATTCTGTAGTAGGACTACAGCATTCAATAGTATAGAAATGTCTTGGCGGCAGTAGTTCATCTTGTAAACGTAATATGATGTATAAAATCAGTTTTGCACAAAAACATGTTCAAAGAATACAGGATGCATAAAACCCGGTACTTACCAAATTCCATTCTATCAATTTCTTCCATTGAATTTAACAGGTAATCTATATAAAGAAGAATTGCGGCTACAATACCCGCTATAGCGGTCCATATTACATACATCATATTGATTTACAAACTAAATCTGAAGCAAATTTATATTAGCATTTGGGTTCTTTTTTAAAAATTTGTCGCTAGATACACTCTAGTTTCTTGAATATTCCACATTTAGGACAAAAGTCCTAAAATTCCCTCCCAGGTTCTTCCTTGGGTGTACGCACAACGGAGAACCTGCCAAACATTGATGCCCTGGTATGTTGCTGACTGCTTGACCTGACTTTCTGTCGCAATATTCACATGCATTTGTATACCATAGTATAAACTATAAAGAATCGAATAATTTGCCAAGCAACTGGCAAAGATTCATCTTTTCTTATTGACAGACTTTTCCAATGTCAGCCGAAGCTATAACAAGTGAATACATTAGGTTTAAGTTTGCCTAAATTGTTAGAATAGTTTGGCGATTCAACATTACGGCATGTGGTTAATGATTTACCATACTAACTATGTTACTTGCAAATGTACAAATAATGTCTGGCTGTCATTTGAAAAATATCAAAGCGGAGTGATCTACAATCTGTTATCAATCGCTAGTGTGCGAAAATAGCATTTATTCAACACACTTGATGAAATCAAATCAAACGGTTAACAGAAATGTCCTACTTTGGAAACAAAAAGAAAGGTACTAAAGAAAATTATAACTGCTAAATAAATATCTCACTAAGCAAATTTGAGGTCGCATGACCGCATGAAAGTCTCTTTGCAGTACCACACACTTCACCGGTTGACAGTTTGCCGGTATTTAGATCTATGAAACAAACATGGTCTTTGTCTGTAGAACGGCGTTGGAAGTCGGGAGATTTCATTCTAGGTTAAACTCTGAGGTGGTTGTTTAAACCTTTGTGCACATATCGCCGGATGAGAACAGAACAGGTCTAAGTCACAATTTTAAGTTTTGAGAAAAACGCAAACAACAATTTTGAATTTCGTTAATTTTCAACTTCTAGATCTGAGCTGATTTCTGATCTGAACACCTAAGCTGACACTTGTTATATCAGTTCTGTGGGCATCGTCACTAGTTTCGAACTTCTGTATCTTTGTCCACATACCAGAAGCTAACCGAAAATATTACAAACTCTAGCAAGTCTCAACTTTTGTAGTAGAACGCGCAGATAAAAACAAAGTCTGAGAGAATCGCAAGACTCAAAAGATCACACAACAACAAGCGCAAGTGGGCGGCAAAGTTTTATTTTATCAAAACGCGGGAACCAAATCAAAATACAAAACGACCAAACTAACGAAAAGAGTCAGCACTAAAATGGCGAAACACTTATAAATATATACACATACATTGTAAGTTATATATACGAAATATACATTATAAATTGAAGGTCAGGTAAAAATGAAATGTTTGTATTGTAGATTATATCATCAAACTAAGCTTCAAAATCACACGTATAAGATCAAACTCATTCATTAACAAAAAGCCAACTAGAACGTGATGCCCCTCCAACCCTTTTCTAGAAACGCCCCTAATTGCTTGGATCCTCGCCGTCGTAGCGTGGCCATCAAGTTCATGCAGCTGGCTATATAATTCCATATCCGGCATGGACCAGTAACCGGGCCGTGGTGGGCCATGATGATTAGCCGTGATATTGGTTTCCTATACCCCGAGATAAGTATGAAAATCCTAATCCTATTCTGGGCCAATCGCCAAATAGGTATGGGTTGTTTCGTCTGCAATCGTTTCAGAGGTATGGACTGACATGACGAAGGAAATCGTAACCGGATATCATCTCCATTCACCGCGGGTTTCGGGCCCACATATTCACAGATAGGGTGACTAACTAGTTTTCTCAAAACGTCCAGTGCAACATCTGAGACAAATTTATACCCGAATAATCTTTCGTGAATCTTTTTTAAATTTATTTCAATGTGTTATTCGCTGTTTGGGGTAAGTGGGAACGTGCATCAGCATATCTTAAATCTTTTTCAGATTTTGTCCACTTTCCCGATTTTCTTATATTTGTTTGTTTTGCCATTGTTTGTTTTTTCTTCATTGTTTTGTTGTAACGGTAACTTGAAATCAACTTAGTTACTTACTATACTGACTTTATTTGACATAATGTTCTGGTTGAAAACAATAATCTCACTTTCTCTCTATCTCGTTTTTCATGTATATTTTCAATTTAACTATTTTCTCCTAACTGACTTCCTCAATTCGACTTACATTTTCCAAATTGTGTTCATTTAAAAAAAAAACGTTTGAATACTGTTTATTTGACGTCATCTGCTGCTGTATACAGCAATTTAGATGTCGCTGACACGTTAACTATAGTTTATTCGCGGCTCCTCGCCTATTACAGTCGAATTATTGTACGCCTGTTATTATTTTCTCTTTCTTTTGTTTTTTTTACTCTATTTGTACAATATTTCATGCACGACGGAAATAAATATCTGAATCTAGTACAGAAATCAGAAGTGTGATAAAGAGGTGAGGCCATGGCGAATATATTTGTATACCCCGATATATTGAAAATCACTAAGTGTTATAAGGTCGTGTAATTTAGAAAATTTTAACTGATTGAAAACACAGAGAATCAATTTTTTTCATATATTCAATTATTCTCATATATATATATAAAATAGGAATTGTCGAATACCATGAAATCAGTATGTGTGGTACGTTTGCTTCATTTGGTAGCAGTCGACAAGTTTATCCTGTAAGATCTTGATGTTACATTATTGATTACATGGGTATAATAATTATAATTCGAATTTGAAGTCCAATCCATTGTCCCTCATGTTTTCTTCATACAAATTATCAAATGCTTCATTTTGGTTTAAAGTGAAATAATTTTTCCAATCTCCTACTTTTCCCTTGCGCATAAACTTTGCATTTTTGAATCCAGGACCTCTATCAGTCAAGTGCGAATAGTTGGTGCTTTTGTTCTTACTCATGCTTTCAAACGTACAATGTTTAGCTATGACGTCGATTTGTGGGTCTGTTAAGTTCTTTTCCAGAAATTTTGAGATTGAAATAATTTGTCCTCTGAGATCTTTTGTTAATTCTTCATACGTTGTGAAATAAATCCAGCTCCTGTTTTCTTGAAATTTCTGAAACACGTGCTTGAAATTATTTGTGGCTTAGTAGCATAAGAAACATTTTATAACGGACCAAAGAGCTTAAACGTTGGCGAAATTCTGATAAACTGAATCGAATTAAATTGTAATTATAGATGACAATACATAAAACAATAAATCTCACAACAACAAGAAAATTTTCGTCTCTAGCACTTCAATAAAATAAGTTTGAATTTAGTAAAAGTGCGGCGGCTGACATTACCATAGCTTGTTATATATTTTGGTTCGTTTTAGACAACGTAAGACCTAATGCATTTTCTAGGGTTAGTTCGGATACCTATAATTTTTACTATCCGGATAACGGATATATCCAGGTATTTCGTAATTTAAATATCCGGTTAACCGGATAGTTACTGCTAATTTCATAGAACAGATTTCGCAGGATTTTTGCGGTGAATTGACCAAAAACCACCACACAGTTCTATTGTAAATACTCACATATATATGTATTATTTTCTTGAATAAGAATGGTTGTGCATTTTAATGTTGAATGTGTCAATAAATAATAATTTAAGCTTTAATTTAATCGTACCGATGTACAGTGTAAAAATAATAAAATGAAACATTTTTTGAAAATATTGTGTCCTAATTGTTTTTCCTCGACTGCTAAGTTATTTTCTCCTATTTAAATAATATGTAAAGATTTATATTATTTCTACTTTATTGTTAATTTTTTAAAAGCTTCTTTTTGTGTCTAGAGCCTCTTTTCTTCAAATTTTGATTCATACTAAATTTTAGTGTTGCAAACTCACGTGGATCATCCGCACCTTCCTATCAATTGCAATGAAATTTATTATTGGCACGTATAGTATTTTGTGTTCTATAATATTTTTTGATTTCCTGCACGACGAAATAAACGTTGTCAATATATACCATAAGAGCATACATATAAATGAAATCATGAACACATAATATTTCGAACATTTGATTTCGGTGAGAGAAGTATCCAAAAAAATAGAATATAGGGGGGACAAACTCCGTGAAGTGTATAGAAAAATATACCTAAGTAATTTGAACAAAAATTTTAATAACAAAGCAAATTGATGATTTTGAAAATACCGAAGTGGTCAGGAACTTCTTCTAATTTGAAAACTTCACTTATTTAACATGTCACTGTAAATATTCTCTTGTTTCTACTAATTAGGCCACAACTTTAAATCTATTTTCATTCGAATACCTTTTAAACTAAATTAACAGAGCCAAAACAATGCGGCGCCAGTTTTTGAACAACCCTAAATGAGTGAATGAAAAATATGACACGATACAAAGTCTGTCAAATCAAACTTTGCTGAAATATTATAGAGTATAGACCATTTTACAAACAAGTTTGTTTGCGAAAGTTCCATGAAACCCATAAATGTAATAACAGCCCTTCCTCCTCTTTTTAAAATTTTCGAAAACGTCACTTATAAAGGAGGTCGAATTTTACAGGCTAATTTTGTCATCATCGTCGATCGTTTTCTTCCGCGTCGCGTGATTATTTGGGGAATTACCATCGGCATTATGCCAGTTTTAATTTGAAAAGAAGTTACATTCCGTGACAAGTTACCCTTGTTGTAAATTCACTAAATACGATTATTACGAAATTTTGGCGATTTAACAGAGCCTAAAATAGAGTTTGGTTTTATCTATTACTAGCTCATAAATCAAGAGTCGTGGTATTTCCGTTAGCATTTAGGCCTACTTCCTTATTTTCAGTCAAAAATGTGGGCTTCAGATCTACCCTCTTAACGATAGATAGATACGACGATAGATAACATACTGCGGCCGTTTCAGTTCCAGGTGAAGTAAAACAATTATCGGCGTTATATACCGACGAGACTGAACCTGACTTTTCTCCCGAAAATGTTGATATGAGCTAATTAATATCTGCATTTATTGTACTAAATAAATTATACTCATCGGAATTGCAATAATAACTCAAATTTGATGAATTTGCAAAATCGCAAAAATAAGAAATTGGATTTATTCGTGCAGCTTACCACTTATTTTCATATCTAGAGTAGAAATGCTTTTATTTCAACGTAAGTCGGAAACTTCTATAACGCAAATACGCAAACATCACATTTTTCTGCGTGTTTTGTGATGTAATAGTCAAGTTCACTCCAGCATTACACGGATGACTAAAATATAGGCAGAGTAGTGTGGATATAAGTGATTATTATATGCTCTGAGAGATGTCAATGGCCACTCAAAAAAAATATAAAAATCACTAATGAGCATATGCATTATTTAAACTGCTCTATTATCCGGTTAACCGTTACAATAATATCCGGATATCAGATAGCAAAATACCTCTTGGTTTACCGGTTATCCGGTTAACCGCTAGCCGGATAATCCAACCTTAAGGGAACACAAATTCTTAGTTATATTTATACTTTCCAATATCCCTTCACGTGTGGAAACCAGCTTCCATAAATTATTTCTCCGGAACAATATGAGGCTAGAAATGTGCTCCAATTTCCAGGATGAGGGACAGCTGTATTTATTATACCAAAATAATACAGCGAAACACAAACATCTTTGGGATTCCTTGCAACATAAATGACTTTACATTTTCCAGTTTGAAATGCTATTGGCAACGTTTCAAATGGCAAATGCGTCTTGATTAGTCTGAAAATGAAAGAACGAAAGAGCATTGTTCATTTAACGTTTATTGCCTATATATGTAGAAAGATGTATGTATATCGGAGAACCGATCCATGGACCTTTCCCCGAGCATCGACCTCCTTGTTTGCATCGGGACATTTCAAGCGTGGTCGTAAACATTACCTCGTTTTCGCGTGTTTGAACTTGAAAATCTGTCTGAGTGAGAAAAGTGTCTGAGCCGATGCGAAAAAGGAGCATTGTTACGTCACTTTTTGCATCTTGCTGATTGGCTAATGTCACGAAGTAAACAGGGAAGTCGATGCTTGGGGAAAGGTCCATAGGTCTTACCAAAGCGTATATATAATACAAGAGAGCTATGCTCAAATATATGGACACGTAGCGCCACCCAGTGGCAATAATTTTGATGACGTCATAGCGAGAAAAAAAGTAATAGCCTTCTGGAGAAAAATTTTATCTTTAACCACTGAAAATATCAAAGCAATTGGTCCAGTATTCGAAGAGAAAAGCGATTTTATAAAAATGGAGATGGAGACAAATAACAATAACAATAACAACAAAATTTTGAAACGATCGTTATGGCCACTGAACGTGTCCAATAACAACAAAATTTTGAAACGATCGTTATGGCCACTGAACGTGTCCAATAAGCGGGGCAACGCTCAACTAATGGACGCCATCTTGTGCCTATTGTTCTCGGCAATTTAAAAAGGCGTCTTATGAGAAGTTCCAACACAATTATTGAAACATACCTATTATTTTCACTAATATTTTAAGTAGAACAATTTTGGAGGTCGCGTTTTGAAGTAGAATCTTAGCCGTACATGCTTATACCCTTTCATGTTGGCCAAATTACATTTATAGTACATTAAATTGTCTTTGAAGACAAGTATATCGGTTCCGAGTTGCTTCCGAAGTAAATTGGCCATTCTAATCGTCATAGTTAACCATTTGACAATGGTGTTCCTTATGACGTCACAAATGAAAAGTTGTATTTATTTGTCGAAATTACCAATTCAATGGAGGTTTCTATTTTCTGTTTAACATTATTCGTCTGTCAAGCTCCATAATGCCCTACTGCTCAGCTCCAAGCTGCGCTAGAATAACAAATGACATTGTAGGATCGTTGCGGAGACATTTTACAGCCTCAAATTGGCGTATCACTATAAAATCTTTAAAAAAATGACCAAAAATGGTTCTACGCTGTGTTTGTGGTCGAATTTAACGCATTAGATAGTTTTTTATTCTTAATTGCGTTATATATTTAAATAGCATATATCTAAAAGTTCAAAATCCACCCTTCAGTTTTATTCTAGCCCTTATAACAGCGGACTTATTCGATTTGGTACAACAACACGACGAAAATTTCCCATAAGACTCCATTGTTTCGCGTTTCCCAAATATGGCACAAGATGACGTCCATGAACTTGTTTAACATTAGGCAAGTTGGTTGCCGGCCGTTGGGTCTTACATAGTACCTTTGCTTATTTTTTGGCCACTTTTCCAATATTTTTATCCCGAGAGCACTGTTGTTGCTTAGCGATGCCATCTCCAAAAATGGAAAGCGATTTTGGAGAGGGCATTTCTTCGCAGCCACAGTATCTGAGTTGTTGCAAATCAGCCAGGTAATTTCTTGAATCCAAGTTGTACCTGAAACATTCGGATCAATTTTATCAACAGGCCGTTGGACTGACTGCACTACTGTGACTGATAGAACAAAAACCCTCACTCTTTACAGTCTTTATTCGACCTTATCCAAACAAAAAGGCCTACAACCTTGCGCTCAACTGGGCCTACTCTTCGCTGGTAATAAAGGGGATAGGGCAACTCGTCGAATTCTAAATGTATTCATTGTTATATCCGTTCATCCGCGGATCATTTTCGGGACAAAAAGATATGTTCTGTGCTTACCAGATTTTGGAAACGACGAAACAATGATATCGTCACTCTGATAGTCAAGAGTTAAAGCTTCTTTTGCAGCAACGGCCCATTCTCGTCTAGGCAGCAGCAATTCGAACCCATTGTCATAGGTCACCCTGTAAACTTTCTTCGGTCGCATAATGTCACTTTTATTGAGATTGCTCAGCAATTGAACAATTGACGGTCTGAGATAAAGTTTGCCTTCTGAAATAAATACCGGAAAAACTTATTATATATTAGATATTAGACTATTCTTATGACTGCTAATATATTTTTTTGTACCAGAAACTTGCACCCCGATGAATATTCGATCAAAAGAGGTGAAAATATGTACGTTAAGCTGATATCTATATTGTATGGTAGTATCTATCTTATCAGCAATAGTTCGTCATGGAAACGTGATATTATATATAAATCAGTTTTGTACAAAAACATGTTGAAAAAGCAGGATGCACAAATGCCGGTACTTACCAAATTCCATTCTATCAATTTCTTTCATTGAATTCAACAGATAGTCTATATAAAGAAGAATTGCAGCTAGAACACCCGCAATAGCGGTCCATATTACATACATCATATTGATTCACAAACCAAATTGGAAACACATTAATATGAACATTGTACTACCAGCTTTTGCAAAAATATATATGATTTTGAATTCTCCTGTATTCCTTTGCAAAGTTACATATTGTAATAATAATTATCAAATTTCTGCTAACGGTCTACTTTTTGTGTCCAACTAAGAACCTGTGATGTCCCTGGCCTAATGTTATCCCATTTCCTGTGACATTCTGGCCGCTTGGCCTGCTTTTAGTGAATTCCGCTTCCAACTATTCTATTTACATACCATTGCATAGAGAATTGGATAATTTGCCAGGCAACAAGCAAAGATTCATTTTTTCTCACTGACATACGTTTTCAATCTCAACTGAACCCATAACAAATTAGGTTCAAACCTGGTTTGCAACGCAATCATTTGAGTTTTCCTAAATCGTTCGGATGGTTTGGCGATTCAACATTACGGCATGTGGTTAATGATTTACCATGCTCTTTATGTTGCTTACAAATGTCCATATAATGTTTGGTTGTCATTGAAATATATCGAAGCATCAGGCGGGGTGATCATTTATTTACCTGTTGTCAATTGCTAGTGTGAGAAATAGCAATTTCACGGTGAATGTATTCAACTCAACACACTTGGATCCAGTGATGAGCTGTAGCCGGAACGCACCGGAACAGCGTTCCGGTTGTTGGACATTTTATTGCATTTGCGCTCCTGTTATTGAAATAAAATTATGTCATGGAAAGTTTAGTTTCTCTGGTAAACTTGGTTATTTACTTACGCTTTGTTACGTAATAATTCTTTTTACATTGCGGCAAACAATTAGTTAGTACAGCAGTTAGTCGTTGGTACGTACAGCATTAACATGTAGTGGATTTTCGCCGACCTTTGACCCCGTGAAAATTTGTCCTGTTACATTCTAATAATAACATTTGTATTGAATTGGTATGAATATTCTTCGAATAAGGAATTCATATTTCATTGTAGTTCTTCGGCTCTATCTTGGGACAGACAAATATTTCTGGCAGCATCCGCGTGGTGTTGAATGTAAATATACATTGCATACGCGAATTAGGTGCGTTCCGGTTGTTACGATTTTTCCAGCTCATCACTGCTCGAATGGCACATCAAGCGACGGTTATCAATAATGTCTCATTTTGGGAACAAAAGTAAAAGTACTAAATAAATATTCCACTGAGTAAATTTGACGTCGCATGACCAGATAAATGTTTTTCTGCAGCACCATACACTTGATTGACAATGTGCCGGTATTTAGTATCATGAAACAAACACAGTGTTTGTCTGTAAAACGAGGGCGTCTATGAGAACGGCGTTGAAAGTATGGCAAGGCTATGAAGTAGTTGTTTGACTTTCGTCCACATATATGTGAGCGGAATCTCCTGTTTATTATATTATAATATGTCAAGTGATTCATGTGAAATAGAAAAAAAAACTAATCGCTTGTATACTGTGAGTTAGTGGTAACTCTCGTACTATTTACATTCTTGAATAAACTATTATTACTCGCGGAAAACTTATTACAAGTTCAACGCAAACTATTTTTACATACGTTGTATTATATTTTGTTTGATTCAACGCGCGTCGCAAAATATTTTCGCAATTTGTAACTGTGTTCGCTTACAAAATGTGGCTTTGTTCTTTTGTTTAGAAAAATTTTCCTAACATATTATTCAATATAATATGACAAATGGTATACTACAAGCATAAGTATAGTTGGATACATGAGCTCCTATGTCTTTGGCCTAATTCAGCGGTTGCTTATTAACCTTTTATTGCACTTAAAATACATACACATTCAGCCAAGAGTACCTACAGTGACAGTCAATACACTGGCTGTATATGTACATTATTGGAATGGTTGTATGTGTACATCCCATATATGCATATTTGTTTGACTGAATATGCCTATTTGTGTTCATGTATATTGTTTTATCAACCCCCTATATTAAAAAAGCAGTATTAGGGTATTCTGATATGTTCTTAATCCTAATTGTTGAATTAGCTTTACCCACTAAAGTAAAAATGGCGTAGGACACGAGTGATAATCTCATAACAGAAGAAGGGAAGAGAAATTGTTTACTACAACATAAAACATATGTAGCGTCATGACCATGAGCTGATCGATATCATGTTTTCCGTATTAGGAAGTGTTTGACACGACACGGAAGTGAAGTCGATCTGCATGCAAGATAATTTATATTTAATGCTTAGCACACAGTCAAAATATTTCCTGCATAATACTTCATTCTTTTGAACATTGAACTTAATTTAGACGTTAAAGGAAATGGCGCGCTGTGAGTTCATATTTCCCATTTTCATCCATCATTTAGAGGAAATCACACCCGATACAAGTCGCTGCTTATACCGTATTTAGGCCGGGACACTCGTCAATGTGCTAAGGTTTTCTGTATATGCCAATGTGGATGGTTGAATTATTTTACCATTTTCAAAAACTTGCAGAATTACCGTGAAAGCATTGCTTAACGCAAAATAGGTATAGACTGAACTAGGCTGGCAGCATTTGAGAAGAAAACGGTAAATGTGCTGTACACATTACGATTTTCTATTCGTGTTGTTTCGGTCTAGATTCAAAATACAGAGTAAAATTACTTTTTACCTTCCAAACCTTAGATATATTTTAGGTCATCTTATATATATATATATATCACCAAATCTAAACGAATTCTGAAGAATGACGGGAACTTCACAAACACTCTTGAAACGTGCAGTTGTTTTTATTTTTGTGATGTTGTGGATGGCTGTAGCTGTTGAATGTAAGTGGGACTCTTTTAACATACATAGCTTAAACGATTTACTTTATTTAGTTAAAAGATTTGTTTATATTAGAAATGTTTGCCCAGGGAGGGTATGAAAACACATCTAGCAGAGATTTTACTTTCATGAACTTGGTGATATCGATATAGGCCTAACATGCTAAATATGTGAAAAATACTTTTAATTAGGATTTGACATCCAGAAAAAGAACTGGTTTTGGGAAATGAGACGACTTTTATTCACAAATTAATAATTTAGTATTTTCTCACTTACGCAACAATTTTTATTTCTTACGGCGGTAAAACCAACAATGATATTTTTCATTTACAGCTATTTGGGGACGTCGTGTCAAAACGTACAGATCGTCGTCAATCTACTTGTAAAGACCGGAAAAGAAAGATGCCAATATAAACTGACATTCACTTTTTTTAACATTAAGAAATGCCTGATAAAAATTGAAGAAACATTTAGTATTCCTGCACCAACTCATACTAAAGTTTGTCCAAACTTACAATCATGTCATTATCATATAATTTCCAATCTATATTGCGTCTGAATTGCTAATTGAAATAAATGCTTTCTTATTGTGAATTGTTTCAAATATTTGTTTATAAATGATTTTTAGTTCCTTCAGATAATGTCCAAATTAGTTAGCAAGGGAAATTAAAAACATAAACATACTGATTATTTCATCTGCTCAGCAAATACGATTCTTCTTTCATTTACTGGTTTTCGCTCTCACTCATGATGAGTTTATTTTGTCGTTTGAAATCGAGATGTTTGTTAAAATCACTTGAATCTATCATACGAATCTAAGAGTAATCAACGTGTACGGTTGCGGTGCGCTGGTTGTTCATTGCTTATACCTTATATCCAGTGGTGGGATCAAAAAATTTTGTCAGCCGGTTCCATCATACAAATGCCGAATTTTCAGGCGGCTCTGTTACAAAAAGTCATGTAATGCTAACCAGTTCGCTGATCTCATAAAATTCCGTGAGACGGTTCTATAGAACCGGAGCTAACCGGCTGAATCCCACTACTGCTGATAGCACAGTAGCAGGGGCCGACAACCCATTGAAAGCATTGATATATTGCCATAACATCGTTTCAATTAAAATAAGGATATGAGTTTCTTATTTAGGATACCCGATGACAACAAGTAAACGACAGAGAATGTATTTTTTTCAAAAAAGCAACCAGTAATATTTTACTTGCTGAGAGTTTAGGAAGTTATTTGTCAGAATTCTTTTCTCATATGACCAAAGGTATTGTTTATTCGTAAACTAAGTTTTCAGGTACAGTAAGTTTAGCCGTTGCATTTACGAAATTTTTTACATCCAGCATAATGAATTGGTACGAGTTTTACACTAAAAACTAGTGAATTTGGTGCACGATATATAGTTGTCGCAGACATGGTATAAAACAGTGGGTGGCGGCCCCCAGTGGTGTCGCGTGAAGAATCTTTGGGGTAGCCCACATTCCGCTGAACCCGCAACACGCGAGTCACTAGAATTTCAAAGCTGGAAAGTGAAATTTGTGCTAGTCGGGTAGTGGTTCGACCTTGTTCGTATCTAGCTCCTGTATGCAGATATATATAGTGGTTTGGGAATTGGCATCGGGCATGTCTGGGTTTGATGATGCTGTATGAAACTTCTTATCAGGTAGCTATGTTCAAATTTTCGTATTTATATATATATCATGGACCCATCATACAAAAAATGCACCTGCTGCCTATTTGCAATCTATTTTTCAAAGAAGAAACGTTTCCCCATTTCTCGTACCATTGAGTATACATATTATATCATTGAAATATTTGCCTATACTTACACCATGTTTTCTAATTTCAAAACTTTACTAAGAAACCATACACATCACGCCAGATATACGTGATTAAAGTTATATATTTCTCTTATTTTTGCATGTCAGCAAAACAGTTTTCAATTATATTTTTTCCTCATATATGCAACACCCCTATGATAAGAAATAAGCTAAATATTAATCATCGGATGATTATACCAAATATAATCTTAAAATGATAACCCGGAATAAATAAGTCAAATAAAAAAACTGCTCAAAATTAAAGCTGTGATATTGCCTTTTTAATGCATCAGTTTTTTATTCATCTGTATACTCTCAGGTCCTAAACAAACAGATGGAAATAAATGAGTTAAAACATTGTAGTTTCTAGTTTTCCCTCGGCGATAACAAATAATGATATTAATAGTTCATAGCCGTAGTCTCTTTTTTTTTTCATTTGGGTAAAAATAACATACGAAATTGCCAAAATACAAAACTATACACACGTTTTACTGGGGAAGGGAAGTTGCGGGGAACCAGGATTATTGATTAGAAATATTTTGTACATAGGCCTACATGCAATCAGTTAGGCCGTAGTCGCATGAAATCACAAATAATAATTTAAAAATTGAAAGAGATTTTTGTCACACATGTTTGTATCTCAAGAGATGGTAGTTTCAAAATCTTTAATTTTTTAGTATACTATTTTCAAATTAACTCAATCAAGCCAGTTTTATTTCGCAAATATAACTATAATTATCTGTACATGGAACATCGTTAAGCTTCCAGCTTAGCCCCTTGTGGAGCTGTACGCAATCTTCTTGGTTTTCTTGGTTGTCCGGTTGATCAGTACCCCAATAAGAATATTGATCGGGCAAAATTTCGCCATCAGCCCAAATAAATCTTCCTTCGTGTTGAAGATCATCCAGACCGATCCAAGTATCAATATCTCCTAATTTTATCATCGGAAGTATTTCACTGCGATGAAATAAATAATTGAAATGATTAATTCTTTATCAAGCACAATCAAACAGTTTTCACCGATATATATATATATATCTCTTTTTTAAATCTGTCTTTATCACAGCACGTAAGGCAAATAAATTACGTCAGTGTCATTGTTCATAGCAATGTGCTGACCCAAAGTTTTGGATTGAAAAGCGGCACTGTAAAATACCAAATATAAAACTTTGGGAAACACCATAAGTTTTGTGTTCGGATGACCGCGACAAAAAAAAATGCTTATATTAGACATTGTGAATCGCTAAATTTGGTGTCCCTACGGCTCACATTATGTTGGGTTGCCTCGTAATCTTAATCGGGATTTTAACGCAGACCCGCAAAAATAAGAAGTTTCTTGAGTAGTATAGATTTCTTTTCACAGTAAGTCCGACGCGAAGGCGAGTTACGATGATCACAATTAAACTAATATAGCAAGACAATTTGAACGTTCGGATCGGCCATGGTTTGAATATTTTACGCAACAGAAAAATCTTCATCCGCTGCAAAAGTGTATTTTGACGGCTATTTCAATAAGTGGCGTAATCGCGGCGTCTGTTTTAGCCGTAGCTCGGGAATTTTTCATTCCTATTATTAGAACCTTCCCTCCCCTTTTAAAAAACCTGGCTACGTTCTTGTTTAGCCTGTTTTCGTCGTAGTCGAAGTTTTGAACTTATGTATTCGAAGTTTGAGTTTCTGACTTTTACAGATGATAATATAGGTTACAATTATCTACAGAAATTTGACAGAAACTCGCATATGCCAAAGTTCTATTATTGAAGTTTGATTTCGGATTTGAGTTCGCAGCTGGAGTCGAAGACGAAAATTTTATCAACCGGAGTCAAAGTGAAAATCTTTTCTCAACTCCGGAGTCGAAATTACTTTAGCTCTGGTTTAGAGTATGAAAATCCCTTTTATATACTCAATTAAATAGATTTTAAAAAATTGATGACTGTAATTAACTGGGTTTTTTGTACTTGGTTTATCTTTTTGGGCTGTGAATATAATAGTAGCAGAGTGATCTTAAATAGGTATTATGTCAGAATGATATCAAAGTTTTTTATTTCACCCGTTAAAAACAGTAGAATTTCTGATGACAACAGAAGCCAAATCTCCTCCTCGACTCTGACAGTTTGACTTAGCTGTTGCATATGTGGCGGGATCGCTGAACAGTTTGTAGTAAAGTCCGTTACTTGCTCTGGTCCAGGTCTTGACTTTTTCCGTATAATAGACAAAAAAGAACAAAATTTGATTTTTCTAGAATATAAACTGGTAGATATTACGGGAAAATTTTAATAGTTTTATTGTTTCATTTGTTTACATCATACTCATGTTGTGTACAGAGTCAAATATATGACAGCGGCTGATATATTGTTTGAATAGCAGATTTGACTTTCGTGGTTGACTCCGAGCACATCGGCCCATGTGATGTCATTTTAGCGTGTTGTTCTCTCTTCTTTGTCTAACAGCTACTAATGCTGCTGTATTTTACTCTCATTCTGCGCTTTATCGGATCAGCGGAAAGAATGTATATCAAACGATGCTCAATGAAATATCCATCAACTAAGTTATATTTTGCGAACGCACTGACCGAAGAACAGTATTTTGCCTCTATACTAAATCATTGTTAGTTCAGACACTTCATACACAATACTTGGGAGTTCAATGAAACAAAACTATAACAGTTCAAAATTATAACCAATAATTTTGAAAAAGATTCTCAAATAATATTTGAAAGGTATGCAACGCTAATTTAACGTTAATATGATATAAATTATTAAAAATTCCTAAAACCAGTTCTGAATTCACGTTGTATTTTTAGAATAATTTGATTTCACCTTCTTTTCTGGCAACATTCGCTCTTAATTTCTTCAGAAAATCTGAAAAGAAAAAAAACGACAAAAATGTAATATAGTGAGTAAGCGCGTGCAACTATATTGTCGACACGTAAAATTACGACACTCGTGGGCTACAGGCTCTCGAAAGTCATTTGTTGAACAATTTCATTTAAGGTAAAACTACGTGCAAAAGGTAATAAGAGAAAAATTGAAAATGTTTTTTTCTAAAATGTTCAAAATTACAAGTTTGTAGAAGACGCTTCTGTTTTTAACGACTGAAAATTCAAAATTTCGATTGTCGAGGAATTGGAGATAAAACGATTTTTCATTTTAAGAAGAATAAAGATTTAAAAAAGCGATCCATAGGTTCATGAAATGTCCAAAAAGCAACTCATACATGTCTTTTAATTATATAATTTACGTGTTAGGCTCACTAAAAAAACTTTTATATCAAAATATAAACCTTTTTATGCATTTGAAAATTCTATTCAGAGACAGTCAATCAGGAAGGTTTTATACTGCTCTGAACGTGCCCTCTCTGACTGTTGGTTGTATCCTTGATTTAACACTCAAATCAACTGTTCAAGAGAAATCTATTTGTCAAAAATATCATCTTACCTTCGGCACTAGGATTGTCACAATCTCCAACAGAAACCCAACGTCCATTCTTCCATTTTGTAAAGCAGTATCCATCTAAATGTAAACGTAATTTGATAATTTGTGCCCTGACAAGTATAGAAGTGACAATACTTGAATGAAACTCAAGTACTAGCACCAATATAAATTTCTGTCTGACAGACTTAACCGTAGAAAGATAAGTATAATTGTTCTAACGTGCAGAACGACTCTCATATCACATGAATTACTCTTATAATATTGTAATATCATAAATAATATATTTGAGAAATATGAAGAGAAATAAACAATTTTAACTCTTTGAACCCTGAAAGCCGCTAAACCGGCTTTCCCGAGAAAGTCTTCTGACGCTGAAAGCCGGTTTAGCGGCTTTCGCATCCAGTAAGAGGTATGCAACTTTGAAACCTCATAGCTCGCGAACCATTTATTATATTTAGACAAGTTTTACATCGTGTAAAAGATAATCTACAGGACTAAGTATAATTTGAAAATTGAGATAAAATATTGTGATCATCTTATGAAAATTGGCAAAATTAAAAAGCATAAAAAACTTCTGAAAATTGCTCAAATCTAATTGACAAAACTTAAATTTGTTTTCGATTAAACCTAGTACATTATCGACAAAATTTGTAGAATTTGAAGATAGCTTTCCAGTGATACCATTAGATTGAACTTATGTTGCACCATTCAAATTTTAGAAGCATTTTTATTCGTGATTTTGTTTGTCGCGAGATCGAGGCGACGTCAAGGTGACGTAAATAACGACCTAACACATTTACGCCGTTACGCAGCGACGTTAAGCAATTACGTTGGCACGTAGCACGTTTACGTTTCATTCGAGAAACACTTTTCCTCGCATGCTCGTAACGTCATTTACTTAAGTTCGTACTCGTGAAGCGACTTAAGACTTGTAAACGATACACGGGGAAATTTACGCATTACATCGGTTCGACTAAAACACACAATACGCAGTGTTATTGCCGTTTTAATTGCATAAAGATATGAAAAATACGAATAGCCAAAATAAGGATTTTTAAAAACAGAATGATGGAACATATCGATGGATGCATTGTTTAGCGCCATTGCTGAGTTTTATTGTGCCATATTTTCTTCTTCCGATAGATGAATACTATCCAATATTTCATCTAGACAAAGCTTTCGTTTAAAATCCATTGTAAATATAGCGATATCAGAAGTGTAGCGTATATGCAGTAATTTCGAAAATCTAATGAGGCTGCAAAATGTAAAACACTGACCAGGTGAGCTACTGGTGCCACCATGTCTTCCGTGTACCCGTTATCAGTTTTTTTTTATTCAATCTTCATGATATCCAACGGTGAATAATTAGCCTTGATGTTTCCGGCGGAACCTCATAAATTCATGAGGATCAAATATATATTTCGTTTTGGCCATTCATTTTCGTCCCATAACCAAATAGTAAACGTATATAAAATGGCCTTTATATTCTAGCAATTTTACTATGTTCGATCAAAATTCGTCTGAAAGGGTTTTATCTGCGGCCGAGGATATGATACTAATGCAATGAAGCCACAATCTGCACTCAAGCTGTGAACGACCAGATGTGCAATTGCGCAATATACCTCACGCAAAGAGTTACGCACGATACGTCGCATGAACGTTATCACGACAATGTCGTCGTCGCCCTTTGCGTCCTTACGCAAACTTGGCGTCAAATAGTTGATAAATTTTGTTCGCAAACCATTTGAATCGATAGTACAAATTCTGCAATAAAATGAGTTATGCGTATGTTAAGAAAGTCATACGTATATTCTCCGAAAGGTAATTTTGTATACTTTTCAAAATTGTACTTATATTGATGATACATTTCTAAGAAATGTATTAAATATTACCAAAATACAAAAAAATAGTAGATGGGGCTACAAATAGGCTTACACATCTCATCAAAACATCTCGTGAAAAATAATGCCAGTTAAAAATAAAAGACTAGATAAGCTTTTATATGATATATTACAGACTATCTGATATCTAATGGTTTAGAAGTTATTTTGATTTAAAATTAGGGATATTACAATTTTTTAACGCGTCAAATCGATGCGACGCCGTGGGAGGTCAGGGTGAGAGAGTAGCATCGTTCTGGGGATTCAGAGTTCAAAGAGTTAACAACTCACCTTCCCCAGCAAACGACAAATTAAATAAGCATTGACAAAGAGTTACGAAAATAATAAGCTTCATTTTTCTGAGGTATCTCTTCACCACAAAACACCCAAACTAAAGTCAACCTGCAACTGACTATCAAGGCTACTTATTTTGCGTGACTTTGAAATAATGATATTTCCCTCATGAGTGTATATGGAAATTAAGGTGGTTCATCTACAATTTGCATTAATTTTAAACCCGGAAATTAAAGATTTTTGCATTGTATCCTCAGTTAGTTGAGTCTACAAAACACCAGTGGCCATGCACATTTATTATGACATTCGAGCATGAGAATTATGTTGCAAAATTGAAGGCTTAAAAGTATGAGAACTCCTTTTGAATAATAATATATATCAATTATTCAATAAAATATTTCAATACAATACTTTCTGAAACAAATCCACTGCAATTTAAATTTCACACTGAGTAATATAAAAATAAATGCGAAAATCCGCAACTTCCGCGATTTAATAATAATGTAAATTCTATTGAAACGCAAAGAACCTACAAAAATTAATTTACATACAACTATATAAATAAATATTCAATCAAATTTACTTTGAAGTGATAACTCTCGATTTTCCATATATTTGTCGTTTCGGCTTTGTTTCCAGTTCCACGTTTACTTTGATGAGAAATACCTCTCTAACTGAACGTAACATTTTCGCGACTTTTTGTCAATTCATAATCGATATGTCGTTAGGTGGAGTAGGTAAGTTGGTAAACATTTTTCATATTCTCGTTTGTTAACCCCAATAACTTATCGAAGTAAAGTTGCACTCAATGAAAACGCCGAAACTCTAAAGAAATGAAAAATGTAAGAGGATTACTTTAAGTCAATTTGATAATGAATATTTTGTAATATATATAAATACGCAAATTGATTTTTGTTGTTGCTTTATCTTTCAATCCCAATTTGCATTTTTATCGAATCCAGGAAGTTGCATATTTTTGCATTCATCTGTTACTCAATGTAAAATTTAAATTGAAGTTTTTTTCAGAAATAATAAAAAAAAATTGAATTTTTATTGAATAATTAATATCAATATTCAAAAAGGTCATACTTGCGTACTTTCAAGTTTGCAAAATATTTTTCACGCTCGAATGTCATTATGAATGTGCATGGCCACTGGTGTTATGTAGTAAGTCAGTTCCGGGTTTAGAATCAATGCAAATTGGAAATGAACCACTCTAATTTACATACAAATTCATAGAGAAAATATAATCGCAGTTTCGACTCCATTTTGAGTTATTTGTTTGAAGAGACACTTCAAAAAATGAAGCTTATTATTTTCGTAACTCTTTGTCAATGCTTGATCAATTTGTCGTTTGCTGGAGGTGAGTTGATGAAAATGTTCATTTCACCTTACTCGCTCTAGTTCGTTCAAATATATTATTTATAATATTATAGTTTTATAGTAGTACAGTCCACACATAGATCACTTGCTACAGCCCCCCTGTATTAAATACGCATACGGATTCATTGGCGCAAAGGTATAACAAAATTTACCTTTACACTATCGAATAAACCCAACTGATAATTACAGTATTGAAGATGTGAAATCATTTTTAGTATAATGTTTTGGTACACCCGTAGTGTACCACGATAGGCTTAGGTCATAATTTTATTCCGATTTTCTTTATTTCAGTACTAATACGAGTTCGGGACTGTCTGTGTTAGCCAAGTGAATGACCATAGAATGACCTCTGACCATAGGTTTCAGTTCTTTTACACAACTTGACGTAAAGTAGGCGAACAGAATTAGTCATCTTCATATTGATACACACACTTCTGGAGCGCCGGCCTTTTTTTATATTCTTGTGAGAATCCATTTATTAATTGGCCAAAACTCGAAAGCCTTCCATTTTAATCGTTTATTAGATCATTAAAATGTCCTACGCTGATCTAAACAGATCACGTTTACATTTAGATGGATACTGCTATACAAAATGGATGAATGGACGTTGGGTTTCTGTCGGAGATTGTGACAATCCAAGCGCCGAAGGTAGAGTGATATTTTTGACAAATTAGATTTTCTAAGAAACACTTGATTTGAGTGATAAATCAAGGCTACAACCAACAATGTGAGGTGATACCAATGTAATGTCATTGGTGATACCTACAAATGAGTAATAAAATTTTCTTGTAGGGCTTTTAAATTTTCCTGTAGAATGTTTAAATGTATGAAAAGGTTTACATTTTGATAAAAAAAAAATATTTATTTTTTCTGTGACGATCAAACTTTTAAATTCTCTTACGAATTTTTTTTTAGTTTTTTATTTTCCCTTAGGTTACCTGAGGCACATTGTTTTACCCTAAATTATTTTTTTGCGAACTAGTGACAAGGAATGTCGTATATTACGTGACACCATTCTACGCCAACTAAATTTGTGACAGTATTTGAGCATTTACTTTTTTTCCAGATGTTCTGAAGAAATTAAGAGAGAATGTTGCGAAAAAAGAAGGTGAAATAAAATTTTTCTTAAAATCTTTTGCGAATTCAGAACCGTTTTTATTATTTTTTTATATTAATATTCATACTATATTATCAAGAACTTTAATTAACGCCTCAAACAATACTATTGTTTTCCATTTTACACTGTTATAGTTTTTTTTCTTTTAGAATCAAAATGCTGTGCTTCAGTCAGTGCGCTTGCAAAATAGAATTTAGTTGATGAATATTTAGTTGGCCATTGTCCTAATTTTATTACTGATATCATTCATTCCGCTGATTCGATAAATCGCAGAATGAGAGTAAAATACAGCAGCCCTAGTAGCTGTCAGACAAACAGGAGAGAACGACACGCTAAAAAATGAGACCTTATTATGATGTAATATTTATAAAACAATAGAAAGAGGCAAATTCCAGTTCAGTTATCTTTATCAATTTATATCATAGAAAACTATCAACTAAATTACATATAATGTGTGAAAAATCATTGTCATTGAAAAATCATTGAAAAATCATTTTTTGTCTATTATGCGGAAGAAATCAAGACCTGGTACAGAGCAAGTAACGGACTCTACTACAAACTGTTCAACGATCCAGTCACGTATGCAACAGCTAAGTCAAATTGTCAGAATCGAGGAGGAGACTTGGCTTCTGTTGGCATCAGAAATCCTACTGTTTTTAACGGGTAGAATAAACTAATTCATACTTTGATACCATTCCTAGCTTAATACTTATTCATAATACTACTTTTATATTTACTGTCCAAAGAGATGAAATATTAAGTATAAAAAAACTCTTAAAAAAATTCAATACCAATCATTAAAGTTTTTAAATTCAATTAATCGAGTATATATAAAGAATTCCTAAACTGTAAACTAGGGCTTAACTGTCGCAATAATTTCAACTCTGACTCTAACTTGAAAAAATTGACATTCGCTCCCAGTTGATAAAATTTTTTGTCTCCGTCTTCATCTCCTAACGTGAATCCAAAATCAGATTTTGATAATAGAACTTTGGCGTCGAGACTTACCTTTGAGGATCGCTTAGTCAACTTTTTTTTTTTTTGAATATCTGTAAAAAATTTTCACATTGATTATTATCTTTAAAAGTCCGATTACGGAAATTTACGCCAACTACATAGCCCTCCCATAAACATTAACACCAGTGCAACATGCTGTGATAAAAGACCCAAAACAATGGATTTCAAATAAATATAGGTGAGAACTGGTTGATTGTTCGACTTGAGATAATGAATTAATCATTTTGAATTATTTATTTTATTGCAGTGAAATACTTCCAATGATAAAATCAGTGGAAGTTGATACCTGGATAGGTTTGGATGACATTCAACAGGAAGGAGCATTTGTCTGGGCTGATGGAGTCACTTTGTCCGATCAAGATTCCTATTGGAGTACTGATCAACCGGACGATCATAAAAACCAAGAAGATTGCGTACATCTATCTCACCTTAAGAAATGGAAATTTAACGATAATCATTGTTCAACAAGTAATAGATATATTTGCGAAATAAAACTTAATTGATTGAGTTTATTTAAAATTAGTATTAAAAATTCTGAAACTATTTTCTTTTAAGATATAGACATCTATATATTTTGTTTCCAGTGTGGCAAACTTATTTTTTAAATTCTTATATTATAATATTAGAAATTGCCCATTTAAACATATCGACGTCATCACCTGTCCATTTAAACTCAGGTGAAGAACCTGTAATGTATGCAGCTACAGGCAACAATGTTAGCTGATACAACGTAATAACGAAACCGATTCTATATTGATCTGTGAATTTCTCGCAATTTGGCTTATGTTATAGCGTGACGTTTCAGTGGTGCATTATAAACCAATGGGGTATATATATACGAGAACTAGAAGCTATTTTGCAGTGCAGCGAGTGATGATGATTACTGTGTATTTTAATACTTTTCACCACTTAAAATTTATAATAGTGCATGCTATTTGCCTGAAACAAGGTCGTTGCCTAATTCATTTACTTTATAATATTTCTGTACAACGTTTTATGCAAACTTATAGTTATAAATTTAGTTTCATCACATATACTTGCGTTAAGATTTCAAGTTTATTTCGTTATCTGTTATTGTGTGCTTATTGACATCTGAAGGAGTCAGTTGGATGACTCCGCTAAAGTACGTTTAGTACTGGGTTATAAACACATAAATAGAGACATATATCTCCTAAACTGAAATTACAATGGTCTAAAATGGTAGCGACGTTAATGCGTTTGGAAGTGGAACAAAAAAATTTTTGGAATGGAATTGCATTCCAAACCTTATTTGAAGGTATTATAAGATTTGCTTTAACATTATAAACATTTTTTTGGCAATTCATATGAATGCGAGTAAGTGTTATCGCACTGTGTTCAATACCAAAACACTCAATACATCGCTTTTTAGCATTCAGAAAGGCCTTTAAATGCATTCCGTTATCTTTTGTTAGATATTAGTTCAACCAATCAAATCGCTATTTTAAGATACTGGTGTAGACGGCTTAATTTTGAGCAATTAGATTCGAATGGAATAAATGAATATCATGTAATTGCAACTGACGTACATATTATTCATAACAGATATGACGTAATATATTGTATAATTCATTCACACCTCAAAAATAGAAAAATCATGCATTTTCCACTGATACTTAGTGATTTCATATCCTAAGCGCAATATTAATAAACCCAATTTGCACAAAAAAACAAATTTTCGTATCATATAGCTTTTTACGTCATATCAATTTTCGCAATCGACTTCTTAAAATAGACGCAAAATTGAATTGAAGTACCACACAAAAACTCAGTTTTACACCTCGATGGTGGTTTTAAATTTCTTTTATTGAATGAAAGATGGGTGCTATATAAATACGCAGACGTGGAACTGATTCTGCACACAGTAAATGATGAGGCCGTTAAACGGAATAGCATGCTTCAATTTAGGCTTGGTAGACAAGGAGGAGACTAAGTTTGTAATCGGTTCATGTCTAATAATCGATTGAAAACAACTTATGCAATTGATTTTGAACGAGCAGTAGTCTATACATAGATACACTTTAGGTCCACATTTCCCAGCCGGGGAGGAATTTCCAAGGGGTGATCATGTTGTTCATGGCGAAGAATTACCTGTGTATGTAGTATTTCTAATATTCTTTAGTTCTTTATTATTACTATATTACTTTTTGTGCACACAACTATTTGGTCCGACTTGTGCATAACGCTAGCTGAGGATCGGTTGAAGATTGAAGAAAAGTAGTTTTTATGCATAAAGAAGGGGAAATAAATAGTCCAAAATAGACGGAGAGATGGATTCAAGGAAGAAGCTTGGAAGCCATTGCCTCAGTAGGTAGTAAACGTTACTAGGGCGTTTTTGAATCGATATATGTTTGGGCACCCTATACCTGATTGTTGTCTTTTGTGATTGAAATAAGTTGTATTTTCCTATTTGTAATTTTCCCAGTTATGTTGTAATTTATTGCTCGATATTTACAGAAATCGTTTCATTGTAATAAAATGGCACTACACATGAAAATAAATGGTTGGGAAAAATTAAGACAACATAAGATTAGAAGATTTAATGGAGCTTCTTCTAGCACATTCAAACTACCAGTACTGGGAGCTAGAGGATCTGGAGCGAAAGAACTTGGTAAAAGTCTTCGCACATTATACGGAGATTATGCTGAAAAACATCAATTTGGCATAGAGAGCGAATCAGATGCTGTACCGTATAAACAACTAGTAAGAGGTATTGCCATTGACACAATGTTATCTTTGGTAAATGAAGTCAAGGAATCAGGAGTTGTGTATTCCAATCCCGAAAGAGTTACTGATGTAACGACAGTCAAAACGCAAAAACCTGGTAAAGACATACCAAGGGCGGTATGGTTGGCTTTCAAACGATTGTGGAACGATCCAATTTTCGGAGAAGCAGCCATGAGTAAACCATGCCACGATAAATATGAAGATGCTGAGTATTACTTTAACAGCATTGACAGATTACGGTCAGCAAAGTACATTCCATCATCAGACGATATCAAACTTTGTCGATTTAAACTAAATGGTGTTTCTGAAACTCCTATGCGAAAAAATTTATGGTTACTAGAAGTCGAACCGATCGAAACTAAAAAACAAGCTGAAAAAATACTACAATTCTTTGGAAGCAATACAGTGGTAATATATTGTGTTGATATTTCTTCATATGATCAATTTGAAGATGATGGAAAAACGAATAAACTTCTAAAAACATTGGAACATTTTCAATATGTCGCTAATCATGACGTTACAAAAACAGTTTACATGCTTACAATTTTCACAAATAAAGAGGAATTTGAAACTAAACTTGCCCGAGTTCCTCTCAAAACTTGTTTTCGTCATTATAAAGGATCCAATAGCGTGGAGGAAGCAATGGCTTTCATTAGAAAAAAATTTCAAGTGCAGTCATTAAAACGACGAGGTTACTGTTCGTTTTTTATTGCTGGAGATCGCCTCAGAACTCATGAAGACGTTGAAAATATGAAAAAGGTTCTGCTGTTCTGTGCTTCCTATCTTCAAGCCGTAGCCTATAAATTAGTATGAATATAATCGCCAATGTTGAATTGCAAATCTACACTCGATTATTCTTATACAGTAAATGGAAAGTCGAGTTGAACTGGATCTGGTACAACAGCCCTTTTAAGTGGGAACTGTGAGGCTCAATATTTTCCTTTTCGAGTGATTTCTCAATTTACTGCTAACAACTATTCGTAAATTTGGTTCAATACATGATTATCTACACTCGTCATCAATTCTGGCTAGGAGTTCAATTTCAACTCATCTTCTGAATATCAAGGCTGAGTTGTCTACAAGCAACTCCTTGTGTGAGGGCTTACGAATGGGTGGAACTGGAATATGCTCTATATTTAATATAGTCACGCAATATTACAATAATTACAATATTTGTAATACATAATTATTTATCACATCCTAAAATTGTTCCACCAGGCCATGTCTAGTATTTAATTTTGCTAGAAAAAAAGTCGAATTACGCTCCAAAAATTGAGAATTTTTTTTTTAGTGTGATGACGTTTTGTGTTTAAATTCAAATGATATTTTAGTTTAATTTATTTATGTGTCCTTCTAATTTTATTGACTTTTTCATATTTGAAGTGTGAGTTTCCATAAATGTTACTCTATTTATATGATTCAAATATAATGATTATTTCTGAAACATCACATTGTTATTGTTATTGCTTTTCCGGTCACTTACCGACAATACTGACGAGTCGACGTTCGCAAAATGTAGTTTAAGTTTTACAGATGATAAAATAAAAATCGAGTTTTTAGTTTATATAAACCGGCTTCTAATTGAACATGAAGTGATCGTAAGTGAAGAGACGAAGATCAACTTATAGATTTTATCAATTTCAATTGGTCATTAACAAAATGCCACGATGCGACCGATAATAATATATTTAAAACAACATTTATTATTTGGGTACGCTGGCACAATGACAAATGGTACATAACTACGGAATATTTGATTTCAATCAAAGTCATGAGCGAACATGTAGCAGTGTAGTGTATCTTAATAATTCTAACTGTGCAATTGTGGAACAATCCAATAATCAGTAATTTACTGAAAATATTTTCAAAACAAAAGAATTATTGAGCTTTCGAATAAATGGGGACAATGTGGAGAGACTAGCTTGTAAATCTCTTTTTATTTCCACTTTGGCACTGAAGAAAATGATATACCAACCTGATATACCAGATAGTTGTACCCTTGCTGACCCGTGGTTAGAGGATAACATTTTAGCTTACTGACATTTGGTCGTATAATGATCATTTGCTATTCGATCTGTTTTTTCCCCAAAAAATTAATGTCAAAGAATTTTATTACCTTTCAAGCTGGATTCAAATTGCCAAGCGGAAACCTGAATATCTAATCAGAAGTTCAAAAAACCTAGGATACTAAACAACGATATTCGAATATGTCGTAATATAAACCATATTTGGGGTTAATTTGGATACGTGAAGAGTACGCAAATCTCATATAACTATATATATATATGTAATCAAATCTAATTATTTTGTTATTTCCAAATATGGCAAAAACGAATTTATTGACGCCTGACTCTGGTGTGATGAGTAAATGCTGTTTTAATGCAAGCTTTTTATAGCATGTTGCAGTGCCAAGTCAGAACTGGCAAGATCTGATCTGTTCACTCTAATATACGATCTTTGGTAGCTTGTTTTATATTATGTATGTTTTTATTACGTTATTTTGGCATGATGGAAAGATAAATTACTGATTGCGTAATGCGGATAAATCTATATTACGTAGATGCAGCTGATTGGGACCACCATCCGATTTGGCGACAGCGATTTGGTAGAAACGAAATTCAAATCTCATTTTGGAATACCCAAAATGCCAAGTGCAGTTTTAAGTATTCTGTGGCGTCTGCAACTGCCGCAAAACCCTGGCGGTATTTTCATACCATGACCGCTACGGCCAAACCTATGGCGACTGACTTTTTAGCTGCCACAAACCAATGACGAGCTGCCGTAACGGAGGCAGCAAATCGAAAACCAATGGCAGGTAAAATTTTGCTGCCGTAACCACGGCAGGTGGGCCGTAAAGACAGGGCTGTCCCTTATGGTGACAAATATTGGGTAAGTTGAAACGTTTTTCTTATGGATACAGTGGATGTGGATACTTGATAGATTTGGGGTTAGGGCTTTAGGTAGATATAATTCCGCATGATAAATTGAAATCTGGTACATTAATTTGTGAATATACCGTTAATACTGATTACTGAATACTGAATAGCGCTATAAAACCATGGCAAGAGCTGCCGCGATTCGTTCGTGGCAGGAGCTGCCATGAAGTGGTAAGAACTGCGCCTCCGAAATGCTGAGCCAAATCCTTTGTTCGCCGATTAGATAATACCCCAAACCTGCTTCCTTCAGCACCGATATTACAATAGTTGAACATGGTTTAAAAGCAATGCCAAAATATCGACAACAACTTGCAATATCGATGACAATGATATTAAAATTTATAGCTATTTATCTCGTATGGTCTGACATCGTAGCGATTGCAGATTGATGGTTACTGTTGATTTCACTACTTTCAACTATACTCAGTGCCAATAGCGCATTGTATTTGCATAAAAACATGGTCGTAGCTCAGTTCATTTCCTACATCCTTATTCTCATGCATTGTTTATGCGAAAACAAGTTTAATGACTTATTCCAAGAATAATATGTTTTCGTTTTATTAACGTGAGGTAGTTAAAATTTATTATTCATTCCATATCGTATTGAGATAAAGTTTTTTTTTATCTTCTGTTACTTGCAATAATTCAGTTCGGTTACCCAACTACACAATATATGGACAATTGTTAGCACAGAACAGACATAAAAGTTTTAGCTTGCTATTCCATTTCATGATGAAACGAAATATCTGCAATATAGGCTTTTGCATTTGCCAATTTGATCCGCTATATCGGTTAGTTTGATGTGAATAATGTCAATATGAAACGAGACAAATATTTAATATTTCTATAACCAATTCTGATATTAAAATATTGTTTTCCAGAATTAATTAGACTTAATGGGCGGAACATTTACGTAACGGCGAGGTGGAACTGATAACAGAACCATTAGATGACGTTTATTTCGCCGCTAATGGCAACGATATGTTCAATTATAGACCTATTTTCAGGTCTATACCATCGCAAAACTCCATTTATTTCTCACATGCATTATGATTACATATCTATTTCGAACTCAACAGCAATCGAAGATGATTGAACTAATTGTATATGGTCAAACTTCGCTCCCGTAGTATGTGTACCGAGTTAGGGTTAGGCCATAATTTTATTCCGATTTTTCTTATTTTAGTTCTATTACGAGTTCGGGGACTGTCTGTGTTATCCAAGTAAATTTCCCCCTGTCCATAGGTTTCAGTCCTTTTACACAACTTGATGTAAAGTAGGCGAACAAACTTAGTTATCTCCATATTGATACACACATTTCTGCAGCGCCTTCCATTCTGCCTAATGCGCTGGGGAAGGCTGCTGATGTCAATGGGTTTGACGTCACTGACAATAAACGTTTGTCGAAAAATAATGCGTTTGGCTTCATTTTTATATATAATAAATTACTTCAAAGAGCTTACTATTTATGGTGACTGAAGTTGCCTAGCAGTAGTAAATCTCGCAATTGTAAAAAAATCAGTCCTCAATACCATACTACGCTGGGTGAATGTTATTTCGTTCTAAATCATAAATGCATATATGAAACGTTCAGAAAATTGATTTAATCGAGTCTCAATAATGCAACGTTATATTATATATATATATATATATATATGCGATAGATGCAAATTATCCTGAACTTAAAACATTTACTATTTCCTCCGATCCCAAGACTTTAGCGGCCAATGGGCTGAGTAATATCATTCGTTTAAATAAACACAATTAACCAAAAAAATTCAATGTTTTCTGCCCAACGAGCGCTCAACGCTTGTTTTATAACATGTTCCATGATAAATGGAACAACAAATGGCGTAATGGATTCACTTCAGTAAAAGAACATTGTGAAGTTGCATATTAATAATAAAAATAAGCTGGTGCAGTTAGTTGTAATACTTTAATATTGAAAAATAGCTAGTTTGCATGAAAGTATTGGTCTCAGCTTATACATCATGTACGCAATCACATCACGCAAACACTGTTCTATTTAAAGGTATTATTTCAAAAAAACAAGAGAGAAAGCACAAATACATGGACACAAAGATAAAATGACTATCCGCAATATAAACAAAATTCCATTCAATGGTAAAAGAACTGCTTTTAACAACTAGGAGCATTTTGAAAAACCAATCCATATGTGAATATTGTCCCCAATTGTGTCGAATTTGTTCTAAAAGAAAAACCTAATTTTTTGTAAATGCGAATTTTCTGCATATCCAAGGTTGGGTGCAAGACATTCAAAGTTCAGCGGCAAGAACATTTTACACTACAGGGGTGGGCAAGGTTTTTGGACCAGGGGCCAAAAATTTTGGCCCCCTACACTAGCGGGCCATGTAAGTGTGACGTAACAAGTTACATTTTATGAACAATATTTAGTGTTGCGAAAGCAAAAGTGGAAAACAATAAGCCTCGTGCCAAAACTAAACATAATCGCAATCTCCCAAATGCCTTAAGATATTTTTTAGATAAAACATCAAAATTAGGTTTTAGTTTGGTTGTGGCAGCATCAGGCGGCTCAGATGGAATTACCCAACTGGCCGAACAGTTTTACGATAACCTAATAACTGCTACTATCTAAACTACTGTGATTCGTGTAAACACTACTCGGTATAAATATTTGGTACTCAATTGAAATCGTTTGTTTTATGGCCTAATTCATTTTCAGAAATTTCCCACTTTGCAATGGTATAGACTGGTATTCACGCCATCTTACCCCTAATACCAAACCTTGCGGATATCTCATGTTAAATCTTCATTAAGTCGTTGGAAAACAATCTATCTCACAAAAATGGCCAACTGATGGCTTCTAGTGCAAATAATATTTCTGTAGTCAAAGTTATAGCAAATAGTTTCTAATAAAATGATATAAACAAAATTAAATTTCAGCACATAACGGCACTGTTGTGTAACGCTGGACATATCCAATGTTCGCAGTTTTGGCAACAGACGTCTTTGAGATGTTTTGCGAACATGTTTTGGCTTTTTTAGTGTTGGAAGTAATTGCTAGATATATCAGACGTCTTTTTCGTCGTCTATAAGTTGGGCAGTGTATTGTTTGAAAACTTTTTCCCATTGCGGCATGAAATAATCAGAAAATAGTTTGTATTCTTCTTCCCAACCTAGAATATCTTCGTCCGTAAATTCACCTGAAGGATAAATACAATAACTTAAATTTATTTGACGTAGATTACAAATATATAATGAGAATCAGCGTATTTGAGGCGCTCCCATGGCCTATCAGTAGCATTTCACGGAGAGTTTTAAAAACTATCAATTACTATGTCCTGTTTTGTAGGTTTATTGTATTATAAAAATTATTTTAATTTTTTTTTCTGATTTTACGAAATGAAAATGAGTTCTGTACCATGATAAATCTAAGTACTCGATATATATAGATTACTTTTCTAGTTGTTTTTTACAGCAAACCAAAATGATCATTGGTGCTCAGGATATTGGTAATATGGCGGGCTCTATTAAAACTGCGAGAAGCAACTGGGTAAGAGGTATTTTAACCATCCAATGAACTCTATCCGAGAAATGCTATGGCTGTAATATGTCATTTTGTAAGACTGGACTGGACTGCCAATTCGACAATTCATTCGGACCTCCTTAGGTATGCGCACCAAGATGGCGCACAACCTGAACTCAGGTTGTGTACTAGATTGGGGTTCAGGTTGTGCGACATCTTGGTGCGCATGCTTCAGGAGTAAAATTTATTTAGTTAATTTCATATCATCTTTGATGGATATAAATTTATCAATATCTATACTAAAAATGCTTTAGGTTTTGATTGTGTTTGTCTGATTTCTTACCTTCATAGTCTGATGACTTGCATAGCAACAGAAAACATCCATTAGCATCTGTTATCGGTGTCAATTGTCCATCTTTACATGGTGGCTTATGTAATTGCACCGGACAATTCGTATCATCCGTAAATGTCGCTCCAATATCGTACATATATTCATTGAAATAATCAAACCAGTCTTTAAAACTCGACCTATTGGACGAAAAAAAAGAGTTAATTTGAAAAAAAAGTCAGTGCTGTTTTTGGGTAATGTAAAAGAGATGTGACAATGGGGATTTTGAGTTTTTTTATGGGCCGCTCCAGAAGTATGTGTACCAATATGAAGGTAACTAATTTTGTTCGCCTATTTTACATTAAGTTGTGTAACAGAACGAAAGCCTATGGGCAGGGGGTATATTCCGTTGGCTAACACAGAAAGTCCCCGAACTCGTAATAGAACTAAAATAGGAAAAATCGGAATAAAATTATGGCCTAACCCTAAACTGGTTGTCATACTACGGAAGTACCTTTTGTGGTACCGTTCTAGAAGTCGTATTCTCACATTTTTCAGTGTCGAGAACATATATTTGGACCGGCTGATATTTGGAGACGTTTTAGTACGCAAAACACAATAAATGGAACTCCTATTCTCACCTCCAAGTATAATATCTTTCTCTCCACTCTTTATTTTCTTGTGTTTGTTCGTATATTTGTACAGTTTTTGTGGTGGCTAAAATATTAGTTTAAAAAATTTTAATGTTACGTTTGTTACTGACTTCATTTGCATGATCAACTAGTACAATGGATGCTATTATTAAAAGCACATTTTGAAAACACTACAAATACTTCTCAGAAATAACATAACTACTGAAAAATAAAATTGGCCGAAAAATAAAGACTAATATTTATCTAAAATAATACGACTATTTTTAATTAGAAGTAGTTGATACCTTTTGTTTGGAAGTGCACACTACCCATAGAAGAAGAACCGTTATCGGTGGCCATATACGTTGCAAAAGTGTAACTTGCACCTAAAGAATAAACAAAAGGAAAATAATTGTTTTAACTATTTGAGATATGGGCATCCAGTTTTGACTGATGTGATACAAGAAAACTACATAAAATAGGTAGTATGGAGAGCAGGGCTAGACAGGACTTAATCCTGACACTTCTAACTTATCAGAAATGACTCCAACTTCTGCGAACGATGACTTATACATTGTAATGTTTTTCAGATAACGAGATTAATATTAACAATTAATCTTTGCTCAACATTCTGAATAGTGATAACCCGTGTTTCAAAGTCTCGACTTGAGTTGTACTCGAGTCACTATTTATCAAAGATTCGAAGTAACTCGTTACATCCAAACGAAATGCCTCGGACCCGTCCTCAAGGACAAGTAACTGCCACTGAAATCAATGATTGACTCGACTTCCATTCGACTGCCAGATGATTTGTGACTCGAAAATCGGGTTTTAGGGACTTCCATCCGACACTGGTATTGACAATGAAAATCAGTGATAGTAAAAAGCCGTGTAAAATTGTTAGAAATTTCACAATTAATCAAAGAAAGCCGAATTTCACTGAAACACTTTAACACGACAAACTTTAACATAGTGTTTTGACTACTTTATTCAGCTCCACTTCTCCTTACTGATAGCTTCAGGAAAATTGTTAAAATTTAAACAATTAACGGTTTCTGTAGGAACGATACTCCGTATAAATGCAGTAACACATCACCTCGTCGTGTAAGAAAAAACAATCGAAATATATATAAACTAACCAGGTTCCAAGTTGTAAAAACATTTATTTATATGATGATTCTTCGAAATTACTGTTTCCTTTCGGATGACGTCACTTGAATTGGTGACCGTGATTTCAATTTCATACGTCCTATTTTTCTAAATTAAAAAACGTCTAAATTATACAAATTGATTACAAATGAAAATATATGATATCCAGCGTGAATATTGAGATAAAAAATTATAGCTTTTAAGCTTTTATTATCTTAAAAATTATTTGTCGAATTGTTTTATTTTACGCTCAACTTACTGTCGTATTCGCCAACTTGATGCACGCCATATTGTTCAATACCATGGCAGTTTCAACTTCGAATTTTTCTGAAAATAATATTCAGTGATACTTTATTACAATGGAATAAGTGAAATGGGGAGAACGGTATTTTTTCAAAACCCTGACGTCTCAATACCTGTTAAATCACCTTCTTTCTACGTGCCCAAACGTGGTAGAGAGCACTTGTACTGGTAAATATTTTTTATTTGATTAGCCTCTGGGATGCTATGTACCAGAACTATGTGAGATTGAACAGCTATAAAATAAGGGGAGATCTCGCTAATTGTAAAAAAATTATTGTTGGTAGTTGGTACTTACTAAGTGTTGAAAATATGACGGTGTGATGCACATATGTTCCTGCTTCATCATATCCTACTTGCAATTTGTATGCAGTATCTGTAATTTAGTACGTATGTGTTATTATATATAATAACAAGAGAACGTTGCTTAAATATAAGGACAAGAAGTGGTCCGGTTATGAAATCTGATGTCAGATAGAGATTGCCTTGTACTAATTAAATTACCTGGTGTGAGTGAATCGATACATTTTTTATATATCTTTGTATCCGGTGAGCTATTTATTTCGACTAACTGCACATCACCCCCTTGCTCTGGAAAGTAAAAGACGAGATAGACCCGGACATATAGACTTTCGAACTGGAAGCAAACTTCATTGTGCGTTGTGCTGACAATAGCAAATTCGTTGAACTGAAAAATAAACAATATATTCGTTAAGATTGTAGCTTTGTGAGGTCTTCTTTAGTGGTAGCTTTTAGTTTAGCTATGTTGTGAATCTGATTTAATTTCAATGGTTTGTTGTAGTTACCGGGTATGTATTCTTGGTAGATTTCATGGTAGCCCCTTCCGTAGTAGAATCCAATTGAGTGGTTTCTTCCAATTTCATCGTAGTTGGACCTACAACTCCAACGTTAGGCTGTGTAGTTGTGGCCTTTGACTGAGTGGTAGTAACGGGCGTACTGCTTTCAGGGCTGGTAATGTAGCTTTCTGTGGTTTCTAATTTAGTCGTTTCAACAGATTCGGTGGTCTCTTTCACTACCGTCGTTGTTGTGGCCTGGGTAGTCGTCGGCTCAACAACTGATTCAGCTGTAGTAAATTCACTCTCCGTTGTTTCAAATTCAGTCGTTTCAAAAGGTTCCGTGGTCTCTTTCGGTGTTGTTGTTGTTGTAGCCTGGGTAGAAGGAGTGGTAGATACAACAACTGATTCCGCTGTAGTGAATTCACTTTGTGTTGTTTCAAATTCAGTTGTCTCAGAAGGTTCCGTGGTCTCTTTCGCCGTTGTTGTTGCTGTTTTAGCCTGGGTAGTCGTAGGCTCAACAACTGATTCAGCTGTAGTGAATTCACTCTCCGTTGTTTCAAATTCAGTCGTTTCAAAAGGTTCCGTGGTCTTTTTCGCTATGGTTGTTGTTGTAGCCTGGGTAGTCGTTGGCTCAACAACTGATTCAGCTGTAGTAAATTCACTCTCCGTTGTTTCAAAAGGTTCCGTGGTCTCTTTCGCCGTTGTTGCAGTTGTAGCTTGGGTAGTCGCTGGCTCAACAACTGATTCGGCAGTAGTGAATTCACTCTCCGTTGTCTCAAAAGGTTCCGTGGTCTCTTTCACTACCGTCGTTGTTGTGGCCTGGGTAGTCGTCGGATCAACAACTGATTCAGCTGTAGTAAATTCACTCTCCGTTGTTTCAAATCCAGTTGTTTCAGAAGGTTCAGTGGTCTCTGTCAACGTTGTTGCTTTTGTAACCTGGGTAGTCGTGGGCTCAACAACTGATTCAGCTGTAGTAAATTCACTCTCCGTTGTTTCAAAAGGTTCCGTGGTCTCTTTCGCTGTTGTTGCTGTTGTAGCTTGGGTAGTGGTAGATCCAACAACTGATTCCGCTGTAGTGAATTCACTTTGTGTTGTTTCAAATTCAGTTGTCTCAGAAGATTCAGTGGTCTCTTTCGCCGTTGTTGTTGCTGTTGTAGCCTGGGTAGTCGTAGGCTCAATAACTGATTCAGCTGTAGTAAATTCACTCTCCGTTGTTTCAAATTCAGTCGTTTCAAAAGGTTCTGTGGTCTCTTTCGCTGTTGTTGCTGTTGTAGCTTGGGTAGTCGTTGGCTTAACAACTGATTCAGCTGTAGTAAATTCACTTTCCGTTGTTTCGAAAGGTTCTGTGGTCTCTTTCGCCGTTGTTGTTGCTGTTGTAGCCTGAGTAGTCGTCAGCTCAATAACTGATTCAGCTGTGGTAAATTCACTCTCCGTTGTTTCGAAAGGTTCTGTGGTCTCTTTCGCCGTTGTTGTTGCTGTTGTAGCCTGAGTAGTCGTCAGCTCAACAACTGATTCAACTGTAGTAAAGTCACTTTCCGTTGTTTCAAATCCAGTTGTCTCAGAAGGTTCCGTGGTCTCTTTCACTATCGTTGCTGTTGTTGCAGCCTGGGTAGTCGTCGGCTCGGTAACAGACTCTACTGTGGTAAATTCACTTTCAGTTGTTTCAATTTCAGTAGTTTCATGTGCATCGGTCGTTGTTGCATCATCGCCAGAAGATGTTGCTGTAGCAGCAGGCTTTTGAGTTCCAGTAACGGCAGTAAATTGTGTAGTTGTTTTATCTGAATCAGTTATAGTCTTGAATTCGGTAGTCTCTGGGACTTGGACTGTTGATGTTGTTGAAGTTATTTCTTCTATATCAGCTGAACCTTCAGTGGTGAAGTCTGACTCTGTCGTCACGTTTGGTTCTGATATTGTCGTATCTTCGACCAATTTTTCGTCAACGCCGCCAGTGGATACGGTGGTTCCTAGAGTAACGGCTTCTACTACCAGTTCTTGTGTCGTTTCTGGCACTGGTGTTTGTTGCAAAACTGGAAAGAGATACAAAAACTTAGATAAGCTACACCCATTCAATAATTTTAAGATCGTTTGCACTTCGAAACAATATATTTATTAAATTCAACGCAATGTTTTTGCCAGAACATGTTTTCTGTATTGTAGTAAAGGATAGCCTATACTGATAAGGTATCGGTACCCATACAAAGTCATGTTCGTTTAACTAAACTTTAACATGACCTCATACATCATTGACCCTAATACATCAAGAATTCAGAATTGGTTCATTCAGAAAAAATTACAAGACGTTATACATTTCCAGCTCCCACTTTCTATACGTACCATTGCTAGTAGTCGTTTCGAAAGACTGTGCGCCTGTTGATATAGCATAATCAGTAACTTCTGTAGCAAATGATGTTGTAGACGGTATTTCACATTCGTCTATTGAAATGCACCTAACGAGTATAGAGAAAAGATTTCAAAATATGCGAAGCTGAATTTTTTCACCCTTTAACAGTCAGACAGTCATGGCAGGGGATTTCAGGCATGGGAAGATTCTGAAATAGCAACCTTGTTTTGAATCACTCCACGTTCCTAAGATTAACTTTTATTTGAGTACAGTGTATTTTTTATTTTTTTGATATATGAATACAAATATGCATTTTTAGATATTTTTGGCATCCTTGGTTACTCTACTGCCTTTTGAAAGTTGCGTCGAACAATTTGTAATAAGAAATATCACACACCTTCCCAAGTATAAAATAGGTTTTTCTGGCGGACAAGCACATCTTGCAGATCTTTCTGATTCTTCCAGGCATCGTACATGAACATCATTGGAACATGAATCATCACACGATCGAGCAACTTTGGAGTATTTTTGACCATCAGCGAAACATTCTGTTAATCCAATTATTGCAATTAAAATCAGAAAAGAAACGTAGAACGGAAGAAAGAATCAACGAGAATATCGGTTTCGATTCATGACTCTATAGTGACACCGCGTGTCCCATCACTAATTATTTAATAACTCGCTAATTATACGACATAATTTATCCAAAATCAATAGGCTTCTGGTCCGAGATGAATGTACATGCAAAATTTACATGACTAGGAGGGTCATAGAATTGGCAAATAGAAAACAAAATTTCTAAGAAAAAGAGAAATGAAAGCATAAAAGAACGAATAAAGGAATATTTAGGCCAGTTGTATTTAATTAATATACTCAACATGCCTTTAACGCCATACGATATCAAGAATCCAGGCTGTTGTCCCACAGTGTTTGCTGTTATTTTAATGTTCCCAGTGAGCGTAATTAAAGGTGAACGCATAATTCCACAACTCACTATTGTTTCTTCGTCAGATGAAACAAAAACCAATGTGTTATCTTCGCACAAACCTTCGGTTTCGTTTCGTGCCAAACTGCAACATAAAAGTTAAGGCAAAAAATTATATTTACAATATTACATTTTTTCCGTAATAAAAACATATTGTTTATAATGGAATAAATAAACAAAAACTTTTCTTTTCAAATTTCAAAATCTCATTGGAAAAGTTCTGTTTGACAGAATAATGAATATGAATATGCCCTCGTTATCTAAAAATCAACGATTAGATTGAAACTTAATTAAATAACATTATTTTTCAGAATCAAAAGTCGTCGAATTCAAGTGTGTTTTTTAATGCGAGTATAAAAAATAAGAGCAACTGTTTTTCGCTACTCATTAAATCAAGAAGTTTTAATGTTATATATTTAGTTGTATTTAACGTTGACAAGAAAAAAATGAATATATAATTAAATGAGTCATCTCATTCACACCATAAACTCAAAACCTATGAATTATATAAAAACTTTATGCCATAGGGCCAGTTTTATTTTTAGTCTGGTGACAAAAGACAAGATCGGTTAACAGCACAACAATACGCGAACTCTTACCCGATGAAGTTGGTATTAAATTCGACATATTGCCTCTCTGATAAGTCAAACTCAAATTCGCAATCTTTCATTTCAGATACAGCAGGGAAATTTGGTGAAGCAATTTGTCCAGAGGTATCGGTTATCTTTGTTCCACACGCAGCATTGGGGAATGTATTACCTTTGAAAGAATACAGATATATACAATGTTAAGGAAAGCAGTTTGACAATACGTGTAAGAAAGATATATATATATATATGTATTTATGGGTGAGTAAAAGAGCAGTATTTGTAAATAAACAGTTTACAATGAAACTAAAGTTACTTCAAATCTGTAGCCGAAAAAGCATGACGATAATCGCTCAAAAAATAGCTTTCTGAAGCTCTAACAAACGAGTCAAGAAAACGCTAATTGATATACATTGTATTTCTACATTACCAAATGTGAAATGTTACACTTTGAGTCATTTTTTTAAATCGAAAATACTTACTAGGAACGGAATCGATAACAGCTTCAAAGCCCACGCTTTCGTTTTCATGATTAGTTTGGAAAACCATCGTCATCATTTCAGAGTGGGAATATACGATTGGCAATCGATAGTTTGGAATTCTTAGATCTTCTAAACCACATACATTCATGAACTCGTCTCCGAAGAAAAATTCATCGAAGAAATGAATTCCATCGTCACAATACATACTGAAAAAGACAACAGACAGCGCTCAGATAAATAAATACATGATATAATATATATGGGCACGAAAATCAAATAAATATCATGGCTACCGCAATGTCAAAATTGTAGCCAAATCCTAAAGGAATCGTACCGACTGTGATATATAAATATACCGAATGCCATGTTAAAGTGTGGCCGTCAATTATAATACAAAACATCATAATTTTGCGGAAAAAATTGGGTCCGTGAGACACGAAGAAAATCGAAAAAAAAAAATATTAGTGATATTGTTCTGACGACTTATTCTATCATCAAGTACCTCAAATGAAAACGACGATTTTTTACGATATTCCCCAGCATTAGTAACTACCATTTTGCAAAATGATCCATTCATAGTTTGTGAGCAATAAAGTATGTATTTATCATGAAAAATAAATTAAATGAAATAGGTAATTATCAATCTGATTCGAAATGAATGATTCATTAAAAGTTTTTCACTTTGATTTAAATAAATCGTCATACTCACTTCAATTTTGTAAACGTGACTCGAACTATGTAATCGTCAGCAACAACAAAATTGTAAAGTTTAGTGTAATTTTTATTGTAATGTCCCGATTCTGATACTTCACTTGTGATTGTTATACTTTCTCCAATCTAAAATAATATTATATTTTAATGTCCCGTTTGTGACAGAGGCTGAAAGACATTATATAATCCAGCTAATTAATGACCAGTAGGCTTCAAATAATTTGATGGTAATGTTAAAAAATAATAAACATTGAACTATATTGCTGATTTACAGATTCATGGAAAGCTTTCATACCTCGAGGGTCTTGAAAAAGCTATTCGTTTCTTCCGGTTTGAGCCTGTAGATAAAATCAAATAAGTTGCATTTTTTTTAATGATTTTACCTGCAACTGTCAATAATATAACGGGAATTTGGGTATTGAATCGCTCTATTTACATCAAAATGATGTATAAACACGGTTGACCTGTTGAACCTACGGGACACTACAGCAATGGTGTTTATCTGAGAGAGTATATTGCTATAGTATCATCACTCTTCGTCAGGTTTGTTAAATGACTCTCGCTTGAAATTCAAGCATTGGATATCGTACTTACGTGGTAGAAGGCAAAACAGTCGTCGTTGTACTTTGCGCCGTTGTTCCAACTTCTTTCGTCGTCTTCTTATCTTCATCTGGCAAAGTAAAATATTCAGTTGTTTCTGACTCGCTTCCCGTCGTCTCTATTGAAGATGGCGTAGTTGTTGTAGCTTGGGTAGTTGTGGTGGTGGTCTGTGTCGTTTCGTCCGCTTCGGTAGTAAGGCTACTTTTTGTTGTGAATTCTTTCTCTGTAGTTTCATCTGGTTGTGTCAAAGAAATTGTTGTCGCTGTTGTGGTTGATGTTGTTGTTGTTGCTGCTGTTGTGTCGTCATTAATATCAGACGTAGACGTAGTTATTTCATCGGGTATTTCAGTAGTTGTAGGTGGAATCGCTGTTGTCGTTGTGGTGACTGTTGTCTCTTCCACCGGGGATTCTGTTGTTTCATCAGGTACAGTCGTTTCTTCATTGACACTATCGGTGGTGGCAGGAGTCGTTGTTGTTGTTGTAGTGAGAACAACTGTTGTCTCCTCTACATCACTTTCTGTCGTTTCAAAATCCGATTCGGTCGTGGCCTCATCAGGTATCTCAGTTGTCGTAGGCACGGTGGTAGTGGTTGAATCTGTAGTTTCCTCTTCGGATTCAGTCGTTTCTTCAATGATACTTTCGGTAGTGACAGGAGTCGCTGTTGTTGTTGTTGTTGTCGTAGGTGGGACGGTTGCTGTCGTCTCCACAACAATATCTTCTACCGTCGTTTCAAAATCGAATTCGGTGGTTAACTCCTCGGGTATTTCAGTGGTAGTTACGGTTGTTGTCGCTGTAGTTTCATCTTTCTCAGATTCTGTTGTTACATCCGATTCTGTCGTTTCTTCATCGATACTTTCGGTTAGTGACAGGAGTCGTTGTTTGTTGTAGGTAGGGACGGTTGCTGTGGTCTCCACAACAATATCATCTACCGTCGTTTCAAAATCGAATTCGGTCGTGGCCTCATCGGGTGTTTCGTTTGTCGTGGGTGCCGTGATTGTAGTCGTTGTTGTTGCTGTAGTTTCCTCCACCACAGATTCCGTTGTTTCATCAAATTCAGTCGTTTCTTCATTGATACTTTCGGTAGTGACAGGAGTCGTTGTTGTTGTTGTCGTAGGTGGAACGGTTGCTGTGGTCTCCACAACAACATCCTCTGCCGTCGTTTCGAAATCGAATTCGGTCGTTCCCTCGTCAGGAATTTCAGTAGTATTAGGTACAGTTGTAGTCGTCGTTGTTGCTGTAGTCTCTTCGTCTACCAACTCTGTTGTTGCATCAAATTCAGTTGTTTCTTCATCAGAAATTTTAGTAGTAACAGGAATCGTTGTTGTTGTCGCAATGGGAGCTGCTGTAGTGTCCTCTATGACTTCTGCTGCTGTAGTTTCATACAGTACAGCTGTTGTTTCTTCGTCAATAAAAGTTTCTTCTGTTGTTGTTTTTGGGGTGGTGGTAACTTTTTCGACTTCAGAATCTGTTGTGACGTTAATATCAGGAAACGTAGTTTCGTCTGTTGATTCCGAAGCAGGGGTGGGTGGTGATTGGGTCGTTTTATCTTCAACTACTACAAATTGTTCTTCAGTTGTTTCATAAACTCCTGTTCCAGCAAAAGTAGTTTCATCTCCAGAAGAAGATGTTGTGGTAGTCGGAGCGGGCGCGGTTTCTTTTTCGGTTACGTCGATGGCTTCGGTTGTTTCGTAGTAACCTAGAAACAGCAAAACAAATTATTGAACGTTAGTTGAATACTAACTGAGGCATTTTGTTTCAGGACGTAGTCTCGTTTCGAATTTCCGATAGTGATGAATTATCATCTCAAGAAAATCATCTAACGTCTTATAGACTCAAACATATGGAGCATATTCAGGCCAGAAAATATTAATTCTAATTAGAAGCATTACATATTTAAAATACAGCTCAATTTCCGCCTACCTATTTTTGTTTATTTTTTATGTAAAACCTTAGAAGTAACATTCAGAAAACAAATTGCTCGTAATGTTGCGACCAAAAAGTCGAAAAGGTTCATTAAAAAAAAAAAAATTTATTGTTGTAAATCAACAATTTTTTACAAAATGGAATTCAATGATGTATGATATGATTAATTACGACAAGTGATGTCAAACATGTCCCGACAGCAAAATATTATTTTTATAAAATGATTTTCTATGCTTTTAGAAGCCCAGGCACGACTATAGAGAGATATAATCCGGTAAATTAAACCTAACAGCCCCGGGCGGATGTTCTACATATTGTGACATATTTTGTTTAATCTTGTTAACAATTCTGGCAAAAGCTCACTCGTTCAAGCTTCTCTGTAATATAAGCATAAATTTAAACATGTTGGTTTCTAATTGACCTCATGTAAACTTTTTACTGGGGAATGACCAGTAATTTTACTCCGGAATATCAGTTAAACCTTTAGAATTTCATGCAGTGACGTAATAGTTTATTTGATCGCAAATACGGTCTTAGCCTAAAATCATGAGCCTAATAACAAAACTTCTGTTTATATGCAAACGATGTAGTATGTGTGCAGCTAGTTCACATCAGTGAAATTTATCTAAACAAAAATTTTACCCAAAGAGAAATCAATTATTTCAGTACAGTTTTGGCCTCTTTCCAACTAAAGTTGATCAATCTAATCTATCAATGCTAATCAAATTGAGACATATCTCCTTCAAGTTATTAATTGAATTACTATATATTAACAAAAATTTGGCGAATTTTGTTACAAGCATTTTTACAATAGGTTTCATTAAAATTTCAATCATATAAAAATATTTGAGTATATATATATATATATAACGCCCATTGTCAACGGATCGTTCTTGCCTTTGTATGAATGACTTTTGATGTAATTGATCACAAATTTCAGCCCTGGAATAACTTTGTATACCCCAAAAACTCTTACCAGTAGTTTGCTCTTCAGATGGAGTAGTCGTGAGTCGTCCCAAATTAGTCAGTGTGGTAAACGTAAGAAGGACAGAAGACAGCACGTTTTCTTTTCCTGTTGCAACTGATTCTATGAAGATCTGATACTCCGTACCTACGCAAATGATAAATATATGAGAATCGAAAAAAATTTAAAATAAAAAAAATGACCAAATAGTTTTCTATGACATAAATTTAAATCATTTATTGAAATACAAAACGAAACTGTATTTATGTCATTAAATCATCATACCTTGAGTAAGACCCGTAAATGTGTAAGAAATAGTTGCTCTGTCGTTATTCAAAGTTTGAGTTTTCTTTTCTGAGTCCGGGAGATCAGGAATGACAAGAGAGACGATAAAAGATTCAGCGGAAGACACGGTATCGAAAGTCACGGTTACTGACGTTTTTGTAATTTCACCCAGCGAGGCGATTTGAACTTCCTCAAGCGGTATTGAAGTAGACGGACATTGGTCGTACGGGATACATCTGAATATTTAAATGGTTCATTTAAAGCAATATTATTTTTAACATACATTGAACTTTTTCACTTAAGATGTCCGATTTCGAGATTAAATCACTCATTTGTTAATTTTTTCCAAGCTACTAAAAAAACATCAATTTTCATAATCTGCCTTTCATGAAATTTACAATGATGATATCTAGATCAGCTTCAATGTTATTAGTGCCTTATTAGGAAAAAAAACGTCTCTAGCACCAACGAAAGGTTGCATGTCATAAACTGCTAAAAATTGAATTTAATAAAAATGCCAAATTCGTGCTTTTGTCGTCACTGTTTAATAAAAACATAATTTTCCGCAACATATATATGTAACAAAAACGCAGTAACGTCTCGTCAGCATTTTTTTAAACATAATCATCTCTTTCAACCATGTTCCGTTACATTCCTGCTTTGAGGTAAATAAATCCCACCTGCCATTGTGTAACACGGGAGCATCAAATGGACAATCACAACGTTGAACACATCTCAACGAACAGGTTGGTCCATCTTCACCATCTGCGCAAGTTCTATTGCATGCTGATCCGCAGGATTTCCATTCAAATGTTTCAGGACATCGAGCTGGTGCTAAAATGAATATTCATGTATTGAAACAACCGTGTGTTGGTTTTATTGTTTGGAGCATGAAACAAATAACAATGGTTATTTAGAAATCACACAAAATTTGATATTTTGTTTTATCAAATCCTATTCATCAAATATCAAAAAACAAGCTATAATAACTAAAATAACATTGGTCATGGAAAGTATGGAACCTTTTTTTCTGAAAAATGAGTTAATAATAAAATACTTAAGCTATTTCAATGTAAACGCTATCAAACATTGCAATTAGAAATGTGCTCCCACGGATTGTTCGATATTTAATAAGTACATGTTAACATACCATATGTAAGCACACAGTACTTAACCAAAATAGTTAGTATAAACAAATCTCCCATCGTATTTTGTCGATTTTGAGACACTCAAAAATAAAATTTCACGCAGTGTGTATACCGTAATTATATTTATAGCATTGATTTCTCTAAAACTGTAAACATACACTCGCTTCCCCGTTTTTAGTCTGTTTACAATCAACTGATAATGTTATTTTTAATTTCAATTTACAGTTTTTTGAAAGAAAAAATTTTTTTTTCAATTATATTACTAACCAGGACAATTCAATTCATCACTTCCATCTGAACAATCTAGATCGCCATCACAAACATATTCTTTCTTGATACAATCAAATCCATCGGAGCAAATAAAATCTTCTTCCGTACAATCTGAATGAGTCAAATTAGTTAGAAAATTAGGTTTCTTGTCTGCTGTGCCATATGATCGACTTCGCGTTTATAAAACTATTAATTATAATATTATTGTTTCTACCTGTTGAAAATATCGTTTGCTTTGCGAGAACAGATATCAAGTTCACTCAAGTTTATGACGTAATGGCTCAGAATTCAAAAATAAGTTATGAAAAGGCGAGAGTTATCTCATAACTCTATTATATTATTGCAGCATCAGAAAGCGTGACGTCACAATCCCTGGTCATAATGAGGGTAGGATGTGCGCGTCATTCCTAACGCTTAAGCTTAATTTACGATCGAAAGCTGTACACAGGTTTTGACGTTTCAGCAAAAAATTAGGATAAAGAGCATATAAACTCTATTCACAGCCTGTATGTGACCTATCACATATAATGGTGCGCTGAAGTGGTGGTTTTGTAGGTATTATTTAACAGTGGATTTTGTTGCCTCGAAGCGTGTGGTGACATTTTAAAACTCATGGTGTTAAGGTTGTGGCGTACAAATCTGTTTCAAAATATTTAAATTCATAGCAAAACTCAATATAACAACAATCCACTTACTTGATATAGTATCAGCTGTCGTTACATAAAAGTCAGTTGTGAATTCTGCTTCAGTAACAGAACTTTCGGTCGTTTGTTGTGATGCACATGCTTCTGACAATATTGTGATGTCATCAATAGCCATGTCTGAATAAAACGATTTGCCTCTTGTCGCCCGGAAAGCCAACTAAAATGTGTTAGAAATGAAAACATCATTAAATACGATAAGTTTACCGTAAACTCATCGAACACGCAGCTCAGTAATAGTGTCAATCCCAAAACTTGTTTAGACTTGCTAGACGTGAAAGCATTTATTTACAATACACCTCTAGTTTTTGTAGTGTTGATCCCAAATTTGTTATTATTGTACTGTATGATAAATAAGATTATCATGTTTTGTTCTCGCTAAACCCAACCGCAAAACAGCATGATATAAGTTTATTTTTAGCTTTTTAGGATAAAGGACGTATTGGTCACGTGCCAATTTTTCAGATCCGACTCGATTTTAGCGTGAACAAAACCATTTTGACAAGAATGGATCAGTTTGTTAAAATGCCGTTGCTTGGGTTGAAAGTTACCTATTTCCCTCTCATTTAATGTGCAAATTTCATTTCAAATGTCGCTATTTGTTATTTCATTTTTCCAGGAGTCCTATAAAACCCGACATTTCCAACACAAATTGGATACTTTTGTCGCGAGAACGCCTTTGATATAACATTCGATGTATTTCGTTTAACATTATTCTTTTTGCTATTGCTGACATTGCTGTGGCTTTAATGAGTCACACAACCTTTGTGTTTCATGTCCTTCGAGCATTTCACAAACTGATTTCAACTTACATAAAATGAACTATCTCCGCTCAAAGTGACATCAGCCTGCTTCCAACATCTCCTGAATTTTCCGATTGAAGTAAAAACATATTTCCAGTCTCAGCACTTCTTAACTTTTATAACAGCAAGCTGTCCAGTTCCACTCCCAAACATGTGATACCAAAACGACAAGCAATATTTGGAATCACCTTAATCAATAAATAAAGTTAATTTATCAATTCAGTGTTCATTATAATAGCCAATTAGTAACTAAATGAATTTATAGAATGTTTGAAGCAGTGCTGCGGGGTCGGAGTGATTTTTATTATTATGACTGGTACTGAAGTAGGATCAGGTGACCTATTTTTAAACGGAGTAAAAAAAATTCGGGTTGATTTTCCGACTTCTCATAGTTGTGAGTAGGAGCTGTAGTTTACAATTCAAACAAAACGGAATATATTCCCTTGTTTCTGATTTTCTCGGTTCTGGAGTCGTGAATTCAAGTCGGAGTCATTTTATTGGAATCCGGAGTCGGAGTTGCTATATTTTTCAGTGAGGTGTCAAAATATCACGGAATCTTTCTCAGATTCTACAGCTTTTTTCGCGGAATTTTGATGCGTTATAACAAGAAATTGTTTCGTGTCGTCAGCGTTATTTTTTCATATCCTTCAGCCGTGCTTTGCATTATTTTGATGTGTTATAACAAGAAAATAGTTTGTGTCTTCAGCGTTGAATAAAGGAGTCAAATCATCAACTTTGCAATTCAACAAGTTTGCGTACTTACTCTTCTCAATTTTAGGCGAAATTATAATAGCTTCCTCTCCCTCATCCATGTCAGAGGCTTCTATATAGGCATATCGTCCATCTGAAAATAGATTAATAATATATTCAATTTTGGATGCGATGCTGACTACTGAAGGGTTTGATACTGGGTTTTAGATGCCACAAATATGGTGTTCTTAGGATTTTCCCCCATTTTGAACCTCCTATCTCATTTTTAAACTTCGTGTTCAGTCGGCAAGTTCCTCAAATTACCTGAATACTACAAATTTCTTATCTGTACCTGTTGTGTCTTCCGTATGATCTTCCGATGGACCAGTGAGACTTGTAGCTGTTTTTGTTCGTGAAAATTGCCAGTCTCCCAAATCTTCGGTACTTTGTGTCCATCCTTGAATAAAATACAGAGTGAATTGGTAAAAGGGATGAGTAACCGAATCAAAACAAAAAACAACTGCATTGATAAAGCGATTGTTACATATATATATATATACAAGATTGTATCAATTAACAAGTTAACGACAATTGAACAAAATACAAGTATATATAACATCCAGATAACCGGTTTGTAAAATAGTTTCACTGAATGTGGAACAAGAGAACTAGTTTACAGATAGTAAAAGCGTAATTTTGTATTAAATTGGTTTCGAGATACCGAGATACAGTATAGCACGTCATAAAACAAGCGTGGTTAGGCCAACTGCGTTTTAATTCAACCCTTTAGCGTTAAAAGTTTAAGACACTGGCCTGAGGTAGGTTTGGTGAACGAACAAAAATATTGAACACTCTACCAAATGATACAAAGATTGCTCTTCAAAATGTGCTTTTATACGAATCAGAGTTGTCGTTTGGACATTGAATAACAAAATTTGGGACGCTTAAGTTAATACTAAGCAGCTTTTCAAATATTACGATGTTATTCTAATTAGTTTTATTTTATTTTTAATAGGGCGTTGAAATAAAAATAGTCATACGCAGTGAGTCATTACATGTTTGCTTCCCATTTATAAACAAGCATTTATCGCAAGAATTAATACGACGTATTTTCCAATAACGATACAAACCTGGACAAAGTGGCGTAGCTCCGTCAAAATTGCAATCCAGTGTTGGTGTCCTGTCAGCAGGATTCAGTGCAGTCCATTGTATTACAAATCCCTTGCCATTTGTTATTTCATCGGAAATAAATTCAATTCTAGGACGCAAAGATTAAATAAATATATGGTGAAGTTGAAATATTCACTTTAAAAGGCTAATATAGCCACGTGGGATTTACTTATGGTATTTTTCTAGTGGGATTTAGTATAATCGGTAAAAGTTGTATAAAGTCGTGCTAGAGCTTGTTCAAAGACTAGAATTTGTTATAATAGGTGACCCTAAAAAAAAACAGAATACATAATTTTTTGAATTATTTCTAAATAGATTAAGGACACCCCCCCCCCCCACCCCCCCCCCCCACCCACCCCCCCCCCCCCCCCCCCCACCCCTTAACTCTGTATTTTGACCTTAGCAATGTGCTTTCATTCCAATTAATTGTCAGTATATATGTATTTACTTTGACTATTTATAATTGTACAGGCATATTTCTAATATAAGAATTTGCACATCACTTAGGTGCCATGCTCGTCTCGACTAGAACTTTGTTTGCAACTACGGTGTGAACACTTAACGTAAATTCTACATTGCGATAAAATCGTTATTGGACATGTTTAGTGGACATAACGATCGTTTTGTTGTTATGTTGTTCTTGTTCATTGACACGTTTCGAAGAAATTGCTTTTCTCTTTGATTATTGGACCAATCTCTTTGAAATTTGCTGTGGTTAAAGATGGAATTTTTCTCCAGAAGGCTATTACTTTTATTTTTTGCTATGACGTCATCAAAATTATGTGGCGCTACGTGTCCATATATTTGAGCATAGCTCTCTTGTTTCTTTTATTAGGGGCGAAAGTAGATAGATTATTGGACCATTACTGGAAAATGATAGCTATATTTTACAGAAGGAATGTGGACTCGGAGTTTGACATGTTTTATTGAAGTGGGATCGTGTTATAACATTTTTTCAGAGTCGGAGTCCAAATTTGAAATCCCGGAAGTCGAGATTTTTGAGTCCCGGAAGTTTGGAAGTCGAAATTTCAGACTTGTATTGGTGACAAATATCTACAGAAACTCAAAAAAAGAAATTAACAAAGCGTTCTTGGCAGTGTTGACAGTATTTTGTTACCAAAACTTTTTTGAGAGTTTGGAGCTGGAGTAGAAGTCAAAACTCCCTTAAACTCAGCCGGAGCCAAATCTGTATTCAATCCGGTATCGGGCCGGATCGTGAATTTTCCGCACAGTCCAGATTTGCAGTAATTACCGGTGACAAGTTCTTACCTTAAAGTGTTACCAGTTGTTGCATTGAGTGGTATTTTATCATTTCCGCAATAAGATCCAGAATTTAATGCAGATCCGAGCAAAATATCGCCATCATATAGTTGAACGTAGTCATAACATTCATCTGCTTGTGCATCTCTCGCTTCTAAGTCGAGTAATAATGTTCGATACTGTAATAGAAACAGTTTATTACTATTGTTGATGTAAATAAATATGCAAATAAAAATGTTTTATCATTCGATTCTTCGGTTGTTAGCCCCCATAAAACATATAACCGCGCAATAGATCTTAGTTATTCAAAACCCATCCTACACGCAAAAAAAAAAAGTGGCATAAACAAAACGATTTCTGCTCGTGCTTTTTATTCTGTAACAGAATACCGGTACCACAACATACCGGTACCGTGTTTGGCGTTTAATAAAATATCTATTCTAGATAGTGAAGTTTAGCTGTAATGGTAGTCTATTAACGTTCACGTATTCAGTCAGATTCACTTTCCTTGCTGGCTTTGCGCTCATCCTACCGGTACAGCGAGCGACCGGCGTGTTATTAGTGTAATTAGGATACCAGTACTGTACCGTTATTAAATTACTGTAATAGAGTAATAGGTTGGGGATATTTAACTTTGTTTGTATACAAATCATCTTACCTATTGGCTAACATTTCTGTTAGGATTTAGTTTTCACCTCCTCGGTATGGTACCGGTTGTTTAAATAAAACGTCAGCATGCCGTCAGTAAATGGTTGCTATAGCTGTACAGGTATAAATGCGCAAAATCAGTAGACAAACGCGAGTAAAATGGTTTAAATTATAGACTGTCAACGTCAAACGCTTCCCATGTCGACATTAGCGCAGCATATTTCACAGACTATAACGGGCTGGCAGAAGGTCAGGTTTAGGAGGAGAGACGCCAGCGGAAACACCACGCCCATTATTCAAAATATTTGACCATGTTTATCGTCATAAAAATACCGAAAAATATCTGAAAATCACTCTATATGTAAAACTGCCGACGTTTACAAATAAATTTAACTAGAAAATCATAAAAAATGCAAATTTCTGTCCTGGTGATCACATTCCCCATAAGAGCTAAGTTGATTTGTTTATGCCAATTTTATTTTTGCGCGTAGGATGGGTTTTGAATGAATAAGGTCTATTACCATGTACTTAGCAATCAAACACGAAAGCTACGGATGGATAAGATGTTCCATGTCAAAGAGAAATGCCTCTGGTTATTTTTGAATCAAAGTTCCCCTTATTGCAGCTCTAATACTGCTTCAAATCGGTATTTTTTGATTAAAATACTTGTAGGGAAAAAAGTATAAAGGTAAATTATTTAAATAAATCAAAATATGGTGAAAGGTTCCAAAATCTGTTACTTGAATTTTTCATTCAATAAATTCTTCATCATTTTTACACACTGGATTGAGTCCCGAGACATATGGAAGTCATGTAAACTGAGTTTAGATGGACCCGATTACGTCGGACTCGACTAATCCTATCAATTTTCAAAGGGGGCGTTCTAGCTTGCTCTAAAATTAATAATTTTTACTTCTATTTTTGTAGAACAATCAACAACATTTTTGTAGAAATTCCAACCACGTTCGAATGAACTAGATCAAGATTCGAGGCCTCTGCGATGGCATCTCGCTAATCAGCAAAACGTCACTCCGACTAGGAATGATAAATTCGATCCAATATGTTGGTGGCCACCAATTAAAAGTCCTTGTTGCATTTTTAAATGGAATATAACGTCATATAGACTAACAATGACAAACGTGAGAATAATTTCTTCATTACCGTGATGATATTTCCTTCATCAGCTTCGATTAAATAGGAGCAATTTGAACTGTCCGGATAGTTTTCTGACGGATATCCGGGACTAGCAATATATCCGCTGCTTGAACCCGTTATTCTTCCACCACACGATCCGATAACAGTGGCTGCAGATAAAAATGTATATATGGTTAAGCATGGTATTTTTACAATCAAATACCTGCAATGTAAAAGTAATGGCTTGCAATATGGGAGCCAAATTACCCCCACAAAGAACAATTCACTGATCGCTCTGTCTCTACCAGAAGATTTGTTTCTTGATGGAGAGTCGCGATCTTGGTTAGAGCAAACATTCATAGCATTTATTTGCGTGTAATTTTATTCTATGTTTTATTATACGAGAAAAAATACGCCGCAAAACGCCTTCAATTTATAACAATTTAGCATAACAACGAAAATAAATTTTTGCACGAAGGCAAAAAAAACTGTGTAAAAGATATGCATTAGGTTCCTCCACATATTCGATGAAACTTGCATTATATGAAACGAGATTCTGTTCTTTTTTGCAGATAGTTGGTATTTTTACAAGAATATATGCTAATATAAAATTTGAAACAATTCCATGTATTATTATATACTTACTTGGTATATCTTGTGAGTTGCAGACGCCAAGAAGCAGAAGAAAATAAAAATAATATCCAAATATAAAACCTGAGCTGGTATGACCCATATTGTGAAGTGAGTGGATGAATCCCTATCTATCCGGAATGTGAATAAGCTGTATTTAATCAGACCTTCTTTTTATTAATTTAAATGTTTCATTCTTTAATCTAGACCCGATAACACAATTTAAAATAAAAAATCATATTTATGTAATAATGCAATTTTTCATATACACCGTAAGGTTGCGTGAAATGAATCGGAACTGAACATGAAATCCCCAGCTGGAAATGTTATTTATCTAAAACCTGACGGTTCATTTCATGCTTCAAAATTTGAAACTGTATCCTATACGAAATTTAACTTACAAATACCAAGAAATTTTGACGTGAGCGTGGTAATCGATTTCATATTTGAATGGAGACTTTGCATTTTAAAATAATGGCTATTCTTCAAACTTGGTATAGGTATATGATAATTGAACAATATTGGGGTTTGACTAATTGTTGATGAAACAATTTAGTAACAGTAATTCAAGTTCATATCCCACGAATTCATTAGTCTACTTCGATAGAGATTATTTCACCTAAACGTTAATTGCTGATGATCTATCTAAGGGCCATATTTGGTGATATGAAAATGCAATCAAAAGTCAACGATAATTTTTATATTCTATCCAAAATAATCAAAAAGCGCGAAGTTCGCAATCTTCTGGTTAAATAATAATTGTCGGTTTGAACGCCAAGGGCGTTTTATAGTTAACTTGAGCATCGTATGACTAATGTTGTTACGTAGGCGATGGACAACGCCTAAGCTTAACTTAATCGCTGGAGCCAATTTCGGTAAATATAATTTTTACGAAAGCTTCATTTTGTACTCACAAGGCACAAATTACGAAAATGACAAAAATTTCCGAATCGATATCTAATTGAATCATTATAGAGTAAATATAGACTCTTGATATTATTTTAAATTTTTCCGGCATATCCAGTTTTTTTTTTTTTTTACAGGGGTAATATTTGAGGGATTTTCAATTGTCAAAATCTATTTTTTCCGTCTAAATCAACGCAAACAGAACTTATGCGACAAGGCATGGATCAAAATTCAATCATGATTTATCGCTTTGCTTTATCATTGCACTTTTTTTAACTTGCAAAACTCAGCCTTACTTGGCCAGCAGTTATTCCCAGTTATGTTTATAGTCTTTCAATTAGCAACAATGACGTTATACTCTGGGGACTTGGCATTGAATGTTTGGAGTCACGCCTAAATAAATAATCATGGTATATGATTCATAGCATAAGTAAAAAGTTCTTTCACATATTTAAGATTTCTCGAATCTCATCTTTTCTGTGAAGCATGGATATGAAAATAACAATGATCTGTAATACCCGCTTACCGATTTGCCTAAAATATTTAAAACATTGATGTACTGCGCATACCTGAATCACTAATCCATAGTTTTGAATGTACTTATTTTTTTTTTATCTCAAAATCGCCAAGCATCTAACAGTATAAAACATCATCTCATTCAAAATTATAGGGATGTAAATTTTGGTTCTATTCGAATTTCCATATATACTCATTACTTTTTATACATATTAGTACAGTACTTTTGTCAGTATTTGTCAAATGTCGCAGACTTCAAATATCCCAAAAATTATGCTGAAGAAAAGAAAGGCATTTCTACACGTACTCCATATATATCTCATGGCGTGGCGATGGTCGCTTTCGTCTTCTGTATCAGTCATAACTATCTATCTACCTTACGCTTAGGACTGCTGTGAGTAAACTGACATTAAACAAGAAGATCGGATTTCTTTTACCACCCTTTCACTTTTTCTCTGGTCTATCTACGGTTACTATATAACTTAACATTGTATTTGTTTTATCGCACTTTAGTCAAGATATATTTTTTAATATCATTGACTTACGAAACCCATTGTCGCTATTTAGTAATAACGTCGCAAAACGCGCCAATAAGTAATTTGATAGTTATGGTTTCGCAACACGAAAAATTCTTTCGAAATCTCAACTACATTCCGATCTTCCAAAACTGTTTTTCTTTCCAAAAAGCTTGCCATTTACTAAATATTCTCAGATAATATTTGGCGCTTCAGTCACACCTTTGATTTATCACTTTTTATTATAGCTGCTCATTTAATTGTCTGTATCTTACAACCGGTATCATCTATCGCCTGCTTTGAAAATTACAAACAGCTAGAAAGTCAGTCATTAAATCTGTTGCCTAAGGCTAGAAACCGAATTCGGCTTTCCTATATAATACGGATTGAACTTACGACACTAAACGTACCTTAATCTCTGAGATGAGCAACAACAACGTATCGTTCGTATAATTGATAAACATTCAATTCAGCGTTAAAGCATGTTAGAAGCTGTTTATCGTTCCGGGAAAAAGCTTAATTAGAAATATGGACTTATGAAACGCGGACATGGTCAAATATTATTGTCAGATTTTCTTTAATCCTACTTTCTCGCAGAACACAATTTTTAAAAGTTTTCAACTATTGCGAAACGAATATTTGTGTTTGATGTCCCTGTCAGTCTTCTATATGTCATTAAGAGGTTGATGTCACCATAACATGTGAATTGAAAGTATTCTACTGAGAATATATGTGGTATGTCCTAAATTTGTCATTTAATATCGGAATTGAAGTCATTTGTTAGATGCAAAATAGAAAACTAAAAGTCTCGATTCAACCGTTATCTACTGACATATTTTCCACGCTAATAAAACTATAGAAATAACTCTGAGCGCGCCAGTGGTCTCTTTTTAAACTACCCTATCAATACTCTTTACATTTTGTTGAAAGCCCTATATTTTGATTTGTGGTGTGATTTTAGGAAATTTTACAATATGTCCATTTATCATTTTCACTGGTTTCAAAATAATATCAATAGGTGATTCACTGATCATGATCAACAGGTATATAACATCTTTTAAATCAGTCACTTTAATTGCGTGACGAACCTTTTTTATCCAACAATTGTTCATGTACCACAAGGAATTTTTAATTTTATACCTAAAAATGATCTTCGTATGAAGAAAAGATGAGTGATTATTTTTTATGTAAAAGTATAACTAATACGATGTTCAATCCTGCCATGAACTCCTAACCTGATAAGTTTCCCATCGCATAGGAATAAACAACTCCAGAACAAATGTCTACCTCATATTGACGGGTAAAAGGCGACATTTATATCAGAATATGGTTCATTCTGAGCATTGTAGAAATCCGTTGACAACGAATATCCAGACTCAAGCCTTTGTGGGTCAAGACGTCTGGTCCGAAACCTCCATAGGGTGAAACGTCCATTGGGTGAAACGTCTGTATACACTCTATATCTGGCAACTTTTTTTGGAAGGACACAAAGATAATTGTTTTAGTTTTGTCTTAATATTCATATCGCAAAAACCTGTTGCTGAGAGGAACATTTCTCACAAATGTCGCATCCATGAGGTGGCGCTGATTGGTTCTTGCGAACTACCTGCATATTTCAGTCTATGATCTCCATATAACCAAATAAATCATTACTTTTTTCGATACGATTCCACGTGGTAACTCAAATTTGGAAGTGTTTGTTTTTGTAGTGTATTCACTATCACTTTCGCAGTGAAACAGGGTACGGGGTAGATACCTGTTAACTGCGACAAGATAACTTATATATATATACCTTTCTATGTAGACGTGGTTCATTTTGTTCAATTTTCCAAACATTCTGCCATATAATTTTCATCCTATTAAGGTCATTATACTGTATTATCAAGAAGATTTATTTCATAGACGTAAATGTTCTAGTAGGTTGTCATACTGAAGACGTCAAAAAAGTATAGGCAACAAAATTTTTGTAACTCGTATTTGTGGATTGAAATGCACTTTATTGCACTATATTTATATGAATTCATACATATCGAGTTATCTATTACAATGCAGTATTTTTGTTTCGTCATCCATTGTAAAAGTGTCATCGAGCTTTGTTCCACCTCCTGGGCTATGAATGTGCTTGTAATTGAATGATACACATTACACATATAAATAACTTTGAATCTGTATCTCATGGTATCGAATGTGGAATCATCGAATCAGATTTACTGTTTTTTTATCATTTATAAGCTTATCATTTGGAGTGATTGACTAATTGACAACATTTCATCTCGAATTATAATATATATAATTAATTTTATATATATATTTCATTTATTTATTTTTCATACGTCTTGCAATCGTTTAGTACAGTTGATATCTCGACAGTTTCAATACCATTTATAAATGGAGTAACTCGTAACGTAGTAAGTTATTAATTAACCAAAATCTGTTTCAATATTCCAAAATAAACTCATGATATTTTACGCGCATTTCATTTGGTTCTGACACCAAATTTGGGTTGATCATATAAACTTTTATCTTGAAAATGGTAGTGAAATAAGTCGATAAAATTTTTTTGTTAGCTGAGAATATATCCTTTCGCAAATTGGAACCAATTGAAAAAATATTCAAAGGTAACTAGAACAACTTTTTTTACGTTTCTATACTATATTACAGTTTCCATATAAGCTATCGACACATATATTATACGTGATTCGATGTGGATTCGTACAGGAATTACGTTATGGCATATGGGTCTATCGTTAATGATAAGCTAATATTTGTGGTGATATCAGTTCTGAATAAACGTATAATGTTTACTCTATCGTTCGTTGTCTCACATTATAACGAAAGGAGAAACCTTCTCGCGCGTAATAAAGCACGCAAATATTGGGGACCTTCTTGATTAAGGTGTGAATTGGCTTGAAATGATTCTTATACATCCACTCGATACATATCTTTAGACAAGCTTTTTGGAAGGAATCCACTAGTGACGTTACTTAGAGTACACATATATTGCGGTTTGCTCATGTAATGTGTTAATGCCACTGGAAAACCAAAAATATTTCATTGAATAGAAATCGTATTTACTTTGAACTGTAGATGATCTATCTCAAACCGCATTAATTCTGTTGATTTCCTACATAAAACGATGGTGCTTCAATGTTCAGAACGTAACATCTCGCCAGTATTGAGTGAATTAGTATAATGTTGGTTATTTTAAAAGCCGATGGAACCACAAATTACTTATATATTATTACTGGTTGCCCTGATATTCTTGCCATTTTATGACATAAACGGGAGGAACCAATACAAAAATTATTTTAATCAGTCAATGCTGGAATAACCCCAGTAAATTGATGATTGCTTGTCATCTAAGGCTCAATTTTGATGTTGTGTAAGTTGCAATATAAATATATCAGTACAGATTTGTTCTTATCTCCGTGAACAGTTGAGATAAGAAGAACGAGATCCAGAGAATTCCACGTTCGTTTCAATTATACATATAAGCCATATTTTCTAAAATTGCTTTCCTTATTTATATCTCGATTTAGTGATATATGTCATTGGTCTGTTCTATTCACATAGATGTATGTTGAGCATAACGTGGTTTATAAATATAAAATGCAAATATTTAATTAGTGTACTGATTTTCAAATGACATCATAGTCAATAAGGATTGCGAAAAAATACATCGCATCACAGTAAATTTATTCTCTTTATTATATTCGTGGCGTTTTCGGGGTGAATACACCATAAGGGATGGGTTTCAATATCGAAACCCATACACAGAAACATAAAGAAAGTAAAGCCATCTAGAGATAAATTTTATTATTCAATGTAGGTATAGGTATAAGTTAAATGGAATGTTGGTGGTGCCAAAAGGCAGAATCGGAAACAACTTATACATGTTAGAGTTAAAATAAGGGCGTATAGAAACAGACAAACGCGCAACCCCACTGGATCACTTCACTATAAAGAAGTGATCAAGCTGTTCTCCAAAAACGTCAACGACGTAGGCGGGAATGGGTGGGATTTCTACGTGTATTGACATATTTACTTTAACTAGCGCAACAAAACTAAACAATCATTATTTAAAAAGATCAAGATAAAGATATTTAAAAAATAATACGTTATACCATCTCCCGTCCACCACTTCGTTAATGATCGACCTATGTGAAACTTGTGCAAACGATGTGATCTAACGAAGAAACGTTAATTATTAAACGTTTCTCAATCCTTAAACGTATATGATCTAGGTATAATACGAATCTGATAGTATGCCTTATCTACAAATCAAGTTAGTTCATACAATCCTACAACATCTGCCCCGAATGGGCAGAGCCGTAATCAAGCATTGAGATGAAGCGACGAAGGCTTACTCGCGCTGCGCCCAGGTCACTGATCCAAGTTTGAGATACAATAAAATCCCTTATTAAATGAGTAGAAGTGGGCAAATCTAACAACTCGATGTTGTTTAATAGAAGGTTTGTTATATTCTTTCTACTTGATATTATGAAATAGTATAATAAACGAATTTGATCCCATCACAGCAGATAGAGGTCAGCGTGAAGTAATTATTATATAATACTAGAAGATTTAGTGTGAGCCTTCAAAGACTATCGAATATTTTCAAGATAAAGTTGTTCAGTTTTTTGTTTAAATTTGTTATAAAGTCAGTTTAGTACTATTCATTTTTATTGATACGCATCAAGCAGTAGTACGTAAACAGGTGAATAAAAGTGAGTATTTGTAATTTTAAACATTGATAAAGGTCTAAATTTTATTTTATTCCGAATGACAAGTGAGTCCTAAAACAAAACTTGCCTTTCGGAATTATGTAACGTCTCACCATGCATATCTTGAAACAAAGTTTTGTCAGAGAAATAACTCAGTGAAATAGAACGAAAAACACAATGGAAATCGACACCTTGGCCACCATCAAACATTCCCTAAGAATCAATAAAAAAGCTGTTCTTACAGTATGCTTACTGAACAGACGTCACAGAGCAATAATATACATTTATAAAATGAATAAGTGTTCGTTACTAAATTGGAGAATAGTTAATGATAAAGAATTTCTTTCTTATTCATGTCCAGCGCACTCGCCTCAGATGATGCCTACTCAATTGAAGGCGAACTCATCTTGAAATAAAGATGAAATTTTCAAAATTCTTACTGATTATTGAAGATTCGAATCGGTTAGATTTTTAGAAGACTCTTCCCCCATTTTTTTCAGTTTTTGTATGTTTTCAATATAAAATCTTAACTAGGCTTGCAACGACTATGATTTCCTGTATTAGTTCTATAACAAAACAAAAAAATATGGCGACTTGAGTAAAATATTTTTATTTTGCCTAGTGCCATCAACATCACGCCTGTATCAAAGTTTTGGAGAATCATCTAACTAGGGGCCTGATGATGTTTTTACTTTTTTTTTAACAACAGATCCCATATTTACATCATAATCATATACTGTATATCTACTATTACAAAATGAATTTGATATCAATTTTTTCCGTGATATCAATCTCGTTACTGCTAGTTGCAAAGGCACAGGAACAACCGAATGATCAAGTGTGCCCATTTGGAGCATATACGAAGGTGATTATCATATTAGATAAACGTAATTTTATAATAAGCATATTTATACTATATAGGCTACTATTACTGATACGGAGATCAGTTCCTTCTTTTTAACGATCACCTCTTGGAAATGATTCTCTTATGGCATACGCCTCGAGTCTTGAGATTGAAAATTATACCGCTAATGATGAGTGAGGCCATTAGGGCCAGGTATTCATTCCTATTGCTATTTGTGACTTCAAGAATCTTTTGTCTTTTTTTTTCAAAATACCAATATTAGAAGCAGGTAGCGTTGAGTTAATACCAAAGAGTCGAGAAGCCTTGTGCGCCATTTGTACTTATGTACTCGATATTGATTTTCAGCAACGCCTATTTTAGGCGCTCAGCGATTAATCCCTCCTTTCTTCTTAATCAAAATGTAAAATAGGTTTTGATCGCAACACATATAGGAACGTTGCCATTACTACTCGATTAATCTAATGCATTGGTATAATATATTTGTGTTTTTGAATATTGTTTACAGGAAGCCCCATCTCAAGAAAATAACTTAAAGGCATGCAAAGAGTATCAATGTAACAGTTGTTGTACAGAAGAATTGACAGAACAACTGGTATTAGTTCCTCTGCAAATGGTCGGTATACTCAACTATAGCCAATGTGATGGAGGATTGTCCACAGCGTAAGAATTTTTTTTATGTGTTGAAAAAAAATGATACAAACTTTTTAAGGATCGAGGCTCGCTATCAAAATGTACTTAAACAAGAGAGCTGTGCTCAAATATATTGACACGTTAACCAGAGCGAAGCAGTATTTACCTTTGACGCCACCGGTATCCACAAATAATTCCGAGTTTTGCGTAGAAATAATTTACAGAATCAAACCGAACAGCCAGTGTTCCCATGGATAAAATAATACAGCGAAATTTTAGACGGAATAACCGTTTTTTTGCGTTTGCGCGCATTGTTCAAGAATATTGAGCCGTTTCTATGACAACATAAATCGCTATGTATTGTAAACTTTCATGAAAATTTGCTAACTGGGTCAAAGCTAGATCAGGCGCTTTCAACAGTACAAGGGTCTAGCCTGTGAACAACATCATAGGCGGCCACTAAAATGACAATAGCTATTTAAACAATAGGCATATGCAATGCACACGGTATTTGAACTTTATTCTTCGTATTCAGATGTTCAAATTATATGTCTTACATTCAATGCTACTATCAATGTTCGCCAAATTTATACCCATGGCTTCACAGAGTGACAAGACGTTTGGAAAATTTGCCTATATGCGCCAGTTTTTGTGGTGATTGGTACGAAGCATGTAAGGTACTGGTTTTATATCTACTATCGTTGGAATTTGTAGTAACTTTAGGCGGTAGTCCCTCGGAATGGGGATTAGTATTTCTATTGAAATATAGATAGCATTTCTATGTCACGTAAAACTACAATAGGAAGTTTCGTTATAAGTTAACCCCGTGCGTGACGAATGCAACCTAATATAGTTGACAAATTTCATAATATCCAATCCACAATGTGTCCAAGTATATGATGCGAAAATTCAAAAATATTGACAAATTGTGGATGGTGGTTTAAACAATCCAAAGGACCTGAAGTGATGTGGGAATATACCACTAGTATGTTATGCCACATAAAATACCAAATTTCACCACAGAACGAAAAGTGGACATATAAGTATTTAAGTGCTTACATATATATAATCTATGCGGTTTAATTCAAATCTTTCCGGACTTTTTCAAATAAAATATCATTCTCAGTTAAGTGTTTAGTTTGATTGATCAAGTTTTGGAGGTTCTGGAAGTTGGTTTACGTCTATTGACGTCTGCCTGGTATTTTATTTTTAACGAAAGAAAGAACTAATTATGACCGTTTTAATATTGATATTACTAAATCATTTCCTATACCTCGTTTATAAAGGATGATCGAACTTGCGTTGACGAGACAGACTGGTTGAGAGGCTTCCAGAAAGTCCAAGTCGGAGATGACCCGAAAGATATCACTTTGCAGTGTAAAACAGGACAGCCTTGCCGGAAATATTCCGAAGTAAGTTTTAACGCAAGTAAAGAAGGCCACTGAGGTACTATGCAAATATACTTAAAATGTTAATTTCTTATTTAGGTATACGAGAATGCGCAAAAATTTTGTACGGAGATGTGGCCAGGTGTAACAATGTATCAAACTGACGAAAGTAGCTGCGTTATTCCTGGAGACCAAGGCCACAATAAAAATGTTGTGAAAGCAGTAGAAGGAGAAGATGCCCCTTTCTCGACATGTGAATCTGGTACGTTTATGGACACTAGATAACTGAGATGTTAAATTTAGGTGTGAAATTGTTGGAATTGGGGCAACCATACTGTTACACTATAGTCAATTTTAATACACACACACACATATATATATACGATACCGACAAAAAACAATATATAGTATCAATAAAATATTCATGAAATGTCAGGTAGCCGAGCCGATGAAGTATGAGTATAGTAATATTATAAATATCTAATTGGACAAATTATCTTCCATCCAACTACTTTCTGGCGGTTTTTATTCGAACTCTTTTCAGTCATCGTATTTATCGGCTTCCCCGTATAACTAAATAAAACTAATCTAAATAAAATCTAAAAAACTAATCTAAAATCTATAATCTAAATATAACTCTTAATTTTTCAGTTCATTATACTGATACTGGAATGATCGTCGGAATAGTGGTTGGAGTTATAGCAGGAGCCGCAATGCTGACTGCACTGGTTATTTTCATCATAAGAACTAAAGAAGCTAAAAAACATAAGGCCAAGGGTGGATCACGTAAGTTCGTGAATTGAAGATTCAGGATGAAATAAAACTTTAATCTTCATTTAAACAGTTTACTTACAGTCTAATTTTCTATTTGTCGATATGGAATTAGCAACTAATCAATTGCTCCATTTGCATATGCATCGATGGTGAAAGAATCGTTATTGTACAGTAACCATTGCCCACAATCATTACCCAAGACAATTGAATTTGAAAATCAAATAGAAATAACCGGTGCAATGATATATAAGCGTATACCATTATGTGCAAATCGTAAAGCCGTCAAACTTCAACTGATAATCTGACTAAAAAAATTATTATTCTTCAATTCAGAACCGAAGCCAAAAGAAATGGAAGAACTGAATCCTGCAACACTTGAATAAAATTACGAATATACATATTGGATGTAAGAAAACATATGTGACAAACATGAAACATTGTTACTTTGAATAGCTGGTCGCCCATGGGCTCACAATGATGCTAAAAATTTGTCACATTTATGTTAGAATGTTTATTCTCTTTTGCAATCTTATTATAAACTTTTGCACTGAAAATCCCTTCTGATCATGTTTGAAAAACTTTTGAAAATACTCCAATAATAAAGAAAGAATTATTATTGCTGATTGCCAGCATGTACGGTAATATCTGTCTCAATTAAATTTGTTCGCCCTCTGATAAGAAAGCTCAATGGCGTTAGGTGTGCGAATCCATGTGCTTTTTACATTATATTCATCAAAAACTATGTTTCTTTTTCACATACCTAATAAAAATAAAGACAAATTAGATTGAACAACGTTTAGTCATCAATGTATTGAACAAGATGACACCGACTGTTGGGAAAAAAATGCTTGCTTTAATGCTGCAATCTTTTGATATAATTTTGAATAAATTATCTTCTATAATCAAAGGAGTACAGGATCTCGTTTTTAATTCAACATCAGTAGCCACATATCTTAGGAAATACAGAGGAGAAAATATACACATTTCAATGAATAAATATATATATGAGCTTCAGGAACGCGCTTGGTATCACACACCCAATAAACTCAATGTGGGTAATCAGGTTGGATTCCCTTGAGTATAATTATGTGCGAGAGGTAAGCTGAATTCCTTCCCGTCACATGATGGTTCACTTGTCTATAACGGTTTCCTGCGCCATCAAGTTCATGCATCTGAAACGTATTACCAGACTCGACATGAAATGGTAACCAATCGAGGGCGAAGGAAAAGTCGTGGTTACACACGGATTTGTCTCCACTGTGATAATTATGAAAACCCTATTTCACACATAAGGGCCTCATGCTTCGTAGCAGTAAAAACGCAAACGGGTAATTAAATACTGAGCGAGGAATATGTCATATCTCCTCAAAAAGTAAAAGATGAAATTAACGCTAGATAACGGTGATTTATTTTCTCCGTGTCATATAGAGTACTATAGTATAGACCAGGGTGGTAATCAGTAAGGGTGGTCCAAGGTGGTCGGCCTCGCGGGCCACACTATAATTTTTGTATTGTTTGCGGGCCACAATAGTGCTAAGAATAGGTAGTGCCATACAAAACAAACACTTTTATTGTTCAGACACATTGGTCATTATTTGCCATTCATCAAGCTAAAACATGCAAAAAACTCATTCAAACGTGCAAAAGTTTTACTATATCTACATTCGGTGTAAGACTTCAAAATCTTCACAACGGAGGAAGTGCCATACGAAGAAAATGCCCTTTTTGTTATCATATTAAGCAAACATTGTGATATTTTTCCTCCCGTATCTAGTCAAAAACATGTTTGAATTGGTCAGCTTTTATTTCAAACTCATGTTTGCAAAATAACTTACAAATAACTGCAGATTGATTGCTTACCGAATTTTACCAAATTTGAGATAGAGGAGGGTAATTACTATATTTTCTGACATATAGGCAGCATTTTTTGTATACGGTTCAGGCTGGTTGCAAAAAAAACCAGCCGGCAGGATTTATATTGTTCGGCCATTACATTAAATTCAATAATATTTAGTTATCAGGCATAGTCAACCTAGGCTAACCTTTGACCATGCCTTCGTCCACAATATTGACAAGACATGTTGTTGCGTTCTGCACAGATCGACCGCTGTCTGTAGATTAGGAAAAGGGCTTCTCGCCAACAGCTCTTCTCTGGCTGTTGCGTTTCTTGCGCCAGCAATGATTCGTGTAGTGAGCCGCTCATCGTAGCAGTTTTCGCAGAGTTCAGCGTCTCTTCCTAGCTTTTTCAATGCGATTAAAACGAATTGAAGCTTTCTCCATCACCTTGTTGGCGCTCTTCAAACAACACCCTGTCTAGTGCAACATTTCTCTGACTGCGAATATGTTTCTTGATATCTTCTTAAATAACGTCAACGGATTTTTCGGTCTCTTCGCTGATATTTAGAACGTGTTTTACGACGGACAGCATTTCTAGCGACAGACATCCGCGACAAACAGCGACTTGTTTCGTTTGTGGTTCTTGATTGTAGCCCGAAACTTGCATGTAATCGGACCACATAATCTTCCACGGGTCGAGGCCTGACAAAGAAATATCAGCAGTCAGCTCAGGTGGAGATTTGGCTGATATGCGCCCTTGCAACGTGGCAGTTTCAGTTCTCGGACTGCTCGCTTGAGAACCAAGTGAGGAAACCAAAGCCTCCATTTTCTTTTGCTGCATTTCCAGAAACTGCTTCAACCAATCGCCGTCCGCGACTTCATGGACTGGTTTGTTTGATTCCTCTTTCAATTGTTTAATTTCCTGCAATTTTTCTTGCAACTCCTGTTTAGCTTCATCCAGCATCTTCGATAATTCAGGGGCAATTCAATGGCACGGCTTATAATGCCACTGCCGACAACGCCATGTTCTGTTCTAAGTTCGCAGGTTCAGAAAAGACTCAGTGAGTGATGCATACAAGATTTAATACCGCTTAACATAAGACTTCAACCATAACGGAAGACAATACAAAGCAGTACCGCACGCCAGATAAACATTCGACAAGTGCCTGGGCGGATCGCGTGCGAGTCGGGCAGTTGATTCCTTTCTCGGGACTTCTCGTCACACGTAAACAATGGCCAGACGCGTATACAACAGATTCCTCATTAGATTTTTAGTTTTCCATGAAGCCGATTTTGTCAGCATATATTCCCGACCAACGACTGACGTTCCCGACCGAAAATATAGAAACCAGGCAACAATTTAGACTAGCCAACCACTTTATTTAATTTTGCTAGTCGCCTCAGCTAGCCATAACACCAGTTAATTCAATGACATTAGTAATGTAACAATATGTCAGAAGATTTTTCTGGTTATTTTTATGACGAAACAACACCAACTTCAATTTTTTGTTTACCCGTGCGCAAATGCGACGCGGGCCACAAAAAATGAAGCGGCAGGCCACCCTGGTATAGACCATGCAGTCTGAGAGAGTATTTAATATACGTGGGTAATCACATTTTTACTTATTTCTATCTGACTGAAAACACCGGGCATTATTGGTTGTCGTTATCACATTCCTGACTTACGCGCATATAATGTTGGTTTTTCGGAACTTTGTAAATTGCGAAACTATGTCCTAATCAGAAGAGCAGCCTAAAATTGAAAATATTGAAATGACTAGTCAAGTATTTTTGGCACACTTTTACTCAAATAAATCTTTCTACCTTTTAAGTGAACAAATTTCTCTCGAAGACGTTTACAGTTGTAAATAAACAATATTGCAAATATTCTGATACGGTCGATACCTTTGTCGGACTTATTCATATTTTCGTATGTGTCATATTGAGGTGTAAACCCATATTCCACAGTTAGCATTATATAGCCTGCTCAAATTTTAAAATGCTCAAACGCATAACAGAAATAAAATGGACGGAAAACTCGGCGGTATTCTTTTCAAGATATTCTGGTCAAATATTTGTTTCATGTTGTCTTCACCCAGCTATCAGGAAACCAGTAGGCCTAAGTAGTTACTCGGAAGTATGCCATAATTTTTCATGTTTTGAAATCAAAAACGATACCGGTCGGATTATTTATTCAGTTATTTATTTCAGATGCATGAAATTGATCTTCCAGCTATTTGCCAACAACGAGAATGCAACCTATATATAACATAAATATATCGGTATATCCCATTTAATCATTAGTACCTAAAAACACTCACCACACTTTTATTGTAGGACAGTATACTCATGTTTATTTTTTGAGAGGGAGAAAAGTCGATAGGACGGCCAAATCATACGTCCAATGTCCAACACGTAACCGCTGGTCGGTTACGGCTTCCTCCACCACCAAGTCCATGCTTCCGAAAACAAATAATACAGTAAAACTAATCCCATACCCGACTTGGAATGGCAACCGGACGAGAGGCCGTGGTTCGCCATATGGATAAGCCGTATTATCGGCTTTCCTCTCCCCCGGGATAAATATGTAAATCCTATCCTATCATCGTTCATTAATATTAGTATTTACTTGCGGTCTATTCACAGCCTCTTGTCCGATCGCCACTTCACTTGGCAGTTATTCGCTTCAAATGCATGGAGCTAATGGCGGAGGCCAAAGTGGACAAGTAGGCTATATATTCACGTTAGTGATTACCGGAGGTTACAAGAACCATGTCGACTATAACGGGAACCACCACACCACAGTGCCAGAGAGTTTAACCATGGATATCTTTGTGTAGTCAATAATGGTTTAACCATCGATATATTAAACGATATCGTTGTGGAGTCATTGATAGTTCAACCCAACGACTAACATACCGGTTCAACCCTGCCCTCATAAATGGGAAGCCACCACAAAAAGGCGTGGTTTTTAGGGGATTCATTTTGGCATATTGCAATGCAAATATAAAGTGTACGGTACCGGTACAGCTGCAAATGTTTAAAGATATATTTTCTATCATATTAATATAAAATTAATAATAATATCGATCCACCCAACCCGTAGTAGTATATATTTACGATCCAAACCAACGACTAACATACCGATCCAACCTAGCGGTACCGTAATATTGTATGGTTTTTGTTTTCAAAGTTGCCAAGTTCGTTGGCCCACTTGGTGTCAGATAAAAACATTGGTAGTTGTATTCCTGTTTCAGTGTTTGCGCCACTGTGAATCAACAATATGGCAAGAGTTCAATCAGGACAAGTTTAGTTAGCACAGCAGCTGCAATCGCCTAGAAGTCGGTCATTTTTGTTCATGATATACCCGTCCCAATCTATTGGACATATTGGAGATTTCTACCGTAGCTGTTTTCAACTTTCAGTCTTCAGTAACAAATAACATAGAACTGGATAATGGTAAGTAGGCATATATTTTATATCTATTGTTGCAATGATTTTTTTGTGTTATCATTATGTTAATGTAGGCTATTTCTAATCCGAATTCATAAGTAGCCTACCGTATGTCCTGTCAAATTTGAAACTCTTGCAGTCTTAATAATGTAATGTCGCATAACTTAAATCTGTAAATCATAAAATAAACTATCTATCTACTCTGTAAATGATGATGAACTACAGCTGTAGGTACCGGTACCGTATGGATTTACCATTTTGCGCCGGTAGTTGTACCTCTATATCGATAAGATTGATTCCACTTGAGATAATCTAAATTAAACTTTAATTGAAACTGAAATTGCAAGCAGATAAGTATTTAATTTACCATGCAATTTTAACATGCAAATTTCGATTTTTTTTTTGCCATAATAAAACAATTCTTGTGTATTTGTTTTCACCCCTTTGCCTGTGTGTATGCATGTTACTGTGATATCTCTTCAAATATTACATTATCCAACTTGTTAACAGGGTGAACGCAAGGGAGTAAATAAATATTATCCTCCTGATTTTGACTACAAAAAACATGGATCACTTGACAAATACCACAATTCTCATCCGCTCAGAGAAAGAGCAAAGAAATTGGGAGAGGTATACTACTATTTAGTTGTGACAATTTTATATTTCTTCATTTCCTAATAAACCGTGATTGGCAACAAAAATGTAATCATTAAAAATTTGTTTTAATGGTAAATTAAGTTTTGAAGTTCCTATCGAGCATCAGAAAGGTGTATGTAATTTTTTAAATCAAGTAATCAAACTTTGAATCAATTTTTGCTCAGAAATAAAATTATGAGCACAAATGGATTTCCTTTTCATTTTATATAAGCGAAAAGCTAAAAAGACAGCTTAATCATATGGCTAATCACAGTCTCTTATTCAGTCGTCAATTCATGTTGGGTATGAGAATATTTTATCCAATTATTCCTCAGTCATCCTTAGATTCTTGTCTATGTTATAATACAATGCTTAATATAATTTTTCTAGGGAATACTCATCATTAGATTTGAGATGCCTTATAACATTTGGTGTAATGGATGCAACAAACATATTGGGATGGGAGTTCGATACAATTCAGAAAAAATCAAGGTATTTTATTATCATATTCGCTTTTGTTATTTCTGCAGCTCTGACACTATTTTTTGATACAACATACATATTAGAATATGTTGAACCTCAAACATATTATTAAAACCACTGAAAAGCCAGGATTACTGAAACAATATAGATTTTTGGTGCAAATGTTGTTGATACGAGTCTTCAAACAGTTCAAGATATCGTAATTCCCAAAATGTAACTCAATTTCTCAGAAAAAAATTTGTCAAGTTTCTTTTTTAATTTCTTCATCTATAGAGCAGGGGTGCACAACTCAAATGAGGATATGTGCCATTTTTTTTTAAATAATCTTGTCGGGTGCCACGCACAATTGTGGTATTGTAAATTAACTCCTGTAAAACAAACAAATTGCAATACCAATACATAATAACGAATATCTTTTTTTATTGAAACAATTTAATGTTCTGAAAAAAAAAACTGCTGATTTTGATATAAACGTGATATTTTAATGTATATCATAAATATTTTTTTTTACAAAACCGGTCGCGTGCCACGTCGAGCGTATGGCGTGCCAAATTTGGCACGCGTGCCTCGTGTTGTGCAACCCTGCTATAGAGTGTACACTGACAGTGATCGAATGATAGCTTCCAGCCAATAAACTTCTATGGCTGAAAGTTTTAGTGTATTTAATCAAACTTACTTTATTAAATTGTGTTTTTAAAGGTTGGAAATTACTATACTACACCTGTGTACAAATTCAAAATGAAATGCCATCTTTGTCCTCAATACTTCGAAATCCAAACAGACCCAGCAAATTGTGAATATGTTATCTTGAGTGGTGCAAGACGGAAGGAAGAACGATGGAATGCAAAAGATAATGAACAAATTGAAATGACAGGTAGGTAGCCTACTTGTATTACTTCATTCAGCAGGGTCCAAAATTTTGCCTTCAGACTGCTTATAGGTTTTCGCCAGACTTTTTGCAGCCTCCAATAAATTAAAACTGTGTTCGCATCACTCAATAAAGAGAATAGGCTATTACTTTTATTTACTTTGTTGGTTATTTTCAGAGTTCATGGGAAGTGGTATTACACCCCAACTTTCATGTATATTGGGGCATTCCATTAACCTAGTCCACCATCTTTTGACAAACACTTTATTCGAATAAGGCCTCACTCGTAGCCATGCGAATCAATTCTGATTTAAAGCAGATTTCAGTTTAGGCCACAGGTCCATATATTTGGGCCTTGTTTTCTTACCTTCTGATAACAATTGTATCTTAGCTATGTATCCTAATTTTTTCTGTTATTTATTACAGATCATTTGGATAAAAAGAAACTAGCCACAGATGCTATGTTCAAACTTGAACACAATGTAAAAGATCAGAAAAAGTTAATCAATGCTATACCAACACTCGGAGAAATTCAGGATATACAAGAGGAAAAGAAAGATGATTATATACTCAATAAAGTATTGAGGAAAAAGTTTCGTGACAAGAAAAAGGTACATATTTTCTACTTTTCTACTCCTGTCTAAAATTAAAAAGTATTTTGTCGATTTCTCTTTGCACACTTTGTTAGTTGTTTAATTAAAGATTCTTCTTTTTTTAAACTCTTCGAGCCGATTTAGCATTTCAATTCTTAGAAGGAGTAGTTTAATGGCATCAAGTTGACTAAGCATTGTCAACAAACATTTAGGAGATTGCTTGCACATGCCAAAGGAAACGCTTGCAGCAAACGCCAAGGGTCTCACTCCCCTCCTCGAAAATAACTAGCTAACAATAACCTACAAATAACAGATAGTAAGGTGAAAGTATGTTTTATTCAAAATATACGTGGATGAAACGTAAATATCCAAAATAAAGCAGGCAAGATCGAATCTAACAAAAATTTTTGGTTTCCATCAACTTCTCACCCCCTCAAAAATTTGTCCACGTTTCCCTTGTGGGGCGCCCCCCATCGTTTGAGAACCACTGGTCTAAATATTTTTCAGGTGTACCTTTTTCTGACTATACACCCCTGGTTTTCTATTGTTTATCTTTGTATGAACGATATATTTATTTTAGTCATTGGAAGCAACTGCAAAACAAGATCAAGCTCTTCTGGATAAATCATCCCTCGACATTAAACTTCTTCCTGAGCATGAGCAAGACAAAAATTTGGCAAAGCTTCTGAAATATGACACTGTGAAATGTATGTTATTCATTATTTATAGTTTATCAAATTTTTTAGTATTTTTGTTTTATCATTCTTACACTAACTAGAATTAATAATGTGATTGTTCATTTATTGTGTCAAGGCAGTGGCTGAAAAGTTAGTGTTTTATGTCCACCACCTCACCAAGGGGGAAATACTTGGTGTGGGCTATGCCCTATCTTTAATTACTGTTGTTAATAAACCATAACTCAAAGTATTCAAATTAACAACATACTATCATTCGAGATATGAAAGGAAATTACTTTTATTTTGTATTAGTCGCGTAATGGGTCTTCAGAGATATTTCAAGAGTCGTGGATCATAAACAACATAGAAATGGATAAACATGAGTCATTGAGCACTCGAACTACCATCTCATTTTAAGTTCAATTTGAAATCAAACTAGTATTTAATTATGTATTGAAAACATGCACATGTATTGAAAACATGCTTGGCATTAACGTGGTTATTTTTCTACAAGCTTCAAGTACTCGTAATACGGCATTGATCAACATTGTACGTTTTTTTCCAAAAATGAAGGTTGCAACTCAGGTCTCCTCGGCAGTTTAGTTTTTTGTTGAAATGACTTGAGTCTCTTCGAGTATTTCATAAATGGTACTCTGGTAGAGTCATTGACTTAGCGGAAATTTATATACTGCGCCTTTTACATTTTTCAGCATTGGAGCAAAGCCAAGACGAGGCAAGAAAAATTATTTCAACAAAACCTGTATTAGAATCCACATCATCTGTAATGGAGACAAAGAAAGTGGCTTCCAAATTACCAAAATCATTGGGATCAGCTCTTATGAAAACAATAGCAAAACCCAATCTGTGGGATGTAAGCACAACTTCAAAGCCAGCGAAAAGAACAATTTCAAATTCGGATCCTTTGAAAACTCTTGGGATTAAATTAGCACGAAAGAAATCTTCTGAAAGTCTACAAAAACCAGCTTCAGTTGGAAATGCTCAAAAATCAAATTCAAACAATAATTCCTTTGAGGAGAAGACATCTTTACCAAGTAGCAATACACAATTGAATAATAAAGATAATTTAAAAAACGATAATTTGTCAAAATCACTTGTAGCCTATGATTCTGAAAGTAGTTCTGATAGTGATGTTTCAAACAAAGATGTGGATTCATGAGAAATTATACTAAGTTGGTAAAATTGTAACAATTTATTTTTCAAATTATAAATACCAAATTTCAAATAACAAATTATTTTTTGTTGGAGTACTCAAAATTGAACACAATTTCCTAATATTGCTTGTCTATATACTAAGTGAATCTCTCCAACAAGGTTTTTCAATGATATTTCTCAGGAAGAATCCTGTGGAGGATAATTATGTGTGAGAGGATTGCTTGACTTTTTGCCACCGTAGAGTGGTTTATGTAGCCGCTGCAAGTCCATGCATCTGGAACAACTAGTGAACTATTCCCATACCCAACATGGGCTGGTAACTGGACGAAAATACCGTGGTTTGCCATATGATTGAACTGTTAGGTCAACTTATCTCTTTCCCGAAAATCTTATCCTACTTTTCTAAGTTGATAAGAATAGAGTGTATAGTATTCAGTTTCTGGTTTTTGCTAATTTTTTTTTTTTTTAAATTCCTCACTTGGCAGATACCATATAATAGTTTAGTATTCGGAGATTTTTTTTGTATTTGATTTTGATCTGATTATTTTATATATCATCATTTCGCTGCATACTCAAATATACCAGGTTTTTTTTCATATTCAAATTTCACATGAAGTTTGTTTTACTGCTATAAGAGCAGGCTTCAACATAACTCTAATTACTGCAAAACCGTAGTAAATTGGGAGATTATCTTGCTTATAATGGTATATAGCGCAGCTATTGCTTAGCTTGTTATGGTCCAATCCCCAAGTAAATCCTATCACTTTGTATATATATATATATGGATACATATTTGTGTACGCAGCTCCTTTACGGTCAATTTAGGTGTGACTGTCTTTGTTTGCCAAGTAAACGCTCCTCAGTTCATTCTTATTTTAATATTAAAGCCTAAAGCCAATCCCATCTTATAGTTTATACATTTGAAGACTGTTTTGTCTTCATTTCATTCAAGTATATTACATTTCAAAGATTTTAATATAGTTATATGACTGTTGATATTATGTTGCACTGTGTAACAAAAAGCTATGTTGAATTCAATCATTATTTTCAGTGTTCAATTTCAGAAAAAATTTAAATTGACTTTGAATGGATAGTCATATAGGTACTGCCAGCCTGTATTGATATACCGGTATTAATAATCAGTATAGATTCTGAAGTATTGGCTTCGATTTTAAAATACTGTTAACTATTGCAACCTGCAGACTGCAATCCGTATACAGTAATTGGTGATCGCATGTTTCTTTTTTATTACACGAATTTGTTCAGAGCAAGATCATGTGTACTCACTCAAGAGTGGAGGAAGCTCATATCTGATCAGGTTTATGGACAAATACTGAAATTCCAATGGCTACTGAAATTTATTGCTATAAGATGGTACATTACATACCACCAAATGCCAATTAAAACTTAGAACAGTTGAAATCTCTACATCCTCTAATCATTTGGGTATTATTAATGGATGGAAATGTTTTAAAAATTATTATCTTAATAAGATTATCTTAATCAACTTCTATATCATTTTACAGTTTAATTTTGATTTGGTTTAAATGCAGTAGACTTACAATGGGTTGTTGCTATAGTGCGGCTAGATCAGGAGGCAAGCCACCACCAAAACCTTCAAAATGGGAACCTCTTGAAAAAAGAACGTGTACTGACATCGTGCCTCTCACATTTTTCGTCATATTTTTTGTTGGAATGGTAAATATTTAAACATTTTCATCCACTTTTTTTTTCATATTTGTTTAGTTTGTGTTGCTTTTTTCGCTCTGATTTAGGACAATTTTGGAAATATTGATATTTACGAAACAAATTTGTGCAAATTGCGAAATTGGGAATATAGCGAAATTATACTCATTTGTAGATGATATTTATCCCAGAAAGAAAACTGAAAGATAGTGTCTCTTAGTTTTTCTCATAATTTCGTTCTCCTAAGTTTGAAAATGTAGTAGCCTATATACTTTGTCTATTATAATATATTTTTAAATAGTTGTTCAGAAATAAACTTAGAATGTTGGGTGCATTTATAGCTGCCGGCAAGCAGACACTGTTAGACAGAGAGCTATGGTGTTTTTCAAATTGCTAGAATCTCGCTATAGTACACCTAATTTAAACTTATTTAACTGTGTATTTTGGTGAACATGAGGTTTGGACGGGGATATTCAGTTTATTTTTCATTTCTACAGATCTTAATTGCTGCGTTTTCTATTGCAAGTGGAGCAGCTTCACGTCTTATCAACGGTTATGACAGTTACGGAAATATATGTAACCAAGTTAATAAAAAAATTGTCAATTCTGATAAATCTGGTCTGGACCTACGAGGAAAAAAGTGAGAAGATTACTTTGAAACACTTTTTAATATTCTTGCTGGTAACATTATAATGTGTTCTTTTTTGTCGCCCAGACAATTTATTTTTTTTGTGTTTATAGTTTAGACCTAAGATAATTCAGCGTTATTGTGATGTATGTTGAACAAGGTTCTAGGAAGTAGCTCTGCCCTACTACCAGTTTAACTATTGTTTCAATGTTCGATTAATTTTGTTCGGAGTCGTACTTCCAAATTCCCTTGAATTACATTTAAAATTTGAAACTGACAATTCCAGCAGCAGAGTTGCCTGAAATAATATTTTTGATATCAGCTATCGAATGTAGTCGAATTTGGGTGATCTTCAAAAATATTTGCCCTAATTATTGTGAATATATGTATAGTAAAACAGAATGATTTTGTTGATAGCCATTGTGATATATTTTCACAGATTCGAAAGTTAAACCAAGTCTGTCCATCAGATGTCACATGATAATAGATTTTTTTTAATGAAAATATTTTTCCTAAAATCATGTTTACTATGGTTGTTTACTTGGCCTTTGACCCCTTTCTATACTTTACTATTGTAAAATTTGTTAAGGTTATTTTGAAAAGGGTTTTGCTAGTTGGCACCTATAAACTGGTTTATATGTTTCAAACTACCATTTTGATTCAAAATATTCATTAATCTGTCATCCAAAAATACCAGTAGAAAAATGAATCATAGTCTATCACAGCTATATCTAGATTAATATTTGATTGATTAACCTAAATTTACAAAACACAAATAAAAACTAACAAATAACATGCAAAACAGTGGAAACCAGGTAACGTTTACAAGACAAATCATGCTTAAAAATTTGTCCGAGTGACAAAAGAATATGAGCGGTTGCTAAAACGTCTATTGTTATTTGTTACGTAACTTTTTCTGTCTTGTTGATTGGTCGTTGTTACGGAAGTAAACAAGGAAGTCGATGCTCACAGATACACCCATATCGTCTTGATTTTTCTTAGATATGTCTTCTTCATGGACGTAATGGATCCTCCGACATCATTAGAGATTTGTGTTGAAAAATGTCCGGATAGAGAATTGAAGACAATGCAGGTTGGGGGACCTACTTGAAAATCTAAACAAGTTGTTTTCTCTATTAATATATATTATATGACAAAATTATTGAAATTATTATATTTCGTCATTTGCGTAAGAATGCTATATTATGTAAAGAATTGTTTTGAACACTACTATCCATCGCTCCCAGGTTTGGGAAATGCTGCCTCAGATGTTTTGAGGCTTGTTGTTTTACTACAAATTTCTAGTTAATAAGAATCTACTGATCAGAGGCGTAACCGATCAATCATGTAGGTATTCTTGATTGATTCTCAACGATGATGTCTAACTACAGCCTTCGTGTCTATTTGTGCATTGCTCTCTCACAGTCTCACTCTTACAGATACATTTTTTTTAAATTACATTTTCATTATGTTTTCAAGGATGTCAAGGAATTTTTTGATGATACTGGGAGTCAGCTATGTGACTATCAAGTTGATCCAGATCAGTATCATTCACAAGCTTCATCTAAATATGGTCCATGTCCTGTTCTACCAGTTCGTCCTAGGTAAAATTTGCAATTCTTAAAGTTTTTTTGTGTGACTGCAGAAAAATTTGTGATAAGAGGGAGCCCAAAAATTTATTGGAAAAATAACATATAAGCCTTCAGGAAATACTTGCGCCCAATAAATTGAATGAACCATTCCATATTGGACGAGTTATATTACGCTTGCTCATAATTTTATACTGTTTCATGTAAATAAATATTCACTCTATTTTTTTAAAACAGGGGTTCTAAACAGGGGTAAATTTACCCCATTTTTAACCAAATTTAATAATTTAGCATTCTTTCACACCTTTGGGTACGTCCCTGATTAACCGACACCGGATAAAAGCATGTTTCCTATACCGTACATTAGCTGGTATTCAAATCTTACTTGAGGAGTCGCTTATTACTATTTATTAATCGACCAGTTAAATTTTTTTCATAGAGTGTTCAACAAATATCCTCAAAATTCCTATATTTTCTAATAATTGAAATAATATCATATTTCAGCTCATCTGTATTATTTCGATGTGTACCTGATGATCTACCAGACTTTTTGTCCGATCTTGTCAAGATTGTATATAACGTTGATTTCATCAGCCTTGTATTGAGAGATATTTACATGAGTCGATATGCCATTATAGGACTTTGCTTTTTGGCTGTATGTGAGTATGCATTCTCTGTGATATCAAATTTGTATCCTAGATGCCTACATGGATAATCTATATCTATTCTATCTATTTTGACACTAATACACTTCATTTAAAAACTACAATTGTTTTTGTTAATCGGTATCAACCAAAACGGAACGTTGAACGCCCTTTTTAATTACTTGTGGAACTCACTCCTGTGTGTGTTCTCAATCGCAGGTTTCAATCATATCGGGGTTAGTTATATGCGAGAGGATTGCTTGACTTCCTCTACCTTCAAGTCCGTGCATCTAAACCAAAAAATGGTTTCCATACCGCATAAACTGGTAACCGAACGACAGCATGTTGATAATAAATAAAGCACAACGGGTGTTAGCAAAACGATGTAACAGCAAACGATGTGACAGCATGTTCGTTATATGGCTAATCTGTTTAAGCAGCTTTCCTCTCCCACTGCTCTCAGATTTGTATCTTCAATGTAAACTTTGAATGTAAATTTTATTTCCACGAGTGTGCAGTCTTTAACTTATTGTTTGTTCTTTTCCAGTGGTTGCTTTCATCATGGTGATATTGATAAGATATGTTGCAAGTATCGTTGTTTATATCATTCTGGTACTTGTCTGCGTTGCATCAATAGGTATGATTTTATTAAATACTATACGCACTTATGCGTAAAAAGTTCAACTCAATAAAGTTCAACTTATTTTCAAACTCTCCGCAGTGTGAGTTTCAATTTCATATTTCTAATCGAAGTCAAAATTCGGAATTCCGAGTTCTTAGTCGAATTTTTAATCAATCTTGAGTCAGAACCCAGACTTTGACTCAAAATTTTTCTCAAGTCCGAATCGATTGTAAATTTTTTCTACTCCAAAGCTCCTAATTAATTGTAACTATTCATTTCATATTTTTTTCAGGTGGCACTGTTTTATTGTGGTGGACATATGCTTCTCCCCAAGGCATTGAAGAATTAAATATTAAACTCAATGAAGCCAACAACTCGCAAGCTTTTCTGTGGTATGCTATTGCCGCAACTGTCCTTACAGTAAGTCCTTGATACTTGGAATCCAACATGGAATTTAGGTTCAAATGAGTTTAGGTATAATCAAGGGGTTTTTATCGCAAATGTTTAAAAAATTATGAATTTATTTTGCATTGAATTCATATGATTTGTGATCTCTGGGACCTTTATTGGACACAAAGTAGACCTATGAATGACCTATGTTATTTTGTTGTTGTTGATCATCATGTTAGTATTTCTTTTTTTCTTGTAAAAAAATTGCTTTTCTCATTAATTACTGTACCAATTGCTTTAAATTTTCAGTGGTTAAAGATTGGATTTTTCAGTAGAAGGCTATTACTTATACAGAGTAACCAAAAACTTTCGCCCGATTTTATGATAATATTACATTTGTTATTACCATAAAATCGGGCGAAACTTTTTGGACACCCTGTATATATTTCAAAAATTTCTGTGGCATCTGTGGACCTCGTTTTCTGTGTGCTACGATGTCATCAAAATTAAAAATTGCACTCTTTTTAGCGGTTCCACATTCGAAAGTTCAAATATGCTGTAATACAGTAACGGTAGGCTATTGTGACAGATTGCATACCGTACCACCTCATTTCCATATATTTGAGCGTTGCTCTCGAGCGTTTTTCATACAACGTTCTGTACAATAAGCCAGGGTATATAAAAGCTACTGAATCCACTTTTGAATGAACACTCACTATATTATTTTGATTTACATGCTTTCCAGTATTCTTTGTTTTCAAACTTTCTAAAAAAAATATTTTTTTTTCAATATTTTCAGGTTTTTTTACTTCTTTTAATCCTTGTGATGAGAAAACGGGTTGCAATAACAGTTGATTTGTTCTACGAGGCTGGAAAGTGCATGACACGACTTCCATGTCTTTTAATGCAACCATTTTGGACGTTCATCATTCTTTTGTTGTTTTGGATGTGTTGGGTTGTCATTTTTGCATTCCTGGCTACATCAGGTTGGATTTTTTGTTGAAATTTTTTTCTCTGTAAAAGATACGCAGAGGTTTGGAGAGGCTGAAGTTCGAGCTCGTATAAATAATTTCATATTTGAGGTATCTGGTCAATGAAAGCATCTTTTCATATGGTCTGATCATTCTAAAAAATTTAGGTAGTTAAGGATAAAAATTGGTGCTCCCGAAGTATTCGTACCAAGATGGCGCACAACCTGAACATAGTATGTGTACCAGGTCAGGGTTGATCAGGTTGTGCGTCATCTTGGTATGAATATTTCCGGAGCGTCAAAAAGTTATTTTCAAAATTTCATTGTTTTACCCTACATTTTGTAGATTTTAAGAAAATGTGCCAGCTTTTAATTTTTTGGCTACATATTCTTGCGAACGAAAGCACTACAGTGGTGGTTTAACCTTTGCGTCTTTATATTTGAGTATTACTATCACTACCTGCATTTTAATTCCCCATTATGCTAACATGGTATTATTTTCAAAAAATTTTACTCCAGACGATATCTAGTTTTTTGAGAATGTGTTGGTGAAAATGGGGATTGAACTCGAGATTAATTCACTCAATTCTATTATCCTAATTCAGATTTGACATCTGAAGCAAGGCCTATGCTTCAAAATGCGTCAAAATAACTACAGATTTTATTATGCACTTACAGGGGAACCATATCTTGAAGACCCACATACTGGTTGGGTGAAATACAATGAAACATCCTTGATTAGATATAGTTGGTGGTACCATTTGGTTGGTTTGATTTGGATCAGTGAATTTATACTTGCTTGCCAGCAGATGACAATCGCCGGGTCAATCGCAACGTACTATTTTACAAGGTAGGAAATGAGTTTTTTTTCTTTATGCAACGTATCGTATCACTGCTAAAAAAGGACAATATTCACTGTTGCTTGATTTTGACGGCGTTTTTCATTTCAATTTTCGATTAATTTTAAAAAAATGTCGGTGCATAAACTGTTTTTTCTGTATGCGGCTTTTTATTCTAAATCATTATGCAACATCTGGTAGTTTGGTTTAACTGGTTATAATGGAAGAATGTTAGATAATAGGTAAATTAAAGATAGCTTATTTTGAGATATTTGAACAATATATTTGTTCTAATATAATAAACAGCTACATTATCATTATGCTGTGCACTGATCTATGAATTCCATGATTCTGGGTTTATTTAAAATCAATGTATTATGTTTGATCAACCATGAAACAAGATTATTTTGAATCAATAGGCATATATCATATTTGGCGTTCCAGAAGTATGTGTACCAATATGGAGGTAACTAATTTTGTTCGCCAACTTTACATCAAGTTGTGTAAAGGGACTGAAGTCTATGGGCAGGGTGTATATTCATTTGGCTAACACAGACAGTCCCCGAACTCGTAATCGAACTAAAATAAGGAAAATCGGGATAAAATTATGGTCTAACCCTAACCTGGTACACATACTATGGGAGTACCTCATATTTGGCCAAGTGTGGCTGAAACATTTTTACTTTACAGTCAAAAAATATGGTGAACCTTTTTAAGCATCAATAAATTTCCTTTTCCAGAAACAAGTCACAACTTGGTGATCCAATTTTATCATCCATTGGAAGATTGATATCCAATCATCTTGGATCTTGTGCTCTCGGATCATTCATAATAACGTTGGTGAAAATTCCAAGATGCATTCTGATGTACATTCACTCGCAATTGAGTGGCTCTGTAAGTTTTAATTCATGTTTTTTTTATAATAATTTTTGGAAATGATAAAAATGAAATTATTCATTCGATGGATGCCTAGTTAAGAAACATGATATTATTAAATAGACATATCTTGATCTTTTCAAAAAAGTTTTCTCAACGCGAGGTGATACACATTCACTCAAAAGTAAGGGGGGTCTTCTCTCAGCAAAGATGTGGATTACCACTGGAATTTCAATCATATGTACGTTTTTGAGAGAGTTTTCTCAAAGCAAGGTCGCATTTACTCACTCAAATTAAGGAAACTCATCTCCGAGAAAAGTTTTGGGCCACTACTGAAATTTAAGAGCTATTTTTCTACATACTCTTAAAATACTGTTATTTTAACACTTTGGTGTTTGAAGTTTTTTTTCTGCAATTAATTTCGATTTTGAATATATTAAATAAATCTTACTTAATTCAGAAATAAAATCATGATATTTGCCAAATTTTCGTGATGAAAAGTATGTTTTTTTAACAGTAAAATTTTTAGAAAATTATTATTATTGTTTTAGTTCTTGAAGTAGAACCTTTTTGATGTCTTCAAATGTCAATTTCACTTGTAGAATTGTTTCACCACTTCTGCATAAATGTTTAATAACTTCGGTTAAATTATTGGATATATGATTCACAAATGGAATATTGATTATTATTAATATCATTGATTAACTTATGTTTTATTGCAGGAGAACATGTGTGCTAAAGTTTTGATGAAGATGTGCATCTGCTGCCTCTATGTATTTGAAAGATGTCTGAAATATTTAAATTATGTGAGTATGTTATCATGATATATGAAAATTAGGTCTTTTTTTGCAGGAAAACCATGTAGGAAGAGTGTAGTTATGTATTATAGTAGGTCAAGGGCCTTCGATTGACTACACACCTAATTCAGCTAGCTTGTCAGCCGACCTGCTTCGAGTTAAATATAAAAATTTCATTTTAAAAAATGCTGGACATACTACTGCATACTTTAGTATATTCTGCTTCATAAAGAGCTGTACACATTGTTTTATGCCTTGTATCTTCTTTCAAGTTGTTCATGCATGAGATCATGTGACACGACCTTAACTTCATTAATAAGAATAACTTCCTATCTATTGTGAGGTATCAGTGCACTTATAGCACTGATACCTCACTATCACTGCATTTATAGAACATTTTTAGGAGCGAAAGATGTGTTGTATCCCAAGCTTATTACGTTTACAGCTCTCACGTAGTTCTTCTAAGCAAAATGTAACTTATCTGCGATCAAAAATATAATTAAATATTATAAGTAGAAACTTTCATGATGATCATCACTTTGCGACAACATTAATGAAACTTTTCTGTTTAGAACGCCTACACTTTGGTTGCAGTCAATGGAACACACTTCTGTAAATCAGCATGTGATGCAGTGGCTACGTTGATGTCAAATGCACTTCGTGTTATTGCAATCAATTCTGTTGGAACTTTCATCTTATTTCTCGGTAAATGTTTTTTCATGATAATTGCATGCAAAATTCTGCCAAGTCGAGATTTTCGTTGGCAATTTTGTTGTTTGGTGTCTTTTTTGGATAGCAATAATGATATTCTATTCAATGTTTTTTTTTAGAAATTCGTTATAATATTTATATTTTATTCTTTTCCATCATTATGTTATATTATTAAAGTTGATTTATCCACAAAGTATATAGTCTTTATAATTGCCTTATATTTTTGAGTGTTCCATATTTTTGCCCCATTACTACTATCAGATTTGAATTTTTTTATTGCGCACCAAAATCTCTTATGGAGGGAAAAAAAATTTATGGACTTTTTTCATGGATCATATTGAATATTGTATTTAATTCATTGTATTGTACAAATTGTAAATTTAATTGATTGTTATATTGTGCGTTTCATTCTAGGAAAACTATTGGTCGTGGCTATTACAGCGGGTATCGGTGGCGTCGTTGTGATGCGGTTTCATCCCAATCTGACTTACATTGCTGCACCGGTCGGCATTGTTGCCATATTTTCGTATCTCATTGCACATTGTTTCCTTTCTATCTACGAGATGGCAATTGATACGCTGTTGTTATGTTTCTGTGAAGATTGCAGAGTGAATGATGGGACGCCTGGACGAGAATATTTTATGTCAAAATCACTGATGGTATGTCATTTAGATTTGGGGTTCTGCAGTATCAAATACTTCTTTTTCTTACTTTTGCATCAATAAATTCAAAATCACAAGAATTCCAAGAAAAGAGTAGAGATGTACTTTCTAAGTCTGTTTGTTAGCTCCTCTTGCAGGAATAATTATATGCGAGGGAATTACACTCACTCAGAGGTAAAAGAGACTAATCTTTAACAAAAGTTTACGGACACTCACGACTCATCTCTGAACAAAGTTACAGACACTTACTCACAACTAAAGGAAACTCATCTCTGAGCTTAGTTACGAGCACTCATACAGAAGTAAAGATTATTGAACTCCTTGTAATCGTAGGGTGGTTCACATAACCGCTGGTCAGTTACAGCTTCCTCCACCATCAAGTCCATGCATCTGAAATAAATATCTGGATAACTAATTCCATACTCGGCATGGACTGGTAACTGGACAAGAGGATGTAGTACGCTATATGAATAAGCTTGTTTTTGAAATGTCTTTCAAAACACAAAAAACTTATTTGTGTGCAATGTGCATTATATTTAGTATTGGTCATATAAATAACACAATACTTGACCATGACCATAGATGTAAGCTTTGCATAAAATAATATTTAATTCTACGTGTTTCTTTTCAAGGCATATGTCAAGAAGAGTACAAGACATCTTGATGAAGTCGATGGGAAGAAACCTAAAGAGGGACCAGAAGGAGTGCCACTCAATGAAAGTGCCCTATGAATATCATAACAAGAATACAAGTACAATGAAGCATTCTATCGCCTATTGTGATGATTTCTACTATACAGTCATAATGGGCATATCACTTCAAATTTTAAACCTCAAAGTCATATTCACTACCATTATGCTCATTCTATGTTTGGGATGCTGCGCTACGTTTTATGTTATCTATTTTTGTGGTGAAATAGTTTTCACTTTTGAACCAGACATTTGAAGTATTGTTCGATGAAATGGAAATAAATTTTAAATTATGGCTTCTATTTTTTCGATTACCATTCATGCTTCAATTTTGGATGGTCAAAAAACTTAGTCCGCTGATTTTTATTTTCTGAATGTAACTCAATCCAAAATCAAAACCATAAAGATCGATGTTCAACCAAAACTTGAAGTTGTTAAAAAATTGTTAATACTAATTATTTGGTGCTGTTTCTGTAATCACTAGTCGCCTTGAACAGAATTTCATATTTTTTTTTCCCTTTTTTGTATATTTCCCATTAGCATGTTTTATACCTTTTGATTTCATTTCTATTCCATGTATGTGAACTTTTTTATAACATATTTCTTTTATCATGTTTGATTTGTGGTGCTTTTAAATGATATATAATCTATTTGTTATAATGTTTTATTATCTCTCATTAATGGCCATTTTAATATTGCACTTTTTTCTTTTGCACAATCGAACAAACTAGCCGCAAAAATGTGAATAATTACAGTTCACTCATTTGCATCTGATTTTAAATATACAGGGGGGTTTCCAGGAAAAACAGAAAATTTCTCAAACAGCTTTTTTTTTACCAAGAATAACTTTTACGAAGTTTTTTAAAGGCATTTGTTATATTAGACTCATAGATGCTCGAAATGCCCTTCGTGCACTTCACAGAGCAGTGTCTTAACCTAGAAGCCCAAGCCTGTGCAGTGTTTTGAATGGTTAACTTGTGCGATATCGTTTCAATTCAACCTATACCTATACGCATTTTATTCGTGATCTCATCTGACCTTCAAATTTTTTGCTTTTCTAGCGACGACCCTGTATATTTGGAATTAGGAAATATGTATTTTATATGGTGCGGAGCAGAAAAGTATGTTTTATTTGGAATAGCCAACAAGTATCAATAAATTTCAGTGTGAATTATTTAGCGTTAATGTGACTCGTTTATTCCTATACTACTAAGATAAGGTATGTTTTTGTACCAATAGTCACCCCTGTGCCTTCGTTTAAAAGTTTAGTGTCTCTTCATTAAACATTAATACATATACTACCAATATTATTAACCATCTTGGTATAGTCATCTAATTTTATATCATCAAAAATAAGCTACTTGTGTGCGTTT